AAAGGGGGAGGCCTTGACGCTTTTCAGCAAAAATATTTTTTCAGATTTTCCTTTGTTTGTGGAGTCCTCTCCATTTCACTTGTTACTGTTGCAGGTTTCTGAAGCAATTGTAGCAGAAGAGGATGAGGAAGGAAGGTTGGATCGGCAGATTGATGAAATTGATGAACAAATGTAAGTAAGATACTCACCTTTTGTTCTGTTTGTGTTTTTTTTTTTTTTTTTGTGCATCATACTTCCTGGTCTGGTGAGAGCTCCCTCTTTTGCTGAAGTACGTTAACATTTGGAGCCAATAAATAAACTTCAGATGTCTGTATTTTTTACCATTTCTTTTTCTTTTAATTTATGAGTTTTCCATTTCAAACATTAAAGAATATAATGTGCCAAGTCAAGCCATGAGTGTTTGATGAACAGAGTTTTTAAATTAAGTGAGAATTTAAAGTGAATTTCAAACTTAAGGTCAAAATAGCCACACTGGAAACATTCTCTAACTCAACTATGCTTTCAATATAGTTACTTTGTCCTTAAATTTGAAATACATTTTGAATTCTCAATTTAGTGAGTAACCCTGTTTGTCTTTTAAATATCATTGTTCAGAATGAGCCACCTGCTGGTCATAAGCCAGTAGAGCATTTAGAGCAGATTCCATGAGGAAGATGTTGTTGGTATAAAAATTAGCACGTAATATATACACAGTATTAAGAACCAGGACAACGCTAGTACCAAATCAAAGTGAACAAAAGTAGGTGGAGGCAATTTGGAATTTAGAACAAGTCAGGTTAGTCTATACTGATGAAGTTTAAGTCGCCATCTATATTGTTAATGCCACCATGTACAAAAGTTCCTGTTTAAAAAGGTGCAGATTAATAAATCACAAACTCTCGTAGGGCATGAATTTACTCGTCACTTACTTGAATTCCACAAATCTTGTTCAAAGAATTTATTGTTACAAGTTAATGCAAATAGTCATAGAAGAGGCAACCACGTTGTAACGGAGCTCCCTGTACCCCTGGCTGGGTACCTCCGCCAAGAACCGCTTCCTAACTGGAACAGGGACAAACCACAGCAATTCTGCCCACAGTCGCTGTGGCTTGACTGGGGTCCTGGAACCGCTCCCTCTTGGAGCCAAATGGGGAATTCGCTCTAGACACCCTTAGCGCTGAACGACCCTCAGTTCTGGGAGCTCTAGTCTTTACAAGGACTTTCCCCGTTAAATCCTCCACACTGGAACAGTGATTAAAGAATAGCCCTTTCCCCTCGCAGTAACCAGACGACACATAGTTCTGGGGGTACAAGCTGGAATACATTTATTGGCAGCCACAACTGGCCTTTATATGTAGGTCCCCATGCAAGGGGCACTCCCCTCTGGACCTGAGAGTAGACATACACAGTAAAAACATACACATGATTACATTGGCTTTCAGGTCCAGGACGCTCCCATACAAAACAAGACAATCCCTCCATGTGCCTGGGAGATAATTGAGGCAAGCACTGCATGAAACTCCATTATCCCCATGCACAAAAAAACATGCATTTCTCAAACACCCCAAAATTACCTTAAAATACATAAAACCCCACAAAGGTTACATCCCTTGATAGCCCTGATCTGGGTGACCAACATATCCAAAAATCACCCGGATCAATTCAGGGGTTCAGGAATTTCATGGAAGTCATAATTTGACCGGCTGCACGCATGGGCCCATGCCCAAAACAGTTCCAGAGATTTAGAGCTTGCGGTCGGTCTAGTTTGGTAGTTTAAAAACGAACAAACTACCAAACATAGTCAATAATCTTACCTTGGAGCTTGTTCCCCATGTTCGTGGGAACGTTTCCACCGAATAGTGTCTTTCTAAGGGTTGTAGAACCGAACGCAGGTGATAATGGAAGTCCAGCGGTGTTCAGGACTTTCAGTATCCGAAAATAGTTCCATGAACTCGACGACCAAACACCGCTGCCTCTGTTCATGTGAACAAGATGGCCGCCACCTCATGGTCATCCATAGGAATTGCAGCCACCCGGACGTACACTAAGGTGGAAATTGCTACAAAGTAGCAATAAGGCTTAAAAAGCTCCAGGGTGGTCTCCAGTTCATGCTGCTGTTCGGTTCCCGAACCATATAGTCCAAATACACTAACAGAGACTTTTGCATCACATTTTACAGGGTCCATAGTCTGTGGGCAGGAGGCTGGCAAGCGGGCTCCTCCAGGAACTCATGGCAAACTTACTTGAAAAGGGGAGTTTGTCACACACACGTTTAAACAGAAGCTAATGGTCTGCTTGATTCTTCAGCATTACCTAATGAGATTCCAAATGTGTCTTGTTTACTACCCCTTTTATAGTCCCACCTGGGGGATAAGCTTCTATATCTTTATAAACTAAACTTTAAGACGTTATTGGAAGGCTCTGTCCACTTCTGCAATAAAAAGTAAGATGTTAGTTGTCACTTGAGAGAAATTAAACTGAAAGCATGAAATCAGAATGGGTTGTGGGGAATTCAGCATGTTGTGCTATGCTTCAAGAAGCAAGTTTAACTAAACTATGAGAATTAAGCCTCTATATTTCCATGCAAATATAATATATTTATTACATAAAATTACTTTCTGCATAATTTCCCCTTGTAATGCCCATGTAGGTATTAGATTGTACATATTCATTTTTAAGATAGGTTTAATCATAGCTGCACTGACGCTCCACATTAACACCTACTCTGATACTCCTATACATTGTTATATTCCACCCTCTCCTCCTGCTTACCTCTGCCTTAAGAGTAGGGAGTGAGAAAACTCCAATCTCCTATACCTGGAGTCCTGTGTTGGGAAATTATGACAATTCCCTCCTGCTCCCCCTCAGCAATACTAGAGTATTTAGTTGCCAGAATGTGACATCTCCTCTATGTACCCCTCTACCACTTACAGAGCTGCAAAGTGATTTGAGACCCCAGCGTGTAGGATCCATTGTCAAGCAGTGATAACACCACACAAATTTCCCCGAAATTGCAGAGCCAGAGCTACACTAGCCTCTCCAAAAGAGCAACTCTGAATGTTGTAATTTATTGTTCCAGGGCCGAAATATTTGCATACAGCTTAGCATAGCCATAGACATGATCACTTCAAGACAGAATAAGTTTCATTCAGGCATTGGTAATGATGCACGTTCTGTCAGTTCTATGCCAGTCAGACTTTGAAGAGTCGTTCACCCTGAGTTTAAATACTGCATCATACTTTTTTGTCAATTAGTAAAATGTCACTACTAGTAAAATGTTTACATGACCCTGATTAAATATTAATGTAATTTTGTATTAACATTTTTTTTACTTTGTGTTTTGTGCTCCAAGGTTTCAAGTGAAATGGTTTTGGAATTTTTTATGTTCATGTCTTTGGCCATGTAAACAAACTGAGATCTTACAAGTGGTCTACTAAGTGGTATCAGCCACAGATTGACGTTACTTAGAATTTCCCTTTCTGGCTGGGCATGGGTTGCCTGGTAGAGCCCCAGATTATGGTGAAGCCTCTCAAAAATGGTTTGCAGAACAGCCCCCCCAAATATTTTTTTAACTGTAAACACTACAATGAGATGTAGTGGTTACGGTGCATATCATTTGCCTTTTGACATAACAATAGCAAAAGCAATATTAAAATGACCGTTTTGTGTTTGTGTTTTTTTTCAGTGTTTTATATCCATTATCTGTGACAATTTATTTAAATTTTTTACCAACTTTCTGAACAAAAGTAATTTTGTCCAGTATTATTAGTATCGTTAGAGAAGACGCTCCTGGTAATAAATAACCATTGTATTGCAAGGATGGAGAAATTCGATTGAAAGTTGCACTAGGAAGTAAAATACATTTTTATCTTACTCTGACTGCAATCTTATTTTATTTGGCAGTGAATGTTATCGCCGTATCGAGCATCTGCGGAAACGGAAGGATGTCATAAAGGATGTTATGAACACAAATGCCAGTAAAAATAAAGGCATGGGTGAGGTTGGAAGCGATGATGAGGAAATGCTGTCAACAATACTTGCTCAGGACTGGCGTGAAAAAGGCACCTTCCTTTAGGCCTTTAAAAGACACTCTGTGTGACTATTGATAAAGATTCAATAAACTTATCACACATTATAAAGAAACTTGCTTCTGCTTGGAGAGTAAATGGCAGTAAATTTAAATTCCAAGCTAGTATAGCAACTAATCTTGCTAAGTGAAAATAGGGCTAATATTTTTTTTCACTGTCGATTCATCTGAACAGTGTTCATCTGTCTTATTCAAGAGCATCTGAAGATATACATTTGGCAGCCACTTGCAAAACAACTTCAGTATATAAAATTAGGAACAATGGCTTTAAAAATGTTTCTCTCCTATGTGCTATTGGACATTCATGTTTGGCCGGAGTTGCCATGCTATTACAAACATATAGTAAGTATGGTAATATTTTCTTCTTTATGTGACTCCCTTTTTGTCCCATTAAAGTTTGTAATATTTTTGTACACCTCGCTAATTTTCAGACCATGTATGTATTTACAATACGATTTTATATTTGTTTTGTGCAAAATGTTTCCAATGAATGAATGAGTGTACATTTAAAAAAAAGTATAAATAATGGATATTTAGATACCCCAAGCCTACTTTAATATAAATTATTTTATTTTCTGTTTGTACAAAATAAGGAGCCTTTAATAAATATTCATTAATTTTTAATTGTTTTGCATGTCAGCACATCAGTTTTAAATATATGTTCATCTTCTGTCTTGTTATATCCGCTCTGAAATCATAATGGAGGTTATGTATAATGTGTCTATTTTCTTAAAGGACCACTACAAGCACCCAGACCACTTCAGCTCAATGAAGTGGTCTGGGTGCCAGGTCCCCCTAGTTTTAACCCTGCAGCTGAAAACATAGCAGTTTCAGAAAAACCGCTATGTTTACACTGCAGGGTTAATCCAGCCTCTAGTGGCTGCTTTCACGATTTATCCTGAGTAAATCGCAGTTATTTTTAACGCTGGGCGTCCTCACGGAGTCCAGTGACAAATAAGATCCCTATAGGAAAGCATAGAGTAATGCTTTCCTATAGGCCGGTTTGGATGCACTCTCACCTGGCCCTGGGGGGGAGGAGTGGTCATCAGTGCAGAGGGAGCCCGGCGCTGGATTAAGGTAAATGGCTGAAGGAGTTTTAAACCATTCAGTGCCAAGGGAGGGCACTCCAAGAGCCTATAGTGACAGGAAAATTGATTTGTTTTTTATGGAACTATAGGATCCCTTTAAAATAAGCATATCCTTACGTTTTGGCTCCTTATGCTAACATGTCCATTTACCAGGTATTATTGCACAGGCTATATTTAAACACACAAAATGTAGCCCTAAGCCCCAGGCCAAGTATTATTTCACAGGCTATATTTAAACACACAAAATGTCCTAAACCCCAACTCCCAGTACTCTTGGCCAGAATTAATGTCTTTAGTAGTTATCAATCCAAAAACAAATCAGGTTTTGCTCTATGTTGCCTTTTTAAGCAGCAAGGTGAATTCTTAGTGCAGGATTAATGTAAGAGGTTTGCCTTGACGTTACAGATGAGCTTACAGTCGTGTATATATATATGTGTGTGTGTGTGTGTGTGTGTGTGTGTGTGTGTATATATATACACACACCACCACCACCACCACCACCACACCCCCCCCTCCTACTCACACGGGATTACACTCAGCCACCACATATCCCATTTAGGTGTACTGCTTAGGAGGAGTGGTTAAGTGGAGCCCTTCTTTCATTCTTGCACCAGGGTTCTGGGATTCCTAGTTATGCCCCTGACTACTGGATAGGGGAACATGACCTCACAATTTCTTCTTGGGAATGTACCATAAATTGCGATATGAATGTGTTTTGTGTAATCTGGAAACTTTATTAAAAGAATACAAATGGGAAATTAGAGAGAATGCATCAATACATGGAGTGAGAGTGGGAGGAAAAGAATACAAAACAAATCTTTTTGCGGACGACATCCTGCTTACACTTACACAACCCCAAATATCGCTACCGAACCTATTGAATGAAATACGCTTATACGGGGACCAGTCATACTATAAACTAAATGTCACCAAGACGCAGGCGATGGGAGTAGGAGTACCAGGCCACACAATAGATCATCTGAAAGCTACATTCCCTCTAGATTGGAGAGATGACTACCTCACCTTTCTGGGCCTGCGAATAACCAAGACTATAGCAGGTCTCCATGAACACAATTACGAAAGATTAAGAAAAGAAATAACTAACACCCTACACACATGGGAGGACAAGTACCTGTCCTGGGTGGGAAGGATAGCGGCTGTCAAAATGATAGTGATGCCCAAGCTCCAATACCTATTTCGCACACTACAGATACCAATACCAAAAAAAAATTCCTGCAAACACTCCAAAGAATCATAAACAAATTCATATGGGCAAATCGCAAAATACGGGTAGCAACTACTATACTGAGCAGACCAGTGACAGAAGGGGGACTGGGTTTACCTGAGGTGAGCACATATTACAAAGCGACCTTACTGGCCACAGCGATCCTAGCACATAAGGCGAACGACAGACCACAATGGGTAGACATAGAATCGATAGGGACAAGCCCGAAGGGACTTCACTACTTATTCTGGATCCCCCACAAATTACGCCCCAAAACACCAAAGGTGCCAGATACCACATCCCTACTATTGAGAACGTGGGACACAGTCAAATCACAACTAGGACGTACTAAATCATGGTCCCTAACGACCCCATTACAAAGCATACACATTGCCAACCCCACGTTCGACTACAGGTCATGGGAAAAAGGTGGCTGTACGTTAATCAAACACTTACACCACAATGATGCCCTGATGCAGTTCCCAGACCTCCAACAACGGTATAACTTGCCACCTCGTGCACTATTCTCCTATCTCCAACTCAAATCACTCCTAGAGCACGACACAGAGATAGAAACACATAGGGAAGCGAAGTTCATAGAACAAATCTGCGAGGCTAGAATCATACTGAAAAAAATCATATCAAACCTATATAGATTGCTGATAGTCCCTCAGGGAGAGAAACTGGAGAAATACCAAGAAGCATGGCAACTAGATATAGGAAAGACACTACCAAAAGAGCTCTGGCAGAAGGCATACATAGCACACAAAGGAAGAACTAGATGTGCTTCACACTTAGAGCTAATGCGCAAATTACAGTACAGGTGGTACATGGTACCAACTAGACTGGCGTCCATATACCCCCAAACGTCCAGATGCTGCTGGAGGTGTGAGACGGAAGAAGGCACAATGTTCCATATATGGTGGACATGCCCCCGCATAACCGCCTATTGGGCGGAAGTAGGAAACTTAATTTCAAAAACTATAGACCTAACACTGAAGATAGAATCCAAATGCGGACTCCTCTTCATGACTCTAGAGCAATTCACCAAAACCCAAGCTTTCCTAATCTTCCACATACTAATTGCGGCAAACCTACACATAGCAAAGATGTGGAAACAGACCGACACCCCAGGTATAGGGACAGTGATCAAACAAGCCACCACAAATATAGATTATGAAACAAACACACACACAGGACATAAACTTCAGGACTATAAAACACTAGCCAAACGAGCATGGGATGGGTTCTTGGAGGGGCGAGGGGAGGAACAGAGCGACATCACGCTATAATATATAGCAAGAGTAGGCTACCAAACTAAACAATGAGAGAGAGACGTAAGTGGACCAAACTCCAAGCACTACAACACACTCACACTTAGGGGAGAGAGACAGAAGAGTGGATACCCACACTGTACATAGTTATATACATTTGTACATAGTTTTCGACTGACGCCAACACGTATACAAAGAGACACCTAGACCAACCACAACCCCTCAGGTACAAGCACGATGTTCCAAGAACAGGACTAAGCAATATACAAGAATGAGCAAGGTCAAAGCCAGAGGGAAATGAAGGAGAAAACTTTATCAAAGAAAGTCGAATGTTTTTCCCCCCCCTCCCTCGCCCTCCCTTCCCACCCCCCAACCTGCACCCTACCCTACGCACCAGCCAAAACCAATACAAGCACACTCTGAGGATAGGAGTTCTCCCGTAAAAAGGAGTCCCAAAATGTTGCTGCAACGCTTCCCCTCCTCATGGGCAATACTCCGGCGAACAAGGAAACACGATAACGCAACTAGGCACCTTAGACTAGCCCGATAAGAGCGTAACCATTAACCCTCCCTCCTCGCCTTCGGTACCCTCATGAATGATTAAAGTTGTGCAACCATTAATCAGAGATAACAAGAGACAAAGCACATTCAAAGGGACACTAAAACACAACGCTATAATGTTGCTCAGGGGCATAAGACACACTCTATAGCTCAACCATGCATATCAGGAAGGTAGCAAGAGGTAGAGACCACCCGAGTGGCACATTTTGCGCTGATTGCACAAATTACACCTGATGGATATAAACAGATTGTATGAACTGTACCGCATTTGAACCCCCCCCCCTTCTTTCTTCTGTACCCCTTTGAACTTATGTAACAAAATAAAAAATTGTCAAATTGAAAAAAAAAAAAGGAATACAAATGGGTATTATTGACACTATAGCTCTATATAGCTGTTTAGGTGATCAGCCCCCTACTTCTGCTGCTACAGATGATTTACTCACTCTTTTCCAGGGCCAAGCACGATTGGTTGTGGCTGGCCCCACCCACGCGTTGTCCTCTTGGCTAAGATCATCAACAATGACCATCTCAGCCAATCCAATGCTTTTCCATAGGAAAGCATTGTGAGGCTATCGCACATGCTCTGAAAAGGCAGTGTTTAGATTAAAAAGCCTGCAGGGACAGGCTATAGACACCACAACATCTACATTAAGCTGTAGTTGGTCTGCTGATTATAGGGTACTTTTATCCCAAATAGGTGTTTATTTTGAGCTGCAGCTTAGTGAATTTACTACTACTGTAATGTTATTGTGTTTGGCATTCGGAAACACTGCTCACAGCACACTGTGTACTACACACAATGGGTTTAAAACATTCAGAAAAAGGGATTTTCTTTATTAAAAAAACCTGCCACACTTACTGCAGTGTTCACTTGTGCAGTAAATTGCTACAACCTTTATTGCAATATCCAAAACATAAGTAGTGGCACTGGAAAAAAATTAATCTATCCCAAGAACTATAAAGAAAATAAACACTGAGTAAAATAAACTTGGTGTAAGTCTGGCAGTAACCTAACCAGTCTCATGCTAGGATCAATTAAACAGGCTGTCTCCCATTCAAAGTTGGTGTACACTGATCAGCTACAACATTAAACCACTTGCCTATTATTGTAGGTCCCCCTTGTGTCACCGGAGCAGTTTTGATGTGTCAAGAAATGGACTCCACATGCCTATAGTATCTAGCACCAATTAACAGCAGATCCTTTAAGTCCATGAAGTGGGGCCTCCATGGATTGGATTGGATTTCCAGCACATCCCACTGATGCTCAATCAGATTGAGGTCTAGGGATTTTGGAGGACAAGGCAACACCTTTTGTCAAGTTCCTTCGAACCATTCCAGAACATAGCAAAGTGTATTATTATGCTGAAAGAGGTCACTGCCAACAGGGAACATCATGACCAAAAGTTTCCCAGCAGAACATTGCTCAGATCATAACACTGCCTCCCCCTGCCTGCCTTCTCCCCATATTGCATCCTGCTGCCATCTCTTCCCCAGGTAAATGATGCAGATGCACCCAGCCATCTAATTGATATAAAAGAAAATGTGATTCTTCAGAGCAGGCAACCTTCTTCCACTACTCCAAGTTATGACGATGGCGTTCCCACCGAAGGCACTTTCGGCAGTGGATCATCATGGGCACTCTGCTGCGTATGGAAATGTATAGGCACAGAACAGTCAAACTGTCAAATACCACTTTGAAAGAGAATGCAAAAGTATGCTGCACGCTCTAGCAGGCTATTGGCAGGAAGGGGATAAGACATTGTAAATTAATTCTAAATTAAGCACACTGCTTAGAAGATGCTTAAAAATAGATGGCTCTTTACACGAAGTGTGTAGAGATGTATTAGTCAAATGCAGGCGTGACGTGCTGTAAAAACAAAGTGATTTAACTCCTAAATGGCTGAGAAGTGAGCAGTGAGATTGCAGGGACATGATCTATACAACAACACCACTTCATTAAAATGAAGATATTTTGGTGCTTATAGTGTCCCTTAAGTATTTTTTATGACACCTACTATGGGGCACCTGTGTGCAGTGCTGTGATGCTCCCCATGCCTGGTCAGAAAACATTATTTGAACATGTAGTATTTTAGTGATGCTTCTAAAGCCTGATGCACCAGTATACTGTATAATACATCAAAATGACTCATATTTATCCCTTATTCCAGGCTCTAGCAGAATCATTATTCAATATTGCATCTTCTGGCAGGGCCACCCAGCCCAGGGGGGCAAATATCTAGGTGGCTGGCACTTCTTGTAGCTTGGCCGAGTGCTAGCATTACCTTCCTGAAAAGTGATGTCACTGCAGCCCAGGCACCACTACAGGGTGTGCATGTGAGCTATGCAGGCAGTACACATGTGGATCGGAGCTCCCTCAGACCAGCACAGCAGCATCCCACACTGGACCCCAGCCTGAGGATCCTCTCCAGTTCTCCTAATGGTAGGAAGACTGGGTGGATTTTAAGAAAATCCTCTAATACAAAAATATTTTTTTGAGTGTGTATGTGTGTGACAATGTATGTTAGTGTGTGAGTTTGTGTGTGTCAGTGTTTTTGAGTGTGTTTCACTGTTTATGTGCCCCACACTAAATCCTTAATCCCCCACAATACTGCCCCTACCACCCCACTACACCGTTCCTATCTCCCCACCCTAATATCTCTATTCCCCTCACCAAAGCCCTAATCTCCACACAACACTGCCCTTATCCCCCACACTAAAGCTACTTTCCCCACAATACTGTTTCTACCCCCCCAACTAACACCCACAATATTTCCCTATCCCCCCACACTAAAGAATCATTCCCCCATAATACACAATAAATTCATAATAAAGCCCAAATCACCCACTATACTGCCCTTATTCCCCTATTCTAAAGCCCCTCACAATACTGCCTGTATTTCTCGATACTGCCCCTATCTTCCCCTACTAAATCCCCTGTCCTACACAATACTGCCTATATCCCCCTTCCACTAAAACCTTTTTGTACGGCGCTATGGCATTTCTTGTCGCTTTATAAAGAATAATAATAAAATCCCTATCCCACAGTAACACACAAAGGGACTGGTGGGGAAGTAAGAGCAGGGCCGGTGCTAGGATTTTTGACTACACAGGCGAAGATGCATTTTGACGCCCCCCCCCCCAAAAAAAAAAAAAATACAATGCATCTTCACCTCTGTGTCTCGTAGCCCCCTTTTGAATTTCTTACCCCCATTAGTGTTGCATATCCACTCTCTTGAATGTCTTATCCCTTTGGCCCCTTTGTGCCTTACACCCCCCTTTAGTGTGTCTCCTACAACACCTCTTATGTATTTCTTACTTCCCCGCCAGCCCCTATCTATCTCTCTTTTTCTTCCACATAGACATAGATACAGGCAAAAATACATACATGCACAAATACACAAACATACAGACACACAACCATACAAGCACACAGACATAATTTTTCAGGCACACAGTCACAAAGATATACAGACACACAGTCATAAAAGGCACACAAACAAACACAGTCATACAATCTACACATACAGGTACATTGTCATACAAACACAGACATACATTCATACAGACACAGGCCCTCACAGAAATACAGACAGACATAAAGAAACATAGAGATAGGCATACAGAGACATACATACACAGATACCGTGTAAATGCTCCGGCCATCAACAGTGGTGGATGCTCCGTGTCAGGCGGACATCGCTGGATCCACCAGTAAAGTCTTCAATAGGAATAAACGCAGGCAACACTCCAATAGTAAGGATGGTATATTTATTGGTAGGTGAACCACCCCATAGAAAGTGTGATGTTTCAGCTCATGCAATAAGGCTCTGCTGAGCTGAAACAACGCACTTTCTTTGGGGTGGTTCACCTATCAATAAATATACCATCCGTACTATTGGAGTGTTGACTGCGTTTATTCCTTTTGAATACATACACACAGTCATACAGAGACATACATACTGTATGTCTCTGTATGATGGTCTGTGTATGTACACAGGATGGCTAAAAGATAGATCCCCATCTGTCGTGCAACTTCAACAATGCTTTGAAAGCTGGGGCTCTACCGATTCCCCATGCTTGCAGTATTGTATTTAGCATGGAGCAGTATTTGTGTGTTTGACTGTAAGCATGTGTTTGTATGGAGTATGTTTGTATGATTGTAGCGGTGTGTTTGTATGTAGTGTTTGCATTTGAATGCAAGCATGCATTTATGTGTAGTGTTGGTTTTTGAACGTAGGTGTGTGTTTATATATAATTTTGGTGTCTGATACAGAGGTGTGTTTGTATGTAGTGTTGACATTTGAATGCAGGTGTGTGTTTGTATGTAGTGTTGTTGTTTGCATGCAGGTGTTTATTTGTGTGTAGTGTTGGTGTTTGAATGCTGAGATATATGCACATATACACATACACTGCCACACACCCACACACTGTGATACACATACACAAAGATACACACACTGACGCACATGCAGATATACATATACACAAACTGATACACATTCAGATACACAGACACACATATACAGATACACACAAACACTGACAGATATACAGATAAACATACACTGACATACAGACACGCTGACAGACATACAGATACACACATACACAATGATAGACATACACAAACACACAAAGACACACAGACATACACACACTGACAGACATTTAGATACACACAGACACACGGACAGAGACATTTATATACACACACACACTGACAGACATAGATACACACACACTGACAGACATATACAAACACACTGACAAACATACAGATACACACATACACAATGATAGACATACACAAACACACACTAACAGACAGACATACACACACACTGACAGACATTTAGATACACACAAACACACGGACAGAGACATATACATACACACACACTGACAGACATAGATACACACACACTGACAGACATATACAAACACACTGACAGACATATACAAACACACTGACAAACATACAGATACACACATACACAATGATAGACATACACAAAGACACACTAACAGACAGACATACACACACACTGACAGACATTTAGATACACACAAACACACGGACAGAGACATATACATACACAAACACTGACAGACATGGATACACACACACACTGACAGACATGGATACACACACACACTGACAGACATGGATACACACAGACACACTGACAGACATGGATACACACACACACACACACACACTGACAGACATGGATACACACAGACACACTGACCAACAGGTTCAGGAGGGGGGCTTACCTGGGATCCAAAGTGCTGCCTGAGGTAGTTGGGAGTTGGAGGAGCTGGTCCTGCCCAGCCCCCCTCCTCTCTGCCTTCTGCTGCTCTAGTCTTCTTGGGAGGACTTCCTCCCATGCTGATAGAAGGGGGCCCGTAGCTCCGCCCCTGCTGGGCACCAGCCGCGCTGTGTGCTACAGAGGGAGCAGGGATATGACGTTCATATCCCCGCCCCCTCCACACAGTCCGCGGCACTGCAGGGTGGCGCTCGGCCACGCTACAAGAAGTGACCGGCAGGAGAGGGGAGCTGTGCGCTTCCCTCCTGCCGGTCACCCGGACATTTGCGCCCCCGGGCCGGTGCGCCCTAAGGCGGCCGCCTGTGCCGCCTTATGGACGCGCCGGCCCTGAGTAAGAGAAGCACATGGGGGGTATAAAACACAGTAAAGGGGGGATATATTAAACTAAAGGTGGTGTAACGCACACAAAGGGGTAAGACATTCAAGAGGCGAGAAGCATTCAAGGGGTAAGAAATTCAAAAGGAGGTTTACGAGACATATATGAAGATATTTTTTTTGGGGGGGGGTGGGGGAGATGCCTCATTATACATCGCCTGTGTAGCTAAAAATCCTTGATCTGGCCCAGCTTCTGGGGCTGTCGTTTCACCAGAATATTGTTATTAAGTGGACTTTAGAGACATTTCAATATTATTTTTTAGGGACTAAATTTAGCCTAATCACAGACCATGCTCCTCTCACACAGACAATGCAAATTAATAATAACAAAAAAAAATCATAACACTAGAGTCACTTAGTCTAAAACCTATAATGTAATGTAAAGAAACAGCATAGAATATAACCACTAACATGAAATCTAAATATTGGGATGTGGTATCATCAAATATTGGCACAATGTAAAATTGATAGCTCTAACATGAATTACCAATTTCTGTCATCTCAGTCCCACAGTACGATCATATAGAACCTTTGATCCTGTTCCCCCAGCTATTATCCTTCTTTTTCTTTACCTAACTAGTGTTGCCTGGTTTTCGTCGTTATTTGATCGGGTCATGTTCTCCCTATGGTGCAACTTACATATCGAGATTTCACATGGACGCTATGTGTTCGCCAGCTATGCCTTCTAATGTACCTGTGCTGTGCACTTCTTCATTGTGTCATTTCTTAGTATTTGACTTTAGCATTGGCAAAAATGTAAATGAAGAATGAAAAAATGAATATACCAACTAAAGGCAGCAAGTGTTTGTGCACTGCTGGTTTATGTGACGACTGATTGATGTCAATGTGTCATATTGTCATTAATGTGTGTGGTCTACAACCATCTACAATTTTTGTTCTTACATTATTATTATTTATGTATTAACTTACCAGCCAATAAATATGAAAAAGTTTATAATTCTTACTATTATTTTGCAATTAAAGAAAATGTATTGCTGATTCAGTATTAATGTGGGATAAATTAGGCCACTAATTTGGCTAACATGGATGTATTTGTTGCTACAGTGACTGAGATGATTTTGCACCTTCTACCAATATTCTATATTTCCACCACTTACCTAGAGATGTTACATGTTTTCAGCCAACGTTTAATGAAGAAATACTTTGATGTTCGGTAAGCAAGTAACGTGTAACTAACAATATACACACACCATTTGGATCAATAGCAGAGATGTATGGAATTTGATGAAGAAGATGCTCTTCTGTCATTTTGTAAATATGTTATATGTATGTAAATTGATGTGAAGTGACCATAGTAATCTTCATCAATATGGTGGCTCGTTGATGTGGTGTGTATAGTTTCAAAGATAACTTTGTGTGACAGAACAGTGCCCCCATATAACTCTTTTACTTACCTTTGTGAATTATTAGAATCTTAAAAACGTAATGAAGAACCAGGCAATAAATGACAGCAATTTAGGAATGACCATAACTGTGTAAGTGCAACCATGAATTTGAGACTTTATTTAGAGCCATGATCTGGTATCATGTTCTGACAAACTTTACTTTGTGGGTAAAGATGTGGAGGGAACAGCCCTTTCAGGAGATACATGGGCTGACGTCAAACTGTTCTGTTAGTTCACACTTTTGTGTTTTAGATTTGAAGGCCATTAAAGTTCTGTCATAACTCCATGTGCTTTTTCCTGTGATGACTTGATTTTTTATCCGCTAGGTGTATCTTAATTAATCAACACAGACACTTTACCTTTAAAGCAATCTTGACGTTTCTTTGAAGCAACTGCAAGGCAGAGTTTTAAAGTTGACAGATCTAATACAATACCATGTGATAGCTTGTTTGAAATGTATGTAATATTTTGTACACACATTTAAATTTCATGACAACATCAGAAAATAAAATAAAATGAAAAGGAAACACAGATCTAAAGGAAATCATTTGCATTTATTCTGGAAGTAACTTGTCAGAATAGAAAAATTCTGGTGATGCACATGGACGTGATTGTCTTGAGACGTATGTTTGATCAGGTAAGTTAAAGCTCTGTTGTTCGTTAAAATGGATCTGGGGCACAATGTCAATTTCCATGACTTATAGCAGCATCTGCATTTAAAAGTATTCCGGCACTAATTTAATAAATGTTCATTCAAAAACATTTGCGCACTGCCACTCTTTTTCAAATGGACCATATGATAAAGATAATGATTGATATATGATCTTAGCAATTATCAAAATCAGTTCAAAAGTCCATTGATATAAATTCAAAGAGCTACTTTGTAAACAATAATCTACTTACCAATTAATATTTTATTCTCACTTCATGTTATTTATTGATGGTTTATACACATTGAAAACATAGATATTTATTGCAGTATTCCAGTTTATGTATGATGTTCCAAAAATGATGAGTTTTACAGTAACGTAACACATCAAAGTGCATGGCAGTCCAGAGTGGCATTACTTACAAAGAATTAGACATTTTACCTGCAGAAACTAACAAGCAGGGACGTATATTATACAGAGATGAAGATAGGTTCTCGTGAGTTTACGGGATCTTCTCATAGAAGGACGGGTGAAATTATTATTTTGTTTGTCATATGCACTGATCTTTCTGTGGTCACAATGAGGAAACCCAGACTACATTCACAGTTGGCAGAGGACATTGCTCATTGATAAGACAATACTGTTTATCTGATTAAATATTAGAGGAATTCTAAACATTTACCAAAATTATCCATTTAGAAAGTGTTCCAACAAGAAGATCGAGAAATTTCTCACTCTTAAATTTGTCCGGCTTAACTCATAATACTTCACACTAATGACGGACTGTGCATAAATTAAATATATTGAGAGCAGATTTATTAATACATTAAGTGCAGAGTTTTGTCTCAAGACAAACCTTTTGCAAGCTTCTTCTTAGCCGATATGCTGTACTTTGTGTTAATAAATCTGCCTTCAATGTATCAAATATGCTCCTGGTTCATCTTTACTTATGTGGAGGCGTATTGTTGCAGAGGACTTGGTTTGTTTTACTGATGTGTGCCTTCTCAGTATTGTTTTTAAGGCCAGACACTGAAGACTGAAGTTGCATTCGACAGGCGTGTAGCTTTATATGATATGAATGTATGAGCTTATTTTGAAGTTTAGCATAAGCTACATGGTTGTCAATAGCAGAGAGAAAGACATTATCAAAGTATTGTTTTACATTCATTCAAATGGAATTGCAAATGGTCAGACAAGATTATAGATTAATAGTGTTTTTAGTATGTTTTGATTTACTTTACAACCAACCAAATGTAATTTTAATGCTGTTGCATCCATTAAGTTAGCTTAAAGTGAATTTATAAAATGGCTGCGTAGTGAAGTGATGTCACAATAAGTACCTCTTTAATGGTTGCAGGTCATGCAAGACAGAGAGGAGAGTTCAGTCTTGATTTTGTGAATGAACTTTGCTCATGGCAGTCACATGGCGTAACAATTTTGAACAACAAGCTGACTTCTACAACTTTTAGAATCTGTCTGCCATCTGTGCACGTACCCAGCAAATAATAACAGTGTGAACCAAGTTTTATGGGTCCAGAGGTAATTACTAATAAACCGATATGTTTATAAATGTAAATGGTCAATTTTTAATTTCTTTAATGTCACATGAACACATAGGAAGGGGTTCAAGTATTTTCGGGTATTCAATAATGTATATATTATTTTAAATTTATAGTGAATTTCAAATATTTGGCCAAATGTTTGTGAGCACACACTTGACTTTCTTTTATTGAATCTTTATTTTATTTTGGCCTAATATTAGAAATTCAATATGAATCCCCAGCAATTCACACTTTAATGAATAATACTAACTATAAGTGTTCTCTTCTTTGAACATTAAGCTCACAGACACCCATTAAAGACAGACGCAAGAATGATTAGCTCTATGTCTCTGCCTAGAATTGGAAGATGATCATAAAAACCTCAGAAAACTATGATATGGAAAATGATTTCAAATTGTTTATTAACAGACACAGCTTTTCTAAAATATACCTTTATATTTATTTTTGTCCTCCTTTAACTGGAATAAACAGAAGCCAACAGGGTGTTATCTCCTTTGTTTTAATTGATCTTAGATGCATATATAAATGTAAATCCTGTTTTAATTGTTGCAGTGGTGCTATGTTACCCATACCTTGTCAACTGAAAACACAAGCTATCAGGACAGCTAATTTCAATGGAAAGATTTCCTTTCAGAGTCTTAGCATACGTTATCAAACATCCCACTAATAAAAAAATAACAAAACAGCACCAGATATACAGAAACAAAAAAAAAATTCAAAAAAGAATTAATGACATTTACAATGACAAATCTTAAAAAAACACCCTCATTATCATCAAGTCTCACTATAGCAGACCTGGGATAAAACGTGTGCTTAAAACAGCACTAGAATTTAGAAAAGAAAAAACTAAAAAACACTACTGTAACCCAATTTTTAGATAAGTAAAGTATGTAAAGTGTTCTCGCACTCTCTCTCTCTCTCTTTATATATATATATATATATATATTTCCACCCAAGTTGGAGCAGATTGTCTTTGTAAACACTGTCTGACTGTGTTCAAATTTTCCCAACAGAAGCAGGTTTTGCATAGCGCTGTCCCTATCAAGTTTTTGCTATAAAATACTGTATTTTACCAACAAAGCTTACTGGCAGAAAAACTTTGGACTATCACACTAAACATATCTAATGAAAATGTCTCTAAGATAAACTGATAAAGAAACGATATGTTCTTTTTCTGGCTAGTGTGGCAGATAATGCTACTTACTATATTGACTTATTGACTTGTTCGTATTTGAGATAGGAGCAGAATGGCACATACTTTTTCTGACTTTGCAGTAGTCTATATATATATATATATATATAGATTTATATACAATATATATATATATATATATATATATATATATATAGACAGTGTGCAGTTTGGGTCAGAATAAAAAAATTTGGTGACAGGACAGTAATATTGGCTATATAACATTGTGACATAAATCATGTAGACTACATAAAAAATAAAATAAAACTAAAAACATTTTTTTCTGGATTTTCAGGAGAGATACATAACTATGTTTTTTTTTTTGTTTTGTTTTTTAATGCCCAGTGATTCATTTCTGATTAAAAGAAAATGAATTCTTCTTGTGAGCAAGTTTATATTTCATTCTTATAAGAATGACCATTCACCAACACACTGACATTCTACAAACTATTGCCAATTTAATAATTACTTCCAATGAAAAGCACATAGCAGAATATGGTGGCTCTATCCAACCCCTTGGTCAAGCAGTGAACCTCGACGGACACAAAATTTCCTGACGTTTTCAAGGAGGTGATGGCCCGGAGTAAAGCTGAATCCATTGGGATTTATTCATATTCACCAAAAGAAACTGCAAAAAGAAGAGAAAAGTTTTCTTACAGTTTTATTGATGAATATGGTATTTCACAGTTAAACGCTTTGCTTGTGGTCAGGGTATTTTTGAGCGTGCAGGTACTTTGACAAATACACAAGTATTTTTATTGAACAAAAATGTTTGATGCTAGACTATGGCTATCCAACTTTTTACTGGGATGGAAATCATTATTCATGAGTTCTATTAAAATAACAATAAAGTGCACACAATCCATATCCATATGTTTTGATTAAAACAGACAACCATATCAAAGTTCTAGCTGGCTGCATCCGGCACTTATGGTGCTAGATGGACTGCCTTGTGCGATTTTGATTTTTTTTCATCAAATCAATTGATTACAATATGGTCCCATACAATATAATCTGCCAGAAGAATTTTCCATTTCCATATTTATTAGTGTCCAATGGCAAAAGGAAAACTAGAGTAATTTAGAATGAATATGGATCATTAGTTTCCACTAAGTTTCCTTTTTTTTTTTTTTGGAACAGTGAATTTGGTGTACATTAAAACATTAAAGGGACACTGTAGCTAAATGAAAGAGTTTTGGTTCAGAATTTCTTATCACCTAATCTGTTCATAGCATTCTGGATCCTGCTTTGTGCGATTAAATTTACATTTTCAGAGCAGCAGATAAAAACTTACAGAGCAAGTTAAAGGGACACTATAGTCCCCCAAACAACTTTAGCTTAATGCAGTTTTGTTGTTTAGATCATGCCCCTACACTCTCACTGCTTAATTTTCTACCATTTATGAGTTACATCACTTTGTTTATGCAGTCCTAGTCACACCTCCTTGCATGTGACTTGCACAGCCTTCCTAAACATTTCCTGTAAGTGAGATCTAATGTTTAAACTTACTTTATTGCACAGTTTAATAGCGTGCTAGACCTTGCAAGAGCCTCCTGTGTATAATTAAATTTACAGAGCAGGAGATAAAAACGTCTAAAGTAAGTTAGCATCTATTTGAACATTAAAAGATTTTTGTGTGGCTAGGGCTGCATGGACAGAAACAAAGTGATTTACCCCCTAAATTGCAGATAACTTCAGAGGCATGATCTATACAACAAACCTGCTTCATTAAGCATATCTGTATGGAAATATGTATATCTTTGATATGTTTCTATAATACAAGCACAAATACTTAATTATGTTCAATTAAAATAATTAAAAGAACACTTCAAATACCAATACAAATTTAAAAATGCATTTGACAGTTTTTTGCCTCATTAATATACTGTATTTGTTTTAAGCTCAAGTCTCAAAGTTTTCGCACTCTTTAGCAAAGTGACCTCATGCCAGAAATACTTTCTTATTAGTGTATGTACACATATCAGCCTCTTAACAGCACTGATTGAGCTGCTTTTATTTCACAACCTGACTGCAGAGTCAGAGAAACCACAAACAGGTAGCGATATCCATAGGATTTGTCTTCCTGAGTGTCCTCTTGCTTTGTGTTATCAATGGCTGAGCTGTGTACATACATTTGACAAGGAAGTGCTTTTTCTAGAATGAGGGTGTGTGGCTAAGGAGACAGGCATATTGTGCAGCATTCTTGTAAAATATTTTTTGTTGCAAAACCAAAAATGATTTGAGCATGCCAAACATGCAGCATATTAATGAGTCTAAACCCAAATACATAAAAATGTTACTGGATGTTCATAGTGTCCTGTAAACTACAGCCAATTGAATAAGAAGCAGACTGCCTCATTGTTTAAGAAAACCTAACAAAAGTCTGTATGATGCACTGCTATAAACATAAGACTCACCCCATAATACATAGACTCTAAAAACAAAACTAAAAGGGCAAACAGTATGGCAAAGTGCAGGCTGGTTGCCTAAATGCAGTTATATATGAGATAGATTAGATAGATAGCGATAGATCGATAGATTAGATTAGATATAGTAGATAGATAGATAGATAGATATATCACGTAGATAAATAGATATAGATTGATAGACTAGATAGATAGACAGATAGATAGCTTAGATAGATAGATATATAGATAAATAGATAGATAGAGATTGATAGATTAGATAGGTAGATAGACAGATAGATAGCTGAGATAGATAGATAAAGCTTTTTATATTAGATAGATAGATATTGATAGATAGATAGCTTAGATAGATAGATAGATAGAGATTGATAGATTAGATAGATTGATATAGATTGCTATATTAGATAGATAGATGGATAGATAGAGCTTGATAGATTAGATAGATAGATAGATAGAAATTAATAGATTATATAGATTAGATAGATAGATAGACAGACAGACTGACTTATGGCACTTATCTCTACAGAAATTGAAATGTTTCAGTTTTTACATTTCTCATGAAGTGACTTTTAGTGTTTTTTTACATTTATGCATTGTATATATTTAGCGTTTTATAGTTTCCAATGTGTCTAAATATATACACTATTCTTCTTTTTTATGTACTTGAAAATGAATCATCCATGTTAAAGGGCCTTGTGTAGTAAAACATTTTAGTAGGAAATACAGTATTTTACACTTTCAAATAAGTTATGCAGTACATTGGTTGTTGATAAAGTATACCACTGTTGGGCCTGCTCAATAGACAAAGTGAAAGCTTTGCACAGCAAAAGTACAGCTAAATTAAACCTGATTAAAAACTGTACACCCTAACCTATGGAAATATGAATATTATTTACTTGTTTGTTTCTTTTTTAACCAGAAAGTTATGTTATTAACCACAGCAATAACTCATGCAAGTCATTTGGCATACAAATATTCATAGAGATTGAATATCTAATATTGACCAAATGGAAAGTCTAATATCTTATTATTAATTCTTCTGCTTATCTGACTCATGCTATCTATAAGTCTGTCACTATACTGTCTTACATATTAGACATGCCACAATACAATATTATTTTATTATTTATATAGCGCCATCACATTCCGTAGCGCTGTACCTATCTATCTCACTGGAAGGAGTACTATTATAACATATTTTACCAATAAGGGTTCACTGTGCAACAACACAAAAACAATCTATAATATCACATTTAAAACAAAGTTAAACTTAAAAACATAGGTTATTCAAACATAAACGTGTTTTACAAGTGACTCATACTGTATGTATGTATACTGTGTTTTTTACATTAGTTTTAAGCATGATTTCGTTTGAATTGTTATTTATTTTTCTGATATCTTTTTATTGTGTCGATTAGCACCAATTTCCTTTGTTCCATAGGAACAAAGTAGTAATGTCCAATCACAAGTGTCATAGTCAAGCTGACAATAATTACAGAAATTAGTTCTTGTGACTGGGTATAAACTGCGGCAAACCAGTCATTTACCTGAGTAATTATGTTGCCAAAATCTCATAGAGCTGCCAGAGAAAATGGACCAATTCTATAGTAGTCACTGTGCCAGAATACACAGGTGAATATTCATTAAACAGAGAGTTGACTAGTGACTTTTCAACGTTAGAACACAATAACTGAGCTTACCACAGCTGTCTGTAGCCCAAACTGTGATATGGTGTAGCAAAACAAGATAATTTATGTGCTTGTTGACATACAATGCAAAATGGGTACAGCATTACAAAATGCTACACATATATAATGACAATACATAATAACTTATATATAAATATAAACATTGTTTTGTGATATTAATATTGTGTTGTGGTTGATATTAAAACCCAAGCACTTATATTGGCTGTCATTGCATTCTTCTTCCTGTAATGCAATACATAAGCACTTGATTTTTGTACATACTGTTAGAAAGTACACACTTTATAAAATATTAAGCAAAATATAACAATATTAAAAACAATATTGCATACACAAAGTAGCTGCAAATCTAATTTTAGTAGGAAAACTCCTACTACTAAGACTAATTAACGCAAAAGTGTAACTTCTGCATTATTGAGTAGTCAAAGCAAATTAACTTATTTTTTAGTAACTGTCAAGATGACAATAATTAGTTTATATGCAGCACACTTTCAATATCTTGTTGTTGAAGGATCACTACATAAAAAAATAACAATTTAGTAGATACACTTCCAAAGAAATATGCATATAACATGCCTCTCAACGGTCCAAATTCTGGTGGGACAGTCCTGATTTTCAGGTCCTGTCCTGCGTCCTGACTTGGGTCGCAATTTAATTAAATTTTTAAAGCTTTTCAAATTAATTAATATTGTTTTTCTACCCAACCTTCTCTAGACTGTAAGCTCGTTTAAACAGGGTCCCTATCAACCTATTGTTCCTGTAACATCTTGTAATTGTCTAATTTATCGTTAAATTTCCCCCTTTTTATAATATTGTAAAGTGCTGCGGAATAAGTTGGCGTTCTATGAATGCCAATTATAATATTAATTAATAGTTTGGAATAAACCTTTAAAACGATGTAAAATGAACAAATATTTAAACTACGTAAGGTTTTGATATGTTTTGATATTTTCATATATATATTTAATATTTTTAAAAATATTTTTAAAAGTTTATTAAAAAATCTTAAATCATTTGAAAATCTTATCCAACATTATTAAAATGAGGCCTTAGTTCCTTGGTGGCCAGCTTTGGATGACTGTTAGGCAGCCTGAAGTGTGTTATGTGTTTTGTATGTTCCTTTAAGCCCTTAAGGACACATGACATGTCTGACATGTCATGATTCCGTTTTATTCCAGAAGTTTGGTCCTTAAGGGGTTAAAGAGTCCCTATAATCACCAGATCCACGACAGCTTAAAGTAGTGGGTCTGGTGTCTATATCCTGTCACTGCAAGCTTTTCAATTTAAATACTGTATTTACAGAGAAAATACTGTGTTTCCATGGCTACTTAGTAATACCTCTAGTGGCAGTCACTCAGAGGACCACTAGAGGTGCTTCCTATTTCAGTAATGCACAGTATACAGCACTGGCGTTCAGCGTCTTCATGCTCTACATGGAGACGCTGAACATTCCCCGTAGAGATGCATTGATTTAAATGAGATCCTGATTGGTGCAGTACAGCCTTCCAATGCACAATTGGTGCACTATAGCCCTCCAAAGCATTGGATTGGCTGCAGGGCTAGAACATTTTTTTGACCTTGGCATTTTTTAATCACAGCGGCCCACTGAGAAGGGGGCATGGCCAGAGGGGGGGTGTTTTGTCATCACAAATGGCAAACATGCCCTCTCTCACGGTGAACTTGTTGGTTCAATGTTCTTCAAGGGTAGACAATGCACAGAGCTCTGCTAAAGAGCTCTAGCATGAGAAAATGGCGCAGTATTTGTTCTGCACAGCGCAAGCAGTTTTTATTAACATGCATGTGCTGTGTTTGCTTGTAACCTGTCTCTGGTGTCTCCATAAGTGGTATACCAGGAGACAAAAGGGCCAGGAAAGAGTATTGTGCCTGTGTTTGGAGCCTGCTTGTGGGATTGTGTGTGTGTAAAGTGAACTGATTATGGTGTGATGTTGTGTAAATAGGTCAGTTTCAGTTGTGTTGTGTTTGTGGGGTAATGTGTGGCTAGGGGCTGTACAGAGTGAGAGAGCGTGTATGGGGAGCATAGTGTGTATAGAAGTTGTGGAGTGTGTGTGTTTATGGAATGAAGTTTGTGTGTGCTTACAAGGAATCCAGTGTGTGCATAGAGGATCCACAGTTTGTATGTCAGGAATGTAGTGTGTGTGAAGGGGATCTAGTGTGTGTTTGAAGGACCCAGAGCATGAATAGGAGATTTAGTGTGTGTTTGATCGTTTACACAACTCTGGATCATCTACACACACTAAATCCCTATATACAATGCTCTATACACACAGTGTGCGTAGATAATCCAGAGTTGTGTAAGGGATCTAGTGTGTGTCTGGAATGTAATGTGTGTATGAGGGGTGCTGTGTGTGTATGTGAGAGAGAGGTGCAGTGTGTGTGGGGTGGTGGTCCTGTGTGTGAGGGTGCTGTGTGTGTTTGTAAGGGTGCTGTGTGTGTGATAATGGTGCAGTATGTGAGGGGGCGGTTTGTGTGTGAGGGGGCACTGTGTGTGAGGTTTCTGTGTGTGTGTGTGTGTGTGAGGGATGCTGAGTGTGAGGGGTGCTGTGTGTGTGTGAGGGTGATGTATGTGTGGGGGAGATAGACTAATGTAAATATATATATATTTTTTTTAATTTAAAGAGCGGATTCAGAGTGTATATAGGGATCTAGTGTGTGTGTGTGTAGATGATCCAGAGTTGTGTCTGGAATGTAATGTGTGTAGGGATGCAGTGTGTATGAGAGGTATAGTTTGTTGTGGGGTTGCAGTGTGTGTGAGGGGAGTCTGGGTGTGTGTGTGTGTGTTGCAGTGTGTGTTTGAGAGGTGCTGTGTGTGAGGAGTGCTGTGTGTGTGTGGGGGGGGCTGTATGTGAGAGGTAATGTGTGTGTTTGAGAGTGCAGTGTGTGAGGGTGTTCTGTGTATGTGAGGCTCCTGTATGTGTGTATGTGAGGGGTGCAGTGATGAGGGTGCTGTGTTTGTGTATGTTAGGGGTGCAGTGTGTGAGGGGTGCTATATGTGTATGTATATGAGGGGTGCAGTGTGGGAGGATGCTGTGTGTATGTGAGGGGTACAGTGTGCAAGGGTGCTGTGTGTGTGTGTGTGTGTGTGTGTGTGTGTGGGGTGCAGTGTGTGAGGGTTGCTGTGTGGAAAATGTTTGTATTCCTGACTCTATAACTTTCTTTTTCCATAGACTCAGATTATGCTCATGGAATTAACCAAGCAACTTAACAATGTTAACCCAATTCAATTGCCCATTTTGTTATATAAAATTCAACACAATACATTTTGCATTGGAGCTTTCCATTCCGACAAACAGACTTTAATGAGGAATGCACAGCTGCAACAAACAATATTTTGTGGGCAGCTGAATGGGGCCTGATGGAAATAATGTGTCTGATCCAGCAGTTAGTGGCCCGCTGATATTAATTCTAGATCTAGTTTTGGAACTGATTTAATATTGTTGGATAAGATTGCCAAATGATTTAATATATTTGGATAAACTTCTAGAATGATTTGATATTATGGAAATGATTTACATTTTTGATATGAATATGTCTGACAATATGATATGTATTTTTATATATGATATATACTTTGATATATTAAATCATCTGGAAAGCTTATCCAACAATATTAAATTGAGGCATTTGTGTCCTGACCCAAGGGTTAAGATCCACTTTATCAAAACATCAACTACAGGCTTAAAATAAAGCATCTTATTACTAAGAAGAGGTAGCATACTGTGATGTTTTCAAATCAATCATGAAAAAGTTGAAGCTTTTTATAAATATTCCTACTTTGTCCCCTACTAGCTCAACACAGAATATTATTTACTTAATGGACATCCATATTTCAGCACATTTCCATTTTATATTATGGAATATATGCTTAGGGAATAATTAACAATTATGTGTGTAGATATAACAACATTTACCCTTGTTTATCTTATATTAACAATTCAATTAATACAAATCTAATACAAAAATTGTATCTAAAATTGTAAACTCAAATATCCAACATAGAGATAAAACACAATACACTGATACAAAAAAATCATGTCAATGCTGTTTTATTGTACAATTATTGTATACAGATACAAATTAAAATAACTTTGATAAAACAGTACTGTATGTAATATGCATTATAATATATAAAGTCCAACCCTAAAATGTATAATTTATACACAAGATCCTTTCTCGTTCTTCGGATTAGAAATATTGATGTACCCACATTAATAATGAACGTCTACATATTTGGGTAAGACAAGCCCAGATGATTAAACTCTTGAATATACAATGCTATGCGTGATAAAAATATAATGTTGTCGACCTGTTGCAAAATGTTTGATTGATTTAAATAAGAATAGACCAAAATTATAATACTGGTAACAAATCATTTTTTTTTTTACATATGGATGGATTGTTGAACAAGATGTCCCTCTTCTAGATGAAGAATTTCCAAAACATTCTATGGCTCGTATAACGTGATGGAAAAAAAAAAGCAATGTTTTATGTTAGATAAGAGAAAATATCAGAACGATTGGATTTCCATTTGAACAGTACCTACTTCTTTAAAGGCACTAGGATATCAGCTACCTTGATTTTATTTTTTTCTGGAATGTTGTTTGCTTTGAGATTGATCTCACTTGCTGAAGTCTGCTCAATAGCTGCAACGTTTTTATTATTGTGTGAATTACCTTGGGGTCAAGAACACACTGGATTTACATGATCATCTGAGGAAAAATATGGTCCTGAAAGTCCTCCTCACATGGTTTTGCCATACAAGACGTAACCGATAAATGTTTATAAGTCAAAGACTTTTATAAATATTACTATAGATTAATCAATGCATTAATATTCTATATAAACTGTTTCTTTTTTATGTATACTCAGAATGCAACTGTCAGGGTACTCACCTCATCTCAGCATCATTTTTCTACACAATGCAATGTTGTGAGTCATTCTGACATCTATTTTGACAAGGAAACCGTTTCAGCATCAAAAAATTGACCCAGTGCGTCATCCTGGTGTCAATTTTGATGCAGGACATTCTGTATTGCTTCAGCGTCACAAATGTTCCCCAACCCATTCCTCATGGACCACTCAATAGTCCAGGTTTTGGCAGTATCTCCATTGGAATAAAACAGGGCCACACAAGAAATTCTGGACTGTTGGTGGTCCGTGAGGACTGGTTGGGGAACACTGGACTAAACAGTGCATGATCCCATAATCAAGACTTATACAGATCACTCCAGTCTTAGATTTTTTACAGCCAAAATTATGACAGCATGGGTGCATTTTGGCGCCACTGTTCAGGTATTGCCCTGATCACTCAAAACGCTAGGGCTTTTTGCACTCACTTAACACAAGTGCCCTGTCATGGTCTCTAGTAACCCGAGTGTGCATTTTAAATGTTATTTGCTATTTCAAGATATTGATTGTAGTTGTTTCTTGACTATTCTGAACTCTCTAATCTTGACTTTGGCTTGTTTACACATTCTGTCATTATGATTTACTCCTTTTGACCTTAGCCTAATTTTCAACTATTCTGTTTCTGTTTTATCAGTTAAGCCTACGGCTATGGCTGGTAATACAAACTATTTCTTAGTTCTGTCCTAGTCGATGTTGGGACACAGTACCCTCCTGGCAATGACACTGTGAATTTCACAGTATCTGCTCAATTGCTAGAGTCACAGAAGTTGCATGTGAAGTATTTTCACATCACAATAAAGGATTATCTAGACACTGATCATCAGATCAGCATAAATTGGACTCCTGTTTATATATGCATATATATATATATATATATAAACAAACCAACAATAGGTTTTGAAATAATATACAATTGGGCAATTTAGGTCACAATAGTTGCCCATTATAAGCGGAACATCTTCAAAATGAGTTCTCCTAAGCTGCTTCTTGAAGTTGTAATCATTATCAATGCAGAATAAGCAAACATTTTACTTTTATAAATGATATATTTTCTAAAGAGGTTCAGCAGTATTTACAGAACTATTGAAAGGTCCTCTGTTGTAAAACAGTTCAATTTGTTAAGATTAACACAGCGCAGATGAGACGCTAGGTTACATCCATGAGTAACATCACCAGCCCATTTTGTGGCTGCAGTGAAGGCAGGCACAGGAAAAACTACTATAAGATTCTTTCATCCTGAGTATTTTTTTATTGACATAATTGTAATATGGTAACACATTTTGTCTCTTTATTTTCTGTTGCTCCCACTATGAATATTTAGAATTGAAGTTGATTTTTAGAATTAGAAATCTTTGAAATCTTTGAAATATATATTAAACAATATGAATATCCAATAAGTTTAAACAAAGATCATCGGATGTTTTTACTTGCTTAAGTTCCATTTCCTATTTCATCCATTTTCTTACAATATCTAAACTGTCGTAAACCACAAAATGAATCATTTTTTCTTTATTCAGAAAAAAACATACACATTGTAAAATAATTTAACTTACCATCAAACTTCCAATTACATAGAATGATCTTGGAATAATAAACACTTGTTTATGTTTGATATGCAAACTATTTAGATTAATGGGACAAAACTAAACAAAAAAAAAAAAGATAAAAACAAGTCAATTATGTAAAACTGACAAATAAAACCCTTTAATTAGAATAACGATGATCTTAATATGTATCAGTAATGAAAGCAACAAGAAAATTAGGAAGCAAAAGTTGCCCAGAGAGTAAAACAATACAAATTATTATTAAAAAAAAGAAAGACATGTTGCCCCTCTGTCAGAATGATAAATAACTGGCTGATATCCCTCTGGTGCTTAAAGTCCACAGATATCATAGTTTGATGGGCATTTGGAAAGTCCTGTCTTGAGGCTAAAACACTTTACACACCTCTTGGAATAATTACAGAGACCCCAAGCCAGTTACTTCTGATGAAAGCCTAGAACATGGAAACAAAATGAAGGAGACAAAACCAAAAAAACAAAACAAAAAAAATAAAATAAAACAATATCTTCTCACCATTAAAAAAAACCATGGAGTTACAACCAGTAAAGAAGAGTGTATTAACGCAGGTAAAATGATTTTGTTTTTTTTGACAATCGGTTTACTTCAATTAATAAAACATACATACAATAACCAAAACATTGCACAGCATTAATTTCAAGCTGTTAATAATCCGAGGTACTGTGACATTATTTCCTTTCTTTCTTTTTTTTTTAATTTTTATATATATTTTTATATATACAAAACAAACAAAGAAAAAAAACATATCAGTGGGCACAGTCTTGATGGGTGACTCTTCATAAAGTTACAGTGGCATACTTAGTGCATTTGTGGCAAACAAGTCTACATCCTATATAAGTTACACAAAATACTCGATGGCAAGTGACCTTGCACGGTAATACTGAGTTTCTTTAACCCTATGGGTGCCAAAGGAAAGAGCCACATATCCTGTGTCACACGCCTCTGATACTCACATGGTTAATGCTGAGGAGTAGATTGCAATGAACCCACCGGCAGCGAAGCCAACATTTATATACAGAGATAAAAAATAAAGTATTACATTTACATAGTACGGTTTTAACTTTGATTAGATTGACAGCACTGTATGCAAGTCTATCTGATAAAGCTATGTGTCTAAGCAGTGCAACGTGGATGATTATGGAAAAATTGTGGAATCCTGACTTTAGAGGAGATAGTGAGGAGAACAATATTGCATTACCAAGTCAAGTATGACCCAATAAAGGAGAACTATCAAGAAAAAAATAAACTTTTTTTTTCATATCGCTTGCACCCTGTGCCTATATTACCAACTGCTACCATACATATTTATATGCACTCTATGTGTATTGCTCAACACATCTAGAAACTATTAGTATATCATTTGCTTTCTAGAACCCCCATGTAACATATTCCACCCAACAAACACACTCTATTACTTTATTTAAACAAATAAGATCAAGCTAATAGTACAGTTTTGCCTGCACTACAGTTGTAACCATATGGATTGTGGTTATAGTGATCCCACTACCTTGACGTTTTGGACTCCGTATTGGTAACCTCTCTGGGATCTGTGGCACCCCTTATTGCGGTGTCAAATATAATGTGGACAACAAAATAAAAGCATTAGAAGAACAGCTAAGCGTACATCATGTCCTGTTTGGCTTAGCAGTTCATCCTCAGCTTTTTCCACTAACTATCTAAAATTCAAAGAGCAGGTGGCAATATATATATATATAAATAGATTGGGAGGAAGAGCTGAAAGAGTATAACCAGAACCTCACACTAGCCTAGCCCATATTTTAGTAAAAGCTACAAAATAGCATCTTTTCGTGATAGTTTCCCTTTAAGGACCAATGATATCCAAGACAATCAACCCAATCTGGTCCTATGCCAACAATTTTAACAAAAGTAACCCTAGAAACTCCACCTATTTCCAAAATATGTAGATCACTCCAGGCTGGCATGTTGTTATTAACCTGACTGTTCTGATTCTAAGAGTCTATCATTGGTGCCAAGGGGTATGCGCAACACAGGTCATGAAAGTAAATTAAGGTGAATGGGAAACAGAAAAAAAGATGATTAAAAACTAGTTCCAACATGGTAGAAATGGTTTTTAAAGGCAGTTGTTTTTTTTTAAATTGGGGCCATTTTCCATTCTTAGTTGTCAAGTTGTGTATGTTTCTGTCCATATTGACAGCTGTTCAATCAGAATATGAGCCTTGAAATAAAACAATGTTAAATATAAATTACTTTATAATTTGTTGGGTTGTTTTATTCCTATACATACAAACATGCATTTTTCTTTTAAATGTGGGAAAATCGTGTGGTAGTTAACAGGGTCTGATTTATTGAATTGGCATTTTATGTGAATTAAAATGCCAATTCAAGTGAATTATATATTAAGTGAGGACAGATATAGCTTTAAAAATATTTACACTACTTGTTTTATCTTAATATTAATGTTTAGTATTAGTACAGAACGTGGAACAATTCTAGTGTGGATCTGAATTGCCTACAATTGTTTCTTGAATCAAGGGGGCCTTTTTGGAACCTTGAAGTTGGAAACTCATTGTTAGCCTGTGCAGTGACTTATTAACGTGAAGTCTTATCATACTAATCATGGGGACTGACTGCTAGCCCAAACAGTGACTCATTAAGGTGGAGTCTTGTCATACTGATCATGGGGACTGATTGCTAGCCTGGACAATGACTTGTTAAGGTGGAGTCTAGTCATATTGATCATTGGGACTGACTGCTTGTCTGGGCAGTTACTCGTGAAGGTGTACTCCAGTCTATTGATCATGGGGACTGACTGTTAGCCTGGGCAGTGACTCATTAAAGGTGGAGCTTTGTCATGTTGATCATGGGGACTGACTGCTAGCTTGAGCAGTTACTTGTTAAGGTGGAGTCTTGTTATGTTGATCATAAGGACTGATTGCTAGCCTGTGCAATGACTCGCTGAGGTGGAGTCTAGTCAAATTGATTATAGGGACTTATTGTTGGCCTTGGCAGTGACTCGTTGAGGTGGAGTCTAGTCAAATTGATTATGGTGACTGATTGCTGGCGTTGGCAGTGACTTGTTAAGGTGGAGTCTTGTTATGTTGATCATGGGGACTGATTGCTTGCCTGGGCAATGACTCGTTAAGGTGGAGTCTTGCCACTTTGATCTTGGGGATTAATTGCTAGCCAGGGCACTGAGGTGTTTAGGTGAAGTCGTGCCACTTTGATGTTGGAGAATCTTAGCTAGCTATGGCTCCTGTGACCAGTTATATACTTCAAATCATTTGGTAACAAAGACCACCGTGAATTTCTATCACAATAAGAAAAATTGTGCTCGTTAATTAGTTATTGTATGAACAGAATATGGCATCTAATAGTACATATTTGGTAATAGTTTGTCAGGCAAATGGGTTAGGAAGGCAAACAAATTACTAGACTAATAGGGATTGATGTCAGATACTGTGTTCAGTACACGAAAAGTGTGAATGGTGTTTTTAGTACTACAATTTGCACTAGCATGTGCATGTTGATGGCAAAGATTCATAGGTGTGGTGGTCCACTAACAGCTATATTAGCTCTTCTTGTCTATCCCTGATATAAAGTATGAACTTTGCATTAAAACAATAAAACAAGTCATATAACACAAATATACCAGTGCAAATAAACTTCACTATTTGTGCACTTACAGATTAAATATCAGCTACAGTTGCAGATATTGTTTTTAAAAGCATGTCACCTTTTTTGAATACATAGTGTTTAAAAGGGTATTGCAGACTGAAGAACAGACACTTCTGAAAAAAACATTTATACACTGACTTTTCAGGGCATTTTTAAAATTCACCTCTACGGGCAAAGGGCATTTGCACTCTAAAATGCCACTACTATAATTTACAACTACTCTTTGGGATTGTAAAATAATTTGATATATTATGTATTTTAGCTGAAACCACTGTCATATTCGCTGGGTATCTCTATTACTGTGCTGCTTAACAGGGGAGGGGTGGGGGTGGGACTTTCACTCAACTTATTTTGGGCTCAAGCAGCCCCAAGTATTTTTGACCCTAGCAACAAGCCTGGCAATTAGTCGTAGTAGAAGTTACAGAAATCATTGGGAGGGTTTTGAGGATTTCTTTACACAAGAGAATAGATTAAAGGAAGCAATACATTTACTCTAGTGGATTCACACTCTCTTAAATGTGGTATATTTTATTGATAATGCATTGTATTACAAATGACCTAAGTATTTTTACTCAATTTATTCAATATTGGGAGAGCCCAACACTTAACTCTCCAGCAGTTGCTAATGGTCCTCAGTTACTGTATAACTTGAGAATCATTGGTTTAGAACAACTGGATGGTTATCTGTTATCTAGCTCTGTTGTTAAAGAAGAAGGCTTCTAAAAGTAAAAATGAGAACTCTGAACAGAATTTCTTTTGTGCTATACACATATTGTATATTATTATTTAACGTTTAAAGACCAGAGTTTATCTCCTAACCCTTTATAAGATAACATGTCTGGAATTTAATTTATCTTTTTATTTAGCAGTTTCTAAAACAAAAATAAAACTTAGAAGAGATGCAACAAAAATACTTGGTCAGGTCCCAAAACTGGGTCTCCATGCCATTTTACTGTAGTGTTGGAAAAAGCTCATTTTATTATTGTGTCCTCAATTAACTGGCCACAGTGAACAGTGTTTTATATACACTGCCATTTCCAATTCAATGGGGACTCCATTGAAATGTGTCTAATGAAAGTGTTTTAGATAATTAAATTTAGTACATAATATATTAAGACGATCGTATCACAGAGCTTTCTAGTTTTGTTCCTGGTCAAAAAAGTTAAAAACTACTGCTATAATATGATATGCTTGTTATAATATCATGGTTCTAGGACAGTAGATCAGGGCTCTAGCTACATGTTCAATACATATGCTATCCTGACATTTTTACAGACTTTCTCATATAGGAATTTACATACCATAAGTGACATATTGGTGTAAGTTTATAAATGTATTAGACATGCCACTGATTTATTTCCCATAATGCAGGTGAAACCTTGCTTGAACGGACCACTAGATACCATTTCTATCAAAGGGTGTCACACTATGTTGTTATCATGGGACAAGCATTACAGTATCTTAAAGGGACACTATAGTCACCAGAACATCTACAGCTTAATATGGGAAAGCGTTGGATGGGATAAAAATCAGCTATTTCGATGATGTCACAAAGGGGGCGGAGCCAGCGCTAGCTGGAAATAAGGTAAGTTTTAAACTTTTATAGGGGAGCTAAGAGGAGGGCAAGCCACCTAAATGGTGGGTTAAACACTATAGGGTCAGGAATACATGTCTGTGTTCCCGACCCTATAGTGATCCTTTAAATTGAAAAATCAAATACACTCATAATTATTGCTTAGTGTTTAATGGTCTTTAATGAGTGAAGTACTACTGAAATTTATATATGAGGCACTGACTATTTTTTAGAATTAGCAGTTTGAGGATACATTTTATATAACCTTGTATTTTACTTTGCTTTCTTGTATAAAAGTGGTACTTTTTTTGTAAACAATGCCTAAATGGCATATCTCAATTGGTATCAATCAAGAGAACACACTGCGTTAATTAACATGGGAAGGTTCTGCTAGGGATTTTAAATCACACTTGTCAGATTCCAATTGTATTTTAAACTAACAGTTTTGAATAACGTGCTGTTAAAGGCATATTGAGATGCCAAATGCAAATTTGGAGGAAATTAATTTTGCAATACATTTCCTTCATTCTAGGACATTAATTAATTAACCACTGGTTCATTGATCTTAAATAAACATTTTTAAATCATACTGCTATTCATTTGAATTTTGTTCACTACGCATTAAAGTAAGAGACAGATAAAAGTCAACTGAAATTAATGTTGATACACTTAATCAAGGTAAGCTTAACTGGATTTTATTCTGTTTTATTCATTTATGTTTTTTATTTTGGTTTGTGTTTGCTTGTTTTAGTTTGTTAGTATAATTACTTTATTTCAAAATGTTTCAAATTCTGAACTTTTGCAAGGCAAACATGCCAGTTCACTTAATCTCACCATTTTCCACGACTTATCCCACCCCACTGCATCAAAATAAATAAACAAACAATAAAAGTAAATTGCAAATGAAAATAAACAACTGAATTGAAGAAAAAAAAAATCTAAAACAGAACAAAACAAAACAAAACATAATCTGTTGGAACTAGTTACTATTTTGGGTAAATAGTCATGAAAAGGAGGACAACAAAAATTGAATCGGCAACAATAAACACTTGCAATTCAACAAAAAGAAATGAAACGGAAAAGAAAAGTAAATGCCATATTGTTTCCATTAGGTTTATCTACCACAGAATCTTGGTAGAGCTTTGTTCTCATCCCTTCAATATGGAGCAAACTTCTGGCGGTCAGATTTCTTAACCCCACTCGTCGATGGAATTTTGGCAGTATAAGCAGGTAAATTCCCAGTGGCCCCCGCAGTGGCCGCTGCATTTAATGCCAGGAGTGGGACAGTTTTCATGCCAAGCAGACTGGAGACAGGAACAGCATAGTGGGTGGTCGGTAAAGTTGATAGGGTGGGAGGGGAATTGACGTTAACCGCGGAGGCAGCAGCAGCTGCCGCCAACACAGCCATAGAGGTGGGGGTGGAGGAAGGGGTGGTAGACTGAGAGAGGTTCATGTTGAGGTCAACAGGGGTCGTGACGGAAGCAGTCTGGGTGCTCAGTTTAGCCATCTCTAAGCTGCAAACGAAGAGAGGAACAGGAACAAATAGGTTGGGATGGTCAAGCAAGGATCAATTCGGGAAGAGAAGGAATGGAACAGGGGGAGCAAACAAAGTAGGGTTGGGTTAGATGGGTCAACAAAAGGAACAGACAAATGGAGGGTGGGGAGAGAAAGAGAGAAAAAAGGGGAAAATGAGGGTCAGAGGAGGAACATGTTATGTGTTAAAGAAGAGAAATAACAAAAGGGTATTTCATGATTTGATGAGGAAAACATTTATAAGACTATAAAGAATGTCTTAATCCTTTGAGCATCTGAGGAATAGGCAATGCATTGCGTTACTTACACCTACGACACTCAAAGAGTTAACATAGGTGCTTTTAATGTCAATGAAAGAAATAAATCTAAAGAATGCAGAGAATGAATAAAGATGATAAAGCATAACTTAAAAAAAAATGAAACAGATTTTTGTATAGATTTCCTGATCACTGGTATGTTTGCCTTTAAGTTTTGAATTTTTTAAGTCTAATTATTGGTATAGTGCCCCACCTTACTTTTGATAACACTGTTTTATATTCCTTATAAATAAGTGCAGAATGTTAAATACAATACCACAAATATAGTTTATGTAAGAGGGCAAGTCGTTACAATAATAGAATCGCCCATAAGAGAAGTCTCCTAATTGGGTTCAACTTCCCATGTTCACCTGCAAGCACATACATTGTATTCCACATATTGTTACAAATAATAATATATAGAAAATAAGTTAATTCACTTTTCTTTTACAAAGCAGAATAAAAATACAAAATAAACATGATAAAGTTAAAATTCAGACATACAGACTTAAAACATGTTATTATCCACTGCCTGTCTGTCCATCCTTTGTTTGGTGCCTGCCTGTCTCCATCTGTCTATAATACAATTCACTTGGATTATGCTTTCAAACAAGTGTTTTCGAAACTCACTGCTCAATAAATAACTTCAGCTGTTCCAAGAGTTAGGAGTTTAGGGCCCTTGACTCTAGCGCTCAATTTGTTTTAACTTACTTTTGGGCTAGTTTCTTATGAACTGGCAGTGAAATACTTATTGTGCACTCTAGGTATTTGATTTTGCAATAATGTAAGCTGAACACTGACAAAGCTAAATTTAGCAATAAAATCTAGATTCAGTTTTTGTTTTTTCAGGTATACCCGGGATAATCATTTTCAGATTTTTACAATAAGTCTATGGATTTGTTTTTCCACATTGTGACTACTCAGCACCTCTTAGCCAAACTTGCTGGTATACCAAATCAAGCGTAATAAGAAACATTTTCTTACATGTGCTTCAGTTAAGCTCAAGGTATGTAATATGTTTTATAATCACATAAGCAAAGTTATAAGTGAACATCTCTATCCATATTATTTGCATTGCAATATATAGCATCATCAAGTTTACTAAAATACCCCACCTCCTCCAAGCAATTAGTGGATTCCATTATATACCAAAATGCAATACTCCTTGTTACATATCATCAAGATTTATCACTTTCCACTACCTACTCACAAATAACAAAAAAATATTTTTGTCTTACACTGACCAAATATCTTAATTCTAAAGGCATTGACATTTATTTGTCAAAGAGTGATTTGCCGTGAATTGTAAACCCAAAAATGGTTAGCTTAGATCAACATTCTAGCTGGAAAACAATTAAAGCTTTCGTAATCTAGAACAGAGGTAAGCAAACATTTAGCACTGTGCCAAAACAAGACTTTGAAGCCCCTTGGGATGCTGGTCCTATTTTTCTAAATTAACAAATATGTGTGCTGCGTCATTCTGCTTGTGTTGTGTAAGGGTTCTGCAGTTGTTTTGTAGGATTGTATTTGTGTGTATTATATTCTATTTGGACTGTTTTATATTGTGTATATGCTTGAACAGTTTGTGGTATTTTGTGTGATACCTATGTATGTGGGCTGTGTATCATGTTATATGTATGAATGTGGGCTCTGTATGGTGGGACTCCTTATAGGATTGTGTATGAGGGTGATATGTTGTATTGCGTGTGTTATTATGTTTATGTGTGGGGGCTGCTTGAGATACGGCGTGTGGGGCTGGTTGTGGGGGCTGTGTGTGCTTGCTTTTTGTATTATTTGAATGTGGGAGGCTTCCTCAGCAGCTGTGTGTGAATGTCTGGTTGTGTTAGTGGCTTCCCTGGTGTCCAAGTCACGGAAAGGGGCTATGGCGGTAGCTGCAGGCTGCTGTCCTCCGGTGTTGATTCCCCTTCACAAGCGCTGAGAGGCGTTTTTTCCAAGTGCTGTAATGAGTACATTGAGGTCTGCCCCTCAATGTAATTTACAATGTAGAACCTATTCACTATAATAAAATTGACTAGACTTTGCCTTAAGAAAACAATGAATCATCCATCTCAAATGTGCAATAAATTGCTCCTTAATTTGTACAGAATCGCTAACAGGCTCTCTCCAGCATGCTACTGAATGACATTAATTTCTGTGTAAGTATAAATGTAAAACAACAATTTTGTCTAAGACATGGCTCTTCCTTTTCTGAGGCACTGACTCATTGGCTCCATACATTCCATCCTCCTTCGAGTGAGGCAACTAATGTATACACACACATATATATATAGTTATGGTGGGGTAAAAGGTGATTGAAAACCCCTACCACCTGAAATTCAGTGTATAGTCAATACAATGTTAAACACAGATCTGCACACACCAAACAGGCCATAATAATTGTTTTGCCCAAATAAAACTCACATTTACAGTGCAGTTACTACTATCAGCCATTTACTGTAAGCTGCGGCATAGCATAAAGAACCTTTGCCAGAAACATTCCTGAGAAAACTGAGATCATTTTTTTTGCACACAAAAATAGACATCAAATAGCACACTTATTTCAACATCTATGTTTCCAGTTTTTTGGTCTATTGTTTTTTTCTACATGTAATGCCAAGTCTCAATAGCAAGCCAGTAGCCAACCTCATGTTGATGAGTTCCATTAACAATGAAACAGCTGTCCATTAGTGGTCTCTGGCTTTGCATCTCTTCCCGAGTTGGTTATGTACAGCAGACATATATTCCAAAGAATCCATCTATAACATGTAATTTATGAGGCAAAAAGGTGGTTCTTTGTTCAGCTCATTCCCATGGCCTCTTTGTGTTTGCATATTTGTGTTTAACAATGTATGTACTATCCAATATTTATCATATTTTTTATATTCATGGGTTTAGTCGCTAATATTGAACCAAGGCCAAAGTGTTGTTTTTTTAAATGTAATTACATTTATATTTATTTACATATATTTAAATACATATATATATAGTGATGCACCTCCTTGAATTCCTGTAATTATATTGTGCTCTTAATGATGTTATATATATAAAACATTAAAGAGGACAGTATAAATACATATATACTATATGGACAAAAGTATTGGGACACCTGACCATTACACCAAAAGAGGAGGCGTTTATGAGATCACATTCTAAATACATAAACATTAATATGTATTTGGTCCCCCCTTTGCAACTATAGCAGCTTCCACTCTTCTGGGAAGGCGTTCCACTATATCTTGGAATGTTTCTGTGGGAATTTTTGCTATTCATCCAGTAGAGCATTTGTTGGGTCAGGTAACGATGTTGGATGAGAAGGCTTGCCTTGCAATCTCTGTTCTAGTTCCCAAAGGTTCTGTGCAGGCCAGTCAAAGGGCTCTGTGCAGGCCAGTCAAGTTCTTCCACACCAAACTCATCCAACCATGTCTTTATGGACCTTGCTTTGTGCACTGCGGTACAGTCATGCTAGAATAGAATAGGGCTTTCCCCAAACTGTTCCCACAAAGTTGAAAGCATAGCATTGTCCAAAATGTAGCATTAAGATTTCTCTGCACTTGAAGTAAGAGGCGTAGCCCCAACTGCTGAAAAACAGCCCCATTTCATTATCCCTCCGCCGCCAAACTTTACAATTGGTACAGTGCAGTCAGGCAACTCCTGGCATCCACCAAACCCAGATTCATCCGTCAGACTGCCAAACAGAGAAGCGTGATTCGTCACTCCACAGAACACGTTTCCACTGCTCCAGAGTCCAGTGACAGCATGTTTTACACCACTCATCACTACATCTGGTGGGTATTGTACTTGGCGATATGCATGCATGCAGCTGCTCGGCCATGGAATCCCATCTATGAAGTTCCCGCCGCACAATTTTTGTGCTGAACGTTTGGAACTCTTCAGCTATGGAATCAGCAGAGCACTGGCAACTTTTATGCACCCTACACCTCAGCACTCGCTAACCCCAGTGTGTGACTTAATGTGGTCTTCTACTTCGGGGCTGTGTTACTGCTGTTCCTAAATGATTTACAATAATACCACTTACAGTTTACTGTGGAATATCTAAAAATTCACACACTGACTTATTGCAAAGATGATCTCCTATTACAGTACCACGCTTAAATAAACGAAGCACTTCATAACAACCCAGACTGCATGGCTAGGTGCTTGACTTTACACACCTGTGGCAATGGGCCTGATTTGAATAATTAAGAGGTGTGTCCCAGTACTTCTGTCCATATAATCTATACATACATATATAGAATAGATACACACATATCTATCTATATATATATACGGAGCCTCCAGAATTGCTATATATATATATATATATATATATATAGCAATTCTGGAGGGTTTGTTGCACCCTCACAGGTGTGAATTTCTACATATAAGTAAATGTGTGTATATATATATATATATTAGATCCAGACAGTAGTTTCTTATATACTTCTTATTTTTTTACATTATAAATTTCTATCTGTCCAAATGCATTTCTATTAATCCACATTAAATTTACTCAGAAGAAAGTAATCCAAAAATGTATACACTCTTTTCAAATTAGTTATACATTATATTAAATTGCTACAATAGTTAGGAAACCGTATTGTCAGTTGACACAACTTTATATTCTGATTATCACTGGGTCATTGCACATGGGCACACTTTATAATTTATAACCTCCTGACAGCTATGTGATTCTAAATATGAGTCTAGCTACCCTTAAATTCAGTGGTTTACCATGCAGTACAGAAAGCAGATATATTGGTATAAGGCCTTGGTCCCCTAGTTTATAATGTCACTCTGTTATAGTTTGCAACATACTGAAACAATATATTGTCTCTTTTGCATGGGTATTGTATCTTATAGAGCTACCTTTACTAATTATAAGTAAAATAATTTAGCATTGCACATATCAACATATTTACTGTGGATATTTTGACAATTTGTTCTATATAAAAATATTATCAAATCTAATCCTAGAGTTTAGAGTTTACGTTAAAGATACTGATACATAAACAGTGTTACTCTTCAGTGGAGAATTCCAGGGCTTTTCACAAAAGTCTTCAGAGCATTTTATTAGGGAAAAAAACTATATTTTTTCATATTCTTGGCTATTCGTCTGAACGATTCTGTCTATGTGCTAAGCACCAAGGCTGCCAGCATGCCTAAAATTGCTTTTTAGGCAGTCATTTAATTTCTCTCACTACTTTTATTTTGCAAGAAGCTTAAAGGGACACCATAGGCACTGTATCTGCTTCATCTCATTAAACTGGTTATAGTGTCTGGAGTGCTCTGGCACCATCATTTCTTTCAGCATTAAACAGTTTTTAATATTTTAATGCTAAACAAGAGTCCCTGGCAGTCAGACCCCTCTGTGCTGCTTTGGCTAATAAGGAAGTATTAGCCTGAGCAGCAATGGGCAGCTGTGATTGGCTGAGAGTGTCAGCTGACTGTTTTTAGCCTGTCAGAGCTCCAACTGATGGTATGAATGGGTATGACAACAAGGAAGTGTGTAATCTCTGCCTTAGCTACGCATACAGAAGGGGCTGGACTGTGGGTAGCCAGAGACTCTTATTTTGTGGCCTACTGCATGAATATGGTGCAACACTGAATGGAGGGACAGAGCCCAGGCGCTATAACCAATTCAAAGAGATGAAATGGTTATAGTGACTACAGTGTCCCTTTAAAGGAACACTATAATGATATGAATACATATTACTAATGCTACAGTGCCATGTTAAATGGTTTGGTTCTGGTTCCCCCTCGAAAGGAGTTAAAAAGAAGGTAATTTTCTCCCTCGCCATGCTGCTCTAACCCCAGCTGGCCCCACCTCCTTGGCTAAGATCATAGGAAATCATTGGGAAGGGTAGAGCACATGCACAGCATAACACGGCACTGAACCAATTAGATGGTCTCTACTCTGTTTTTTCATTGGAAGCGCCTCTAATGGCTAGCTACAGACAGGCACGAGATGCATTTAAATGCAGTGCAAACATTGCCAGCTATTTTGCAGAACAGCGATGTTTTACACTGGTGGTAAAAAACAAGAGGGAAATGAGATGAAGTGGTCTGGATCGCCACAGAGTCGGTTTAATCTTGATCTGTATTATTTTAAATAAAAAAAATTCTAGTATTTTCTTTCTTGATATTGGGTGAAACCAAACTTTTTTCTTAAAGGAACACTATAGCATTAGTAATACAAATGGAGGCCTTTTAGGTAACCGTCCCCCATCTGTAGGGAGTAGCAGGTAGCTCAAGGTTATTGATCTCAAACAATCCATTGCTTTCCCATATGAAATCATTGCGATGGTCACGTGCATGAGCTATGCTAGTTAGATGGTTTCTCTAAAACCATATGATCAAAATAGCAGAGTTTTACTTGGAAGGAGGCACCCAGACCACTTCATTAAGCAGCATTTTTTATATCTTCAGGGAAAAGTTAGTAAAGACAGAACATTCGCACAGTTATCGTTAAACGTGAACAGTCACTTCTCTGGAATTTACACAATTGTTTGAAACATTGAAAATCACCTATAACTTGTGGTAACATTTCATGAAATACTCAGTTTTCTACATTTGTATTAAAGATTTAGCAAATAACATAGCAATTCAGTTCATTCCAGTCACAGCCAAGGGAATACTGGAAATGAGGAGAAGATATAGACATTGTTTAAGTTCTCCTTTTCATTATGCTTTTTCTATGCTGACTGCCAGGTCAGAGCTTATAACAATGATTGACAGGGAGCTAAGATGGAGGCACCCAGCTGATAAAGATAAAGAGTTGTGTATTTCCACGTGTAATTTTGTTTTTTTTCATTGCACAAATACATGTTTGGTAAGTATAGACTCAATAAAGTATAGAGAATAAGTAAACATAATATTAAAAATCCAGTGTAAGCGATGGTTACGCTTTAAAGTATAGTTACTCTTTAACAAGCAATGAAGCGAGTAACATTTGTAAATTGTTCTTTAAAAAGCAAGGGAATTTTATTTCACCTTGTAAAATCACCACCAGTATCAGCATACTAAAAAAGAAATGGAGAGATCCCACTTCTGGACCTTTGCCAAACATACCAAATAATTCCATTCTACTAATCTACCTACATAATGTCAAAATTGTCCGTGTTAAATATTTTATCCAAAATCTTATTTATAAAATTCACTTTAAAATGAACCAGTCTAATTCTTCAACTAAAATAGCAATAAACAAGGAGTTTAATGAAAGGCTATTTAGCAAGATTTGGAATGGGGTGTCAGACATTTAATACTCCCAATATACCAGATAACTGTCACAAGCTTTTCTTAACAGCTAGATGGGTGCCAAGTACAAATTTCGTTGTTACGGAGCATCTCCCATATTTGCAAAGTTAATAGTATTGCTAAACCCAGAGTCTCCTTGGCAAGAGCAGATATATTTATTAACAAGTCTGGGATGTAATTTTCAGCTTGCAAATTAAATCTGTCTTGCAATCTGTTTTTCTATCATTGAATTATAGCATACAAGTGCTCGTTATACAACCCAGATCGTTAAACTAGCTTACATGACACTAATGATTTTAGTCAGATTTTAGTTTATACATAGAATTAAAATGACAGAGTGGGTATTGTCAGACCCCATCACAGTGGGATTGATTTACTTATCACATGATCATATTGAATTGAAATCCAAATGGCAAAATGAAAAGATTTGGAAACAATCTCCAACTCAAGTATGATCACTATAATTTACTGTTTACGCTATTTTGGTTTTCAGTTCACCATTATTCTGGAAATATGTTTTATGTGCATACCAGAGGCATCCATTCACAAAACACTGAATTGTGGGGAATTCCAACAGACTTCTACATTTTAGACCAAAGTAGAAGAGTAAGAAAAAATGGAACTGATGATTTATTTTTCTTGGTTAATTCTGGTGTAAATTTTGCAAGCTAGTAATCAGTCCATTTAAAGTAGTTCCAAATGCTTTTCACGGAATATAAAATGCTACCGGTCAAGCACTGCGTGCTGTTTAACATATTTTGGCATACTTGCTGTTTCTCATATTAAATGGAAAACATTAATATATTTAACTGCTGATCATGCTAAATTTCAAGTCTTTGCAAAGACTTGGTTATATGCCATAATGCAGCATCAGGGTTTTGTTGTGCAACAAAGTATTTTTGGGAAGAGGGGGAACCAGTATCAGTTGTTGGCAAAGTAAAGTTATTTGGAGTAAACTTACCTAGCATTAATGAGGTACTGTGCTAAGCTGATATTTGCAGGGGAGCCTGTGATTGTCACTTGTCTTTCTCCATTGCCTTCTGACGCATTTGCAATCTTGATCTGTGCTCCTGACATCTGTCTGATTTCATTTATCTTGCTTCCTTGTCTGCCAATAATGCAACCTATTAGCTGAATGGGAAGAACACATCAAGATAAGCACAATATATTTAACAAGTAATACATCAAATTCACACTGCTTTTTAAACCTATCAGCTCTCCAAAATATAAATGTTTAACCATGTTCCAAATACGTCATTAATTCAATGTAATTGATTTGTTTTATTACCAAATATACTGTATATATATTATATCAATTTGTGTATAGCTATATATACATCTAAACTGTGTACTGCTCTATTATGGACACATTACACTGGATCACGATAAATCAATCGTATGTTTATGTGCTATATATTTAAAATCTAAATCATTTAATTAATTTTTATTTACATGGAACAGTCACTTTAAACAACAACAAATTCCATGCAAATTAATTACAGTACCATACGAGGGAGAACTACTAAAGAATTAACTGAGTGTGTATGTACTTGCACAGGATTTTCCTACAGATGCCCTGGTGTCCATGAATGCCAATGCAGTATCATGGGTATCAGTATCACTCTAGACACAGAAATGCTACAGATTTAGGTGTGTTGTTTTTTTTTAACTTACCTATGTGGCATTATTTATTAATTAGGTACTTAAATAACATTTACTGTGGCAAAAGGAAAAAGGAACTGTCTCTTTTTCCCTCAATTTTTTTAAGAATGCCATCTTGGTGCTGGTGACCGTTCCTCCTCTTCCGACGTCAGCTCCTGGTCAGAGACGCGCGCGCATTCAAACCGCCCACAGGAAAGCATTACTCAATGCTTTCCTATGGACGTTCTGCGTGCTCAATGCGATTTTCACATTGAGCGTCGGGGGTGCACCTCGAGTGGCTGTCAGAGAGGCAGCCACTAGAGGCTGGAATAACCCTGCAATGTAAACATAGCAGTTTCTCTGAAACTGCTATGTTTACAGCTGCAGGGTTAAAACCTGGGGGTCCTGGCACCCAGACCACTTCATTGAGCTGAAGTGGTCTGGGTGACTATAGTGGTCCTTTAAAGCCCTTCCTCTCTTGTTAACAGGTCACATATCGATAGAGCTCACTAGCACACAATCTCCAACTATTTGGCTTCCACCTACAAATATTTGAACAAATCAATCCTGCATGGCATCTGCACAGCTAACATGTTCTGTTGGCTTGACCTCAGGTGTTTTATCTACAATATGTTATCTGCATGTCCCTTCCCCCATTATACTAAACTCTTGTGTTGTGGCCCATTCTATGCTACTTTGTTGTTATTTGTCAAACTAAACTGTTTATATCCTTCTCTTAGTTTAGGCTGCAAACTGTAACTGTAATACAGCTTTGCTCTTACTCCATAAAGAGTGGATGGAAATTCAAACCCCGAATGAAACTTTTTAACAACCATACATGGGGGCTGGGATACATTGGGGCTGAGGGGGCTATAATGGGATACATGGGGGCTGGGGAGGGGGCTATAAAGGGACACATGGGAGCTGGAGAGGGGGCTATATTGTGACACATGGGGGCTAGGGGGCTGTAGGGACACACAGGGGCTATGGGGGACTAAAAGGACACATGGAGGCTGGGAAGGTGACTATAGGGACATATGAAGGGCTGGGGAGGTATATGGATGCATGGAGTGCTGGGGGTCTATGGGGACACATGAAGGGCTGGAGAGGGTGTAGGCAGCGGTGTACATACCGCGGTCACAGCTGCGACCCCTGTGACCGGGCCCGTCACTCCAGGGGGCCCAGCCACCCTGCGGGCCCCTGCGACCAGGTGCCCGCTGCCATGTGTTGCGACCCCGGCCGCGCAGTATAATTGCCGGGGCCACAGGTGAACGGGCCCATTGGGTGGCCCATGCTGTTAGGGCCACCCGATGGAAATTAATATCATCATCAGAGTGGGCCCGGTTACAGCGCGACCGGGCCCACTCTGATAATGTCAGACGCTGGGAGGAAGTGACTTTCGCGGTCACTCCTCCCAGCAACCACCAGGAGCCGCGCAGGAAGGAGAGGGAGTCAGAGTATGTGTATATGTATCTATCTGTGTGTGTCTCTGTGTATGTGTGTCTGTATGTATGTGTCTGTGTGTGTGTCTATGTATGTGTCTGTATGTATGTGTGGGTATGTGTCTGTGTGTGTGTCTGTATGTATGTGTATCTGTGTCTATATGTATGTGTCTGTGTGTGTGTGTCTATGTATTTGTCTGTGTGTCTGTATGTATGTGTGTGTGTCTATGTATGGGGTGGCGGTGGGGAGGATGGGGTGGCGGTGGGTAGGGGGATGTGAGGCCCCATGGATCGGTTTTGCACCGGGGACCCATGGATTCTGTGTACGCCACTGGGTATAGGGACACGTGAAGGGCTGGGAAGAGCTTATAGGGACACATGAAGGGCTGGGAGGGAGGCTAGTGGGACACATGGAGGGCTGGGAGAAAGGGCTTATAGGACACATGGAGGGCTGGGTGCTAAGGGGACACATGGGGGGGCTCATGGGACACATGTGGGGATGTGGCTAATGAAGCACATACAAGGCTGGGAGGAAGCTAATGGGAAAAATTGGGGGGCTAATGGGACTTCTTTTCATTTCCAGTCCAGCCCTGCCAGAAGGACTCTATGACCTATCACAAAAATAAAAATTTTGTTTACCAAAACAATAAAGATTGCACATTTATTCAATATTGTCCACTCATGCCCAGTGAGGTATACATTATGATTTCAGCAGCAGTGCAAACTTACACAAGACTATTGCTTAAATCCTTCCTCCCCCAAATAAATTCCCCAAGCAATCTAGAACTTGTTTCCATTTAAATAAAAGTCAATTATGTTAAGATCATAAACAGTTACTCAGGCATTTCTAACACTGTTATCATGTAAATGTATATTTTCCGAGAAATTAATCCATTAATCCACAATGCTCATTTACCAGTACTGTGCATCTAATATCTCCCCTGAGGAGCTAGCTAACTATAATGAAGTCCTTTACACATAATGAAGACATGCCTGTATGGTGTAAAGTGATACAGCTGGCACTGCTCATAATATAATACATCTACTCTCTTTCGCATGGCCTAGTCTGAAAATTCTCATTAAGCCCACAAGATGTAAAATGTCTCTAGTGTAAAAAGAGAACACTTATAACTTTATTAATTAATACAAAGACCAACATTTTCATTGTTTGCTAGTGCTTCAAGGGTTATTTTAAAGGGACACTATAGTCACCTGAACAAGTTCAGCTTAATGAGGTTGTTCAGGTGAGAACTATAGCTCCCTGCAGGCTTTCTCATGTAAACACTGTATTTTCTGAGAAAATACAGTGTTTTCATTAAAAGCTAGGAACACCTCCAGTTGCAGTCACTCAGAATGCCACCAGAGGGACTTCCGAGTTGATTGAGGCATAAAACTCCCCAATCCACTCAGATCTGCTGTCAGCAGAGCACAGGGCAGCACAGTGTCTCCTCTCTCTGCATGCAGACACTGAACTTTCCTCATAGAGATTCACTGATTCAATTCATCTCTATGAGAAGATGCAGATTGGCCAGGGCTGTTTTTGAATCATGCTGGCTCTGCCCCTGATCTGCCTCTTTGTTAGTCTCAGCCAATCCTATGGGGAAGCACTGTGATTGGATCAGGCTACCACTTCTGATGATGTCAGCAGACTGATTTTTTTTTTAGGCATCAGCATGCAGAGTTACAGCTTCTGGCTTGAATACAGTAAGATTTTTACTATATTTATGGAGGCATGAGGGGCCCAGGGGGGATAGATGGTAGTGTTAACACTATAGGATCAGGAATACATGTAGTTGCACTGGTGACTATAGTGTCCCTTTAACCTCCATGACCACTTGTGCTTTTAGAATTGGTGATGGAGTTAGGAATCTCTATGTGCAGCATTTCTGCTTGAATGGTACACATACAAACATATTTGCACTTTTGTGCCAGGGGTTAGTTGCACCCCATGGCACTGTGAGTCTGTTACCCAGGCTGTCTAATCTCAATTCCGTTTCAAAAATTACATCGGGTGTAATTAGCTTCTTGCCTAATTTTACCCGGATCCCTCCCTACTGCTAGAACTCTGCCTCCTTACCCATTAAAATGTTAGTTACAATGTTATAATGTTCCTTTACCTTGTCCAACCATTTTTTACACTCCCCGGCCAGTCATTCCTCCTTCCCTGCTGATTGACCATGATTAGGAAGAAGATGACACAACGCTGACGAGTAGGAACAGTAAAAATTAAACAGTTTTTAAAGGACCACTATAGTGCCAGGAAAACAAACTCGTTTTCCTGGCACTATAGTGCCCTGAGGGTGCCCCCACCCTCAGGGTCCCACTCCAGTGGCGCTGAAGGGGGAGTAAGGGGTTAATCCCTTACCTTTTTTTCCAGCGCCGGGCTCCCTCTGCGCTGGGACTCTCCTGCCTCTTCTGATGTCATCGGCTGAATTCGCATGCGCGGCAAGAGCCGCGCGCGCATTCAGCCAGTCTCATAAGAAAGCATTCTCAATGCTTTCCTATGGACGCTGGCGTCTTCTCACTGTGAAAATCACAGTGAGAAGCGTGGAAGCGCCTCTAGCGGCTGTCAATGAGACAGCCACTATAGGCTGGATTAACCCTAAAGTAAACATAGCAGTTTCTCTGAAACTGCTATGTTTACAGCAGAAAGGGTTAATCCTAGATGGACCTGGCACCCAGACCACTTCATTGAGCTGAAGTGGTCTGGGTGCATATAGTGGTCCTTTAAGCTATTTACTAAGCTATATTCTAAGGTCAATTACTTTTGCACTTTTAGGAAGGCTCTTTGTGCAAATATGTCTTCTAGCTTCCTTAGCAGCTGGTAGGCTAGAAGTCAATTTGGATAAAATAAACTGATGTAAACATTAAAAATGCATTGCTGCTGTATTAGCTCAGTGACTAATCAGGTCTGGTGCATTATTAGGCAAAGATGCATTTTGCCATCCCCCCAACCAAAAAAAAAAAAAAAATGCATCTTTACCTGTGTGTCTCTTAACCACTCTTTTAAATTTCTTAGCCCCTTTTGTGTTTCTTAACCCATCTTTTGAATGTTTTACCCATTTTGTATATCTTACCCCCCTTTTGTGTCTTACACCCCCTGTGTGTCTCTTACTTTCCCCCTTTGTGTGTCTTACTTTCTCTCAGCTCCTTTGTTTGTCTCTTACTTCCATTCACTCTCTTATGTTTTTCTTACTTGCCCCAGCCCATAGTATGTCTCTTTCTCCTCCCAACCCCTTTGTGTGACATTGTCCCCTTCCCCAGCCCCTCTAGGTGTGTCATGGCCCATTTTTCCAATTCCTCTGTGTGTCAATGTCACCTTCCCCAGACCTTTTGTGTGTCATTGTACCTTCTCCCAAACCCTCGGTGTGTCATTGTCCCCTTCTCCAGCCTGTCAGTGTGCATCATTGTCCCCTCTCCCAGCCCCTCTGTGTGTGTCACTGTCAACTTATCACTTAGCTCCTCTCTGTGTCATTGTCCCCTTCTCCAGCCCCTGACTGTGTGCCATTATCTCCTTCCCCTCACTAAGTCAACTTCCCCTTACCGAGCCCCTCTGTGTGTGTCATTTCCCTTTCTCAGCCCCTCTCAGTGTCATTGTCCCTTTCCCTATTCCTTTATGTGTGTCCTCTTTTCTTCCTGCTAACCGCCTGCTAACCTCCCTTCATGTAGCATGGCAGAGCGGACCGTGGTAAAGGAGCTTCTGATTCCGTGGTCTGCTCCGCCATGCTACATGAACTGACTGTCAGGTGGGAGAAGTGTGGTGAGCTGTCTATTCATTAATGATTGGATTCCACTAACTGTATATGCTTAATAGATATAACTAAAGATAAAAAGTCTCTAACCTTATCAACGGGGTCACAGGTCAGGCTCTTTAGATCTATTGTGAAAGCCATGATACCAATAGTGAAATTCTGCTGTTGAAAATTCCTAATTCCCATGTTTTGTATTTGTATTGTATTGTGTCTACACTTGCAAAATATCTTCTAAAATAAAAAGTGACAAAAAACAAAACAGATAATGCTAACATTGAAATGCTATGGGTGCTTTGGAAGTCACTGAATTTACCTTGGTCTAGGTCTGCGATTGGCAGAACATTAAACTTGTGGCTGGATTCATGTCAATTAGTACATTTCACTAGCTGCATAATTCTCAAAATATTGCTTCTTCACCCACTTCAAGAATGAACCAGTGGCTTTTGTCTTGGCATCCCCTTTCTGCTGGGACTATGCCATTCCTCATTCCATCAAAACATAAATAATATCTCCGAGCAACAAGTTACTAGCATTCTCAAGTTTGATCCCCAACTCAATGTGGCTTTTGTTGGCTTAATTGTTTTGAAAGGGTCAAACATTCTAATGCATACACAGCGTTCACACTAGTTCACTTACATCATTTGGAATAGTAAGTTCATGGGAACTGGTTGGTGAAGTAGCGTCCAGCCCTACAAGCAGGAAAAAAAGAAAAAATAGAGAAGGAATATTAACCAAATTTTCAACGGGGCAAAGAGAAAACATAAGGAAATATATATTTTATCACACATTGAGAGAAAATAAATGAAAGATCAAAGACTCCAGCAAAGAAAAGTACAGAACTTACAGCAACACAAAAGAGGGTGTTAAATAGGGAACAGTCAAAATGCTTGCATAGATTTCGATTTGTATTTGACATTGTAGCCCTCTAGATTAATATCAAATTATGTGAAACCCATTGCTTCTTTATGCCTTTGAATACATATCTAAAAGTAGGGTGATTGTTTAAGCACACCCTTCCTGTCCGTTTAAAAAACTGACAACATTTCTTAAAAATAAATATGTAAATAATGAGTATTCAGGGTTACAAAAGTAATAGTGACGGCAGTAAAATAGTGAAGGGTTAGGGCAGGACAAACAGGGAACACTAGTGGAATTAAAAAAAAAAAAAAGGATTAGTGGTGTATCAGAAATCTTAGGGAGGATTTGTTGAAAATAAGATATAGAAAATACTGTAAGTTGCATACATTATCTGGGTAGGAAAGAAGGACAAAGGGGAAAAGCAAGAAGGGTTTGCTAGATTTATAGAGAAGCACGTAAAACATTAAATAAGGAGCAGAGCAACAGCAGTAAATCCAAGGAATAGGACAGGCAAACACAAAGCAAGCAGAGATTTATTGAAAAAAATGTTTTTGTGTGTGTTTTTTTTTATCACGCTGAATTTCTCATATTTGTATTGTATTCATATTTAACCGTGTTTAGGAACTGATGTGTTTTAAAACAGAGCAGCATGAATTGGAGGAAAAATATAGAAACTGTAACATTTACATAAAATATTAATTTTACATTGACATTTTAATTTTTGGGTAATTGTACTTCTGTAATATGCTGAATCTTTTCATTAATCAAAAATAAATATATAAAAATATTATACACATGAACAGTTATTTTTGTTTTCTAATCATTATAATCAGGTTCTGTAGTGCTATGATATTGGTAACAGTAGTCAGTGTTAAAGAAATATTAACAGCACGTGATAAAAAAAAGAAGGTATTTTTCTTAAGCATGTACCAAATGTAAAATGTCTCCAGGATATAAAATACATGTATTTGTTTAATTAAGATACACTGCTGGGTTCTAGAGTACTCAGAGAATAATATGCATACTTGCTCTTAGTTCACAGCACATTTTAACCCTTTAAGGACACAGCTTCAGAAGTAAAAGGCCAGCATGACGGACAATTTCTATCATGTGTCCTTAAGAGGTTAAATAGGCAAAAAGACGTGGAGCAATTGAATGGTGTACACTGGTACATGCCTTTATTACATAATTCCTCTAATAGATGGTACAAATAAAAATACACGTAGCTTATATTAATGGTACAAATCAAAGCAAAGTGGATTAGACAGAGAGGGCCAATGGTAAACAAGGCACAGATAAATGAAACAAGGTGCATTTTGTAAGAACAAAAGAGGAACAGGTCATTGACTGCATTTAGTAAAAGAAATGATGTAATGACCATGGGAAAACAAAGGTGTTAAGAAAAGGGCATTCTCAGGGGGTCATGGGTACGTACCAGGGAAACCAGGGGTGGTCTGCCCAAGGGGAGTAAAAGGGGAATGCTGCATAGCCAACTGGTGAAGCTTGGTCAACTGCAGGGCAGGATGGGAAATTAGAACTAACCAATCAAATGTAATTATTTCAGAGTACAGAAAATCATCTATCATTCAAAAACAAAACAAAAAACTGGATTATTCAAATTAAGAGAAAAAAAAGGATCAATCATTCTTTGTAAACTACTGTACAGACATTTTAACAAATAGAAAAATTACATATTTATTGTTATTTAATGTAATGGCTACTGTTAATATAACATACAAAAAACATACTACAAAGGAAAAACTAAAAATCCATGCAAAACATATAATTAAATCAGGAAAACGACAGAGGTACAGATATATTTGTGTCTGAGCCATTGTGCTTTCTATAAATGCAGTAAATTCAAGCCAACATTCAGGCTGTGTGCAAATGTCCATACGGACCATTCAAGAGATTTATTGTAGAAAGTAAACACTGGCCAGAACAAATAGATGTTGTAAGTCAGGTATAATTGGCATGCGCTGGACTCACGTCGGGATGTGGAATGGCATACTGCCCTTGAATTGCAAATGCCTGGAAAAAGACAAGTAAATAAAAGTTACACTTGAGCTTCATTTAGCATTTTCACGCAGGCAGATTTACTGCTATAGTAATGATCTATTGTAAAGAGTGCAGAAGAATGATGTAGTTTATAAGAGAATTGCTAGAGAATCAACCTGGGCATGATTCTGCCATCCAGTCTGCTTTTTCATACATCATGAACCCTACTGTCATAATAACCAAAATACATACAGTACATATATAGTGAGGTATGGAGTGTAATTAGTATATGCAATTTAGCTTTAGATGTCTTTTATAGTACATGATTATTTTTTTTTTTACGTTAGCAGTTATGATAAGGTTAAAGAGACAGTCTAAGCACTAAAATCACTTAAGCTGAATAAAGTGGTTTGGTGCATAAATCTGACCCCAGGAGTCTCACTGACCAAGTCTCTGTCTATTATCCCTGTATCTCTGGCCACAACTTCCCTGGATAAAAGTTATATAGCCTCTATTTACACTTTCTAAATAAATAAACAAATATCATTTGGATTCTATTTTATGTTTCACTTCATAGAGCTACAAAACATTCATATATCTGTTAATTGACTGCTAATTTCTAGGGAAAAAAACCAAAACAAAACGTTGTCTTTGCCCATCAGCAGCCTACTGTGTGAGATAAATAACTCAGAAAAAAAGGCTGCAGACCATACGTCTAATAAAAGAACTTTAATACAACAAAGCTAAAGTAATTTATTATTTTTCTATATTATTTGTAAAATAGCTTGTATTTAATATAAATATATATATATAAAAAAATTTAAACTAATATCTGTTTTCATGTATATTTTGTTTGGGGTATATTCACTAAACTGCTATTTGAGTAATTGTCAATAATGTTATACTATGCTCTCTGTGTTCACACTCCTCTATCCAAAGCATTTGACATGGACGTTTATGCTGGGCAAAATGGGATGGTACGGCTTAGCTGCAGAATGCAAAGAAAATATATGATTGTAAGAAGTTAGAAAATGACTTTTAATAACTAATAAAATAATATTTTTTCCCCAACTATATTGTTCAAAATAATACAAACATTTGTACATTTTGCAACCCAGACATTGCCTTTAAGGATTCTTTAATCTCAAGTCAGATCCAGGATACACATGTTAAACAACTGCTGCTTTTTTTTTTTCAATTCAATCACTTTCCCACTACTTTCCCTATATCTCCAGTTGCTCTCCAAGTGTGGTCCAATTTAGGTGAAACTAGGGGTTGGCTTAGCTCAGCAACACCAGAAATTGCAGAATTAGAAAAATGGTTGAGTTTAAGAACGTTTCCAGTTTGGCTTTATTTAGCTTAAACATTGCAATTTCCATGTCAATTCCCACCACTTGTATTTTCTTTTCTGTACTAGGATTCAGTTTTCATATATTCACACCTGAAATAATGATATTAAAGTGAAGATAGCAGTATCCTCGACAATGACATTTCTGGCAGACAAGGTGATGAAGGTGATGAAACTACTTAGAGATATAAGTTACTAGTGATTTATAAAAAGGTGGACAGGCAACATACACAATAATGAGAAATTCACAACCACTTGGGATGAAGCCTTCATTATCACAGTTGCGATTGTGAAGATTCTTGATAAACCAAAAGAGATATGGGTGGACTGTATATCTACTTTTGGCAAGCAATGTTTCTGAAACAACATGTACTCATATACTATACCAGGAAAAAGAAAGTAAACTAACAGGTGCTGGCTGAGGTTGGGCCAGGACGGTGTGATTTCCAGCTGAGGCCAAAATGGTGTCCGCTCTTACCTGGCCTCCAGCAAAAATAATAGGTCCAGAGGCAGGCTTTGGGCGATAAGGGATAGTGGCACCTTTCGGCGGCGACTACAAGGGGACAAACACAAAACAAGCAATATTTGGTCAGTTATATAAAATAAACTGTTTCAATATACCTTCTTCAGTTATTTTTATAAAGACAAGCCAGGCTAGGAACAATATGGAGAAGAAAATGCCAAATGAATAAAGTTACTCACCTCTGATTTTTTCCCAATTCCTATTCCCAAAAAGGGTTCATGGAATAGGAAGTCAAGCATATTCACAATATAAATCAGTTAAGTAGCAAAAGGATGTTTTTAAGAAAGGTGACATGGAATAAAATGTATTAACATGAAGATTTCTTTCTCATAAATAAACAATCTAATATAGAATTTCGAATAAATATTTCATTCTGTTGTTTTATGATACCAGCAATACACAACTTTGGGGAATTACAAACATGGCTTATGGACATGGAAGGAGGTAATTGCTGTTAATCAATTTAGGGAATGTTTGATGTGTGGACTCTTTAGTTATAAACATCAAATGCTATTGATGCTCAGATTATAGATAATTGCTGAATGATTATAGGAAAATCAGACTGGGGACAGGGCTGAATGCTGTCCTGCAAGATTTGTAGATAGCGAGTAGGAATTAATGTAAATTTGCCCCAGTGTGGTAGAAATAGATATATCACACTTTTTAGGATGTAGACTTGGCTTCTTCTATAAGTTAAATATACCAAAACACAAGCCCTCCATATTTCAGAGTGTTTATTGGCTTTATGTAACCAATAATTATGTGACTGTAGGACAAGCAATATAGTTTTAGAGTATGTCTCTTACAAAAAATCCAAAATATCTCTTTAAGTATAATTTTCAGAATAAATGGATGGAATTGAGAAAGGAACCTAACCGGTGGAGTAAATTTCAATTGTCCTGGCTCTTAAGATGTCTGTGTTACCCAAATTGTTATATATTTTACGCATGATCCCTGATAATATCATTAACACATATTTTGTTTCAATTCAAAAGGACATCAACAGATTTATTTTGGCAGGGAAGATGTATAGGACTAAGCTGTCCATACTGCAGAGATCCGTACGTTTTTGGGATTGGGAGTACCCAATATACAATCCTACTGTACAGCAGTTAATGCAGCTCAGACAAATACATTTTGCACTCGAATTGACCTTGGTTAACCTTAGAACAGACCTTTTTTAAAGGGATACTATAGGGCCAGGCATACAAAGCTGTATTCCTTGCACTATTCCTCCCCCTGCCTCCCTCGCGTGCCCCCCTCCCCAGTCAATAAAGGGTTAAAAACCCTTTATTTACTTACCTGAACCCAGCGCCGGGTACTGTCCTGAGGCCATATGCAAATGGTTGTAATATTACAAGTGAGCAAAAACTATTTTGAGACCTTAGCTGGGATTAATTGAAGGGCAAGCTATTGTGTTTCTCTAATCTTTTCTCTGTCCCTATTTTTGGCCCAATTCCCTCTGTGTCCCTCTTTTCTAGCCTAATGCCCCTCTTTTTTAGGGACTTCATATTGTCAATGTGTCTAAATGTATAACAGAGCTCCATAGCAGTAATACTCACAGTAATGTATCTATAAACTAAAATAAATGTACTTAGTCTGTGTAAATAACATACATTGTTATGGTTCTAAATTACACATCTCACACTTCTGAAATTAAATTGTAACTCTTAGTCCATTTGAAATTCTGGTAGGTATGTCACCTTATTACTACTACAGTGGATTGTAGTGCCTTTGATGCTTGCCTTCAACATCCAGTTTCCATATAATCTCATATTTAATGGCAATATTCCTGAAAATCTCTTGAAAAGGGTTGTGTTTTGATAATTATCACCTGTTGCTGACTTTTGTTATTTTCTTGTTAATCAAAGCAATCTCAAAATAATATTTTGCATCTTTAAAAATGGATGAAGGCTTACCTCTAGCATAACCACACAGATCTGTTTAACACACTGAATGATAGCATCAGGGGTCCCTGATATAGTTACAGCCCGCTCTGTGGAATTTGGCAGCATATCTCCTGCTACTTGAACTTGGGCGCCTGTGGACTTGAGAATAAAAGAGAGAGTGCAATTTAATAGAATTAACTGGATTCAATCAATATATTCAATAATCCATATATACTGTTCGAAATTTATCAGTTTAAGAAAATCAGTTCAATATGCAAAGGTGGATTATTTGCAAAGCGATGTGTGAGAGATTCTGAATTATTTCATAATATATTTAAATTTTTAGGGCACAACTGCAGAAATGAAAACTTGGAGATTTGTTTTCATTTCAGCTCTTTTAACCATCTTTTGTTACACACAATTCTTATCTACCTTTTTTATTTAAAGGAACACTAGTCTCCTAAACAAAAGCAGTTTTAGTGTATAGAGCATGCTTCTCAAAATTGGATACACTGTTTTTGGTAGTGTATGAATGTTTTAAACAGGCTTTTAGCTATAGAATAATGTATTTATGAACAAAATCACATATTGATTTTATCTCCCGCAGGTTTGAAGTTCGTGCTACAACAATTCAATGGTTTTTGCTGATACCCTTCCTCCCACAAATTGCCCTTCAATCTTTTCTTGTTTTTGAAGTTGCCATTTACTTGGTTTGTGGATGGAACAGAGACATTGTAATTTTGGTGCTCAGTAACCAGATGCCATCCCTTATAGGGCTACTTAGAGATAAGCTCATGCACCTTTTCATTGTAACTGACTCCACCACTAGCAGGTGTTTAAAAGGGATGAAGAAATGATATATGAAATACGATGACATATGAGATAACGTGGTGAAATATGTCATATGGGGTGATGGGGTAACATAAAATCATATGGCATAAAGTGAAAAATATTAAATAAAAAAACTAAGTTTAGCACATGGGATGGTGGGGGTGAAACATGAATTAATGAATGGATTAAACAGTACTTATAAAGCGCTCATATCCATTGAACACACTTTACAATTTTTTAACAATCGATTGGTGAGCACATATTCAGATTTTAAAATATCATGAGCACTAGCTCCAGGGAAGCTTCTTTTATTTCCTCCCCATGACAAATAATATTGACCAGGGTCTCAATTATGGATAACTTCGGTGTGAAATATCGCCCAAGTACAAAGTGAAGTAGAGAAGTCAGAGCTCGTGTAAAGCAAGTCTGCTTTCTACAATGGTTGCTCCACACCTTTCTTCTGTGTTTTTTTGTCTTTTGCTATATATGATGCTCTCAAGTATCTGCCCAGTAGTAACAGGAGTTGTGATTTATCAATACACATCAATAAGCTTGTCGATTAACTGCTAAGTGCAGTGAGACCATGTTTGTTTTTTTGTTTTTAGTCAAAGTGTTCTGTTCTAAAAGGTGGTACAAAAACTTAAACAGGGAGGAGTCAACAATGGAATGCGCCTGCTTGTTCCACTGCTTTTCATGGTTATTGCCTTACTTTCAACCAGGGCTGGTGCAAGGATTTTTAGGGCACACAGGCGAAGATGATTTTGGCGCTCCCCACACCCTCTACCCACCCAACCAAAAGCATCTTCATCTGTGTGCCCCTTCACCCACCTTTTGTTTCTTGAACCCTGTAAATGTCTTACCCCCTTTAGTTTATCTTATCCCATATTTTCCCCATTGTGTGTCTTACACCTCCCTTGTGTATCTCTTACAACCCCCCTTTGTGTGTCTTACTCCACCCCATACCCTCTGTGTGTCTACTTCTCTCCCAGCCCCTTTGTGTCTTTTACTCTTACCAGCTCCTTTGTGTGTTTCTCTTGTCTGTGTCTCTTTTTCCTCTTCTCCAGCCCCTTTGTATTTCTACGCTCAGGCCGTTCTGTGTGGCGCTTTCATCCCCAGCCTCTCTGTGAGCTTTTTCACCCCCAGGCCCATCTGTGTGTCTTTCTCCCTCCTCATGTCCCTTTGTGTGTCTTTCTCCTCACTCAGGCCCCCCCGTGTTCCTCTCTCCTCCCCTCCATGTCCATTAGAGTTCCTCTCCCCCCTAACCTGTCTCTTAGTCACCCCCATTACCCTTAATGTTCCTCTTCCTTCTCTTTTAGTGGTCGCCCCCTAACCCAGTGTTCCTTTTCTCTTCGCCCCCCTTAATGTTCCTCTTTCTCCCCCCGTGTTCCTCTCCCCTCCCTCTTTTTTAGTGTTTTTTCCCCCATAGTGTTCTTTGCCCCATACCATAGTGCTCTTTCCCCCTCCCTCTTTTGCCCCTGTCCCATAGTATTCCTTTCCCCCGTCCCATAGTGTTATTCCCCATCCTATGATGTTCTTTCCCCCTATCCCCTGTCCCATAGTGTTCATCCCCCCTCCCCTTTCCCATAATGTTCTCCCCACCCTTCCCCTGTCCCATAGTGTTCTTTCTCCCCTCCCCTGTCCCATAGAGTTCTTTTACTCCCTCCCCTGTCCTATAGTGTTCTTCCACCCCCTCACCTGTCCCATAGTATTCTTCCACCTCCCCTCCCCTGTCACATAATGTTCCTTAACATTCCCCCTCCCCTGTCCCATAGTGTTCCTTAACAACACCCTCCCCTGTCCCATAGTGTTCTTTTTCCCCTCCACTGTCCTATAGTGTTTCTTCCCCCATCCCATAGTGCTCCTCCCATCCCATAGTGTTCTTCCCCATCCCATAGTGTTCCTACCACCCACTCCCCTCCCCTGTTCTTTCCACCCACTCCTGTGTCCCATAGTGTTCTTTCCACCCACTCCTGTGTCCCATAGTGTTCCTTACCACCCACCCCCTCTCCTGTCCCATAGTGTTCATCCCCCCTCCCCTTTCCCATAATGTTCTCCCCACCCTTCCCCTGTCCCATAGTGTTCTTTCTCCCCTCCCCTGTCCCATAGAGTTCTTTTACTCCCTCCCCTGTCCTATAGTGTTCTTCCACCCCCTCACCTGTCCCATAGTATTCTTCCACCTCCCCTCCCCTGTCACATAATGTTCCTTAACATTCCCCCTCCCCTGTCCCATAGTGTTCCTTAACAACACCCTCCCCTGTCCCATAGTGTTCTTTTTCCCCCTCCACTGTCCTATAGTGTTCTTCCCCCCCCGTCCCATAGTGCTCTCCCCCATCCCATAGTGTTCTTCCCCCATCCCATAGTGTTCCTTACCACCCACTCCCCTCCCCTGTTCTTTCCACCCACTCCTGTGTCCCATAGTGTTCTTTCCACCCACTCCTGTGTCCCATAGTGTTCCTTACCACCCACCCCCTCTCCTGTCCCATAGTGTTCTTCCACCCATAGTGTTCTTAGTGTAGCATGGCTGAGCGGAGAAGATCGCGGTACAGGAACTTCAGTTTCCTGTACCCGGCTGGACTGACAGGAAGTGCTCTCTCAGTGAGCACTTACTTTCAGTCCGGCCGGGTAAAGGAAACTGAAGTTCATGTACCGCGGTGCGCGCTGCTCCGCTCGGCCACGCTACACAGAGTGCCTGGCAGGAGGGAGCGCTGTGTGTCTAATGATGCGCTTGCTCAACGCTTTCTAAGGTCTGTCCCCTAGCACTCGTTGGTCCACTTGTCTCCTTACCTTCTTACTAGCAGGAAGAACTCCTAGTATATAGTCTGGGACGGAGAAAAGCTGTATGTAGTGAGTGTAGAAGAAAGGGAACATGCCACAGTGTTAGACCAAAGTCAGCATCACCCTAACTATTTCCATTGTCAGCCAGTCCACACAAGTTTTGTTCCCATACATCACTCTTAAGTTTCCATACTTAAGCAAGATTATGTGAAAAGTAGTTAGGGTTGCCACCTTTCTTGGAAAAACATACTGGCCTTACTAATTTGCATAATTAATTGTGTGTGGGTGACATCACATGAAGTAAATCACAAGGAGTGACATGAGAAAATGCTGTAAAATCACCCAAAAAAAACTACTTACAGTTTGATTCTGCTGTATAGATGGATTGCTCCCAGTGTCTCCCTGACCCCAGTGTCTCAAGTCTCCCACTGTCTCAATGTCCCTATGTATCAGTGTCCCCATGTCTCCCAGTTCCCCCCATGTCGCCCAGTGTCTCAGTGTCCCCTAGTCTCCGAGTGCCCTCATGACTCAGTGTCCCCATGTGTCGATTACCCCAGGTCTCACAGCTCCCTATGTATCACAGTGTCTGTGCCCCATGTCTCCCAGTGTCCCCTACTCTCCCAGTGTCCCCATGTCCTTATGTATCACAGTGTCTCAATGCCCCATGTCTCCCTGTGCCCTCTTGTGTCTCCATGTCACCCAGTGTCCCCATGTCTCCCTGTGTCCCCCTGTATTCCCATGTCTCTCAGTGTCTATTAGTGTCTATGTCCCTATGTCTTCCAGTGTCCCCTAGTGTCTGTGTCCCCATGTCTCCCAGGGTCCCTATGTCACTAGGAACACAGAGACATGGGGACACTGTGAGGCATGGGGACACTGAGACAGGGGACATTGGGAGACATGTGGACACTGAGAGAAATGGGGACATTGAGACACTTGGGGCACCGGGAGACATGAGGACACAGACACTAGGGACACTGAGGCACTTGGGCACTGAGACACCAGGGACACTAGGAGACTAGGGGACACTGGGAGACTAGAGGACACTGGCTGGGACACATAGGGACCCTGGGAGACTAGGGGGCACTGGGAACACTTGAAGACATGGGGACACTGAGACACCAGGGACACTGAGACACTAGGGACACTGGCTGGGAGACATGGGGGCATTGAGACACTTGGGGCACTGGGAGACATGGGGACACTGGGAGACATGGGGACACAGACACACAGGGACACTGAGACACTATGGACACTGGGAGACATGAAGACACTGAGACACTTGGGGACACTGAGACCCTTGGGGACAATGAATCACCAGGAAAACTAGGAGACTAGGGGACACTGGGAGTCTAGGGGACACTGGCTGAGACACATGGGACACTGGGAGACTAGGGGACACTGGGAAAATAGGGGACATTTGAAGACATGGGGACAGTTAGACACCAGGGACACAGACACTGGCTGGGAGACATGGGGACATTGAGACACTTGGGGCACTGGGAGACATGGGGACACGGGGACACAGACACTAGGGACACTGAGACACTAGGGACACTGGGAGATGTGAGGAGACAGACACTTGGGGACACTGGGAGACATGGGAACACTTAGACACCAGGGACACTGGGAGACATGGGGACACTGGGACACTAGCTGGCTGGGACACATGGGGACACTGGGAGACTGGAGGACACTGGGAAACTAGGGGAAACTTAAAGACATGGGGACACAGACAGCAAGTACTCTGAGACACTAGGGACACTGGCAGGGAGACATGGGGACACTGGGAGACACGAGGACACTGTGTCCCTAGTGTCTCAGTGTCCCCATGTCTCCCAGTGTCCACAAGTGTCTCAGTGTCCCCAAGTGTTTGTGTCATGTCTTCCAAAGTCCCTTAATGTCTCAGTGTCCCCATATCTACCAGTGTCCTCAAGTGTCTGTGTCATAATGTCTCCCAGTGTCCCTTAGTGTCTCAGTGTCCCCATATCTCCCAGTGCCCCCATGTCTCCTTCAGCGCCCCGCCATCCCTCACTTCCCTGAGCTGTAGGCTGTCTCTGCAGGCTGGGAGTTGCTGTCTGGACTCTCTGTAGCTGCTCCCCTGTGGATCAGTGAGTAGAGCTAGGCAGGGAGGGATATTCTGGAACTTCCTATCCCTGCCTCTCACTACACACACAGCGCTGCATCAAAAATACCAGCATTTGTATTGCCAGTATGACTGCAATATCGGCACCGGCCAGGCAGCCTCAAATCCTTGCTGTGCCAGTAAAATACCAGCCAGGAACAAACCCTAAGAGTATTGTGTAATTTATTTTTTTTAAATCAATGAGCCTATTTCATGGGCATGGGCCTGGAGCTGCAGCTCCATCAGCCCCTATGTAAATCCGGCCCTGACTGCATGATCTGGCCCCTTGGAAGGCATGTCACCACCTTTGGGCAACTGACCCGCCCCATTTATCCCCAACCACTGGGATGTCAGAGTTGGGATGTATGCTTTCTGTCACTTTATATCACTTTTAGGACAGAATACTTTGACAAATCATCCCCTATGTATACATGTCAGGGCAGCGAATGCCTTTGTTAAATTTTATTCAGTGGGAGTGAAGTCTGTAGTGGACATACAGTTGCAAGAAAAAGTATGTGAACCCTTTGGAATGATATGGATTTCTGCACAAATTGGTCATAAAATGTGATCTGATCATCATCTAAGTCACAACAGTCTGTTTAAACTAATAACACACCAAGAATGAAATGTTGCCATGTTTTTATTGAACACACCATGTAAACATTCAAAGTGCAGGTGGAAAAAGTATGTGAACCCTTGGATTTAATAACTGGTTGAACCTCCTTTGGCAGCAACAACTTCAACCAAACCTTTCCTGTAGTTGCAGATCAGACGTGCACAACGGTCAGGAGTAATTCTTGACCATTCCTCTTTACAGAACTGTTTCAGTTCAGCAATATTCTTGGGATGTCTGGTGTGAATCGCTTTCTTGAGGTCATGCCACAGCATCTCAATCGGGTTGAGGTCAGGACTCTGACTGGGCCACTTCAGAAGGCATATTTTCTTCTGTTTAAGCCATTCTGTTGTTAATTTACTTCTATGCTTTGGGTCATTGTCCTGTTGCAACACCCATCTTCTGTTGAGCTTCAGCTGGTAGACAGATGGCCTTAAGTTCTCCTGCAAAATGTCTTGATAAACTTGGGAATTAATTTTTCCTTCGATGATAGCAATCCGTCCAGGCCCTGACGCAGCAAAGCAGCCCCAAACCATGATGCCCCCACCACCATACTTCACAGTTGGGATGAGGTTTTGATGTTGGTGTGCTGTGCCTTTTTTTTGCCACACATAGTGTTGTGTGTTTCTTCCAAACAACTCAACTTTGGTTTCATCTGTCCACAGAATATTTTGCCAGTACTGCTGTGGAACATCCAGGTGCTCTTGTGCAAACTGTAAACGTGCAGCAATGTTTTGTTTGGGCAGCAGTGGCTTCCTCTGTGGTATCCTCACATGAAATCCATTCTTGTTTAGTGTTTTAAGTATTGTAGATTCGCTAACAGGGATGTTAGTATTTGCCAGTGACTTTTGTAAGTCTTTAGCTGACACTCTAGGATTCTTCTTCACCTCATTGAGCAGTCTGCGCTGTGCTCTTGCAGTCATCTTTACAGGACGGCCACTCCTAGGGAGAGTAGCAGCAGTGCTGAACTTTCTCCATTTATAGACAATTTGTCTTACTGTGGACTGATGAACAGCAAGGCTTTTGGAGATACTTTTATAACCCTTTCCAGCTTTATGCAAGTCAACAATTCTTAATCGTAGGTCTTCTGAGAGCTCTTTTGTGCGAGGCATCATTCACATCAGGCAATGCTTCTTGTGAAAAGCAAACCCAGAACTGGCGTGTGTTTTTTATAGAGCAGGGCAGCTGTAACCAACACCTCCAATTTCATCTAATTGATTGGACTGCAGTTGGCTGACATCTCACTCCAATTAGCTCTTGGAGATGTCGTTAGTCTAGGGGTTCACATACTTTTTCCACCTGCACTGTGAATGTTTACATGGTGTGTTCAATAAAAACATGGCATCATTTCATTCTTTGTGTGTTATTAGTTTAAGCAGACTGTGATTGTCTATTGTTGTTACTTAGATGATGATCAGATCACATTTTATGACCAATTTGTGCAGAAATCCATATCATTACAAAGGGTTCACATACTTTTTCTTGCAACTGTATAGCTGCTACATCTCTTTTAAATGTGGAATTCACAATGAGTTTATCAATGTCATTGTCCTGAATATCAGCAAGTTCTAATGATAATGTGTCTACCAAGTTGTATTTAACTGCAAATTTGTAATCATTCCTTGCCAAGCTCAGTTGATGAATATGCCATTTAATGTAATTTTGAAGCTTTTAAACTGGACCCAACTCTGCAGACTATTCAACCTGCTGTTAAATGAGATTGCATAAATTGGCTGATGTTTATTGAACCTTTAGTTAATGTTGCCCACTGTAAATTTATCTTGTCACATTGCACTGGATTATGTTTTGTAGCTTGCAGTCTCTACACCCTCTTTTTCATAATGCCTGTCACATGCTATCTGAGAACTAATATAAATAGCTATTCAAGATCCAACTCAGCAGCATTTGTCTAAAATGTAAATCAGGGCTCCATCTCAATTTTGTTCTCTGAAATTAACAGGGAATTGTCCTCAGGCAGCACACAGTGAGTGCATCATTAGATGTCCTTGCACTGTACTGGGGACACTAGGACCATGCAGAGAGTGCTTTAACATTAATGTGTCTTACTGGCACAGACCTGTGGACTCGCTCACTCCATCCCAACTGTTGGAAAGTATGGCAATTGGTTAAAGGAACACTCAGGGCACCATTAGCACTGCAACGTGTTGTAGTAGTTATGGTACCAGGAGTACCCTAGCATTATCCCACAGTATGGAGTCAAACTGTTTACGCTTTCCGCAGTAAAATTGTTTCAGTTTACAATCCCATGGCATGGCAGGGCTTTACTCACTGGAGCTAGTGGAAGAATACTTAAAGGGACACTATAGTGACCCAGACCATTTTTTTGTCAACCTTTATTTTACTGAGGCATTGTGTTATGCAATGCAGAATAAAGAGAGATGTATTATGCAAATATACAGAAATGCAGAAGATATATATACTCCTGAGCAAACAGCCTAATTTTTTTGTGTGAAATAAACAAATGTAGAAACACGCTGAACACAGATTAAAATAAAAGCAGGCTAAAATATGTAAATACCGCTAGGTTGATAGGCAAGATTAAAGCAATTAAGACAAAGTATTGAAGTCAAACAACGTAAACTTGTCAGGTCAACTACACTTTGAGGCGTCTACGGCAAAGGAAATGTTTTTTTACTGTAAGAACAATAAGGATATGGAATTCTCTGCCTGAAGAAGCAGTTTTATCAGAGTCCATACAGATGTTTAAACGGCAACTAGATGCATACTTGCAAAAACAGAATATTCAAGGATATAATCTTTCAATGTAGGGTAATAGCTGCTTGATCCAAGGATAAATCTGACTTCCATTCTGGGGTCAAGAAGGTATTTTTTTCCTAGCTTGTTGCAAAATTGTGCTTCAAACTGGGTTTTTTTGCCTTCTTTTGTATCAACAGCAAAAAACAAATGCGAGGAAGGCTGGACTTGATGGACGCAAGTCTCTTTTCAGCTATGTAACTATATCAGCCTAACTGCCATTAATGCCATTATGCCCCTCAGCCAATGCCTGCAGATGGAGAGTCACAACTCCCCCCCACAGCATCCTGAGCAAAGAGATGTTGAGGGGGACAGGCATCCCACCATCCCCAGGCCTGCATCAGTGAGCCACGGACTTGTAAACCCCCAGTGTCCAAGTCCTTCCCAAGTGGGATATAGCTGAGAAGCTAAGTGGTCTTTTGCCGCTGTTTGCATTCACTCCACTGCCGGCGTGATCGATGCAGTGGTGGTTTACCCCTGGTGGTCTTCAGCCTAGTTGGGTGATTATGGCAGAAGGCGATCATATGTGGTTGGGCAGTGCCGGAGGAAAGCCCACCTCGTGGTCGATGTGCTGGGGCTAAGCCTCATGAGGCTCTCGGCCTTGGAGGGTAGACAGTAGGACAGTTGTGTGCTCGCTGTCTCATTTTGTCCCGAGGGGTCTACTCTTTGGCAGCTCATGGTGCATCGTCAGTGTGCTTGCAGCTTGGCCATAGACTCTCTGACGCTCCATTAGCTTCTGCCAGAAGTCCCTAAATATTTTATCAAGGTGTTGCAACATGTGGTCTAGAGATCCATGATGGGGCTGCCGGGACATGCCCAGCTCCTGCAGGACTGAGCGGGGATGATCCGCCATCTTGTAAATGCAGAGAGGTTGAAGCGTGGCTGGAGTGTAGCTTGGATAAGGAGTTGAGTGCAGGCAAGTCAGCTTGGTCAGCTTCAGCAGGGACTGGTATATCCCCCGGGGGGAGTGAATAATGGAGCTGTATGGCTGAAGTAAGAGTGGGTAAATCAGCCCAACTCTGCGACATGCAGGCCACACTGTTCTGTCACAGGGTGTCTTATCCCAGATTGGATAGCACCCTGTGGTATCGATTACAGCCCGGTAGCCTGGGTTATCATCAGAAAAACAGCGCGGAGAACAGGAGCTCATACAGGACACGTCTTATCAGTGTGAAGGTCAGGCTCCGCTCCCACCCAGAGCATTTTATCTCAATGATGTGATCTGGGTGCAGCGTTCCTGTCCTTTTAACCCTGCAATATAAAGCATTGCAGGGTTAAGTCTACCTTTAGGGCTATGAGAGCTCAGTGTATGGCAAACACACGCAGGGTGAAGATAGATTAATTTAGGTTGCCTTTTTTTATTTTTTTATTTTGCAAATTGTTTTTTTTTTAATTATTTTCATTAGATGTGATGGGATTTATGAATTTTTATTTGGCCTTTTTTTGCTGCTGAAGAAAAGAAGAGAGTATACTTCTGATGACAAGTATAATTATGTACAGGTATTAAGTTTTATTGCCCCCCCCTCACTATTATGAGTGCGAGGGTGGAAGTAGGTAGGGGCATTTATTTTTAATGGGGATAGGCCGGTGGGTTGGGAAATACTAGCTAAGTAGCCATTCTGGAATTGCAATATCACTGTCATCTTACATTGTCTGCAGCTGACTGGTCATAACTTCCACGTCCTTTCAGACAACAGCAATATTAGCTACAAAAAGAGATTTGCGGAGGTTTTGGATATCAGCTTTACTTGCTGGTAAATTCTCCGGTGCTGTTTTGAGACTTGCTTGTTTCTATAGATATTTCTACTGAGCCATTGTGATCACTCTCACCATATGTGTAGTCTGAGAGCTCCCATCTGGGCGCAATCTTGGCAGGCCACGTTTGCGGAGTCAAGCGCAGCAAATCATCAATACCTTTGGAGGAGTTAGCTGATATTATGGGATATTGTGGGTTTTCTGGAAATTATAGGAATAACTTTAGTTTTTTTTCCCGATAATATCCAGAAAAGTTTGTAGCAATGGTATATCACTTATTTGTATTAGAGTATGCTCTAAGCCCCTTGCTGCCACTTGTTTTAAAGTCTCACAGCTGAAGTCCACCAGTGGATGCAGGAAAAGGGATGGCATGATGCCTTTTCTAGACATGCCACCACATGCTGCATGGCACCTAGGAGAAAAATGAGGTTTCAACTCTCCCCTTTTAGTTATATGAGGGTGTTATAGACCCCATAGGCTTTTTATTTATTTTTTCAATGCGGCGGCAGGCTTGCAAGTGCTGACCAGGCACCACATAATTAACTCTTGCATTGTTGAGTGGTAATGGTAATTATTACTCGCTTGCATAATGTCAGATCTAAGAAGGGATGTAGCAGAATTTAGGAGAAATACAGGATTCTGACAGATTTACACAACATAAAAAGCATATACTATGATACAAATAAACAAAAGAGTTAATGCCAGTGTTACAAGTTACTACATTCTCACCATTTGAAGACATAAAACACAAACCTTAACTGGATATAATAAGATAATAATAAGAAGAGCAGATAATAATGAGAAGAGCATAACCCTGCCATAAAAAGCCTTACTTAACAGAGACAGAAAAACATTTACTATGCCAGTGTAACTTTATCATTACTGTAATCTTATATTTTAGGTATTAAGAGAGAAGTCGTATATTGTCTATTAAGCAATATTCATATATGTCACATGCCTTGTGTGCCGTGTTTTGCCACCTGCTAACTAGAGTGGTTTTTGGAAATACAGATGGAGTTCTATTTTTCAGTGTCAAGAGGGTCCCCAGATCTAAAAGAACAGTCGCAGTTTGGGACCTCTGTCCTCCTAGTTTTTTATTTGGTATTTTGGAGACAACAGGAAATGTCCAAATTTCAGCACAAGTGCACAATTAAATATTCTCACAGCTACACATGCCAACCGCATGGCATTTCTGCCCATACAGGATTGATTTCACAGTCTTAAATGCATGTCCAGACTGAGTAGGTTGACTCAGCCCAGAATGCAAATTTCTGATACTTGTTCTAGCGTCATACTTCCCAGTGTTCAAAGGTAATATTCCCCCACAGTTTTTAGTTTCTTTAATTTGACAATTTTTACCTCAGTTTTGCCATTTGGATTTAATATGTTATTATCTCGGGCCTTAGATAACAGTATCTCTCTTTTAATGTGTCATAGGGAACCTGTTCCAGTGTTAGAGATGGCAAGGGCATTTACAGAAGAAACAGAGTTTCAAACACATGTAAAACACAAAACAAAACAGAAATTTAAAAATGTGATTAAAAAAAAAGCAAACAAAGTACAGCCACTACATAGATGGGAACCAAAGCAAAACAAATCAGAACATACAATCTAAAAATAAAAATTGTAACCCTATGAATGGAAACTGAAGACGCTTTAGATAAAGAGAAAATATAAAGAAAATTGTACAACTATAACATAAATAAAACAACAAGACCCAAATCCACATAAAGGGAGAGGCAGTATTATAAAAAAGTAATTATCAACATCATTGAAATGAAATTCAATTCACTAAATTCTCTTAGGCATGCTAAAATTAACTCATCATTACAAAAAACAATTCCAACAATCATGAAAATTATTTTAAAAGCCCTTGTGTATAAGTCCCACAGTTCTGATGGAGCCTATGGAATTTCTTATGAAAGAATTAGAAATCGGTTGACCTACTTACACAGCTAGGTTTAGTAATATATGTTCTAGCTATGGCTTACATTCAGAGAACAAAATAATCTTATTTCCATTTTTAAAGAAGCACCACTCAAGAGGATTGGAAAAAACTGGTGGAAAGGAAACGAGTTTCCTCCCCCCACCCCTCCGAAAAGTAAAATAAACCATTTTAGTACCCATATTAGGATATCTTTAATTTTAGCAACATGGTTCTTAATCATTGTGAACATAGCATGCTTAAACAGGTGCTCTAGGCTAAGCACACTAATAAAAGATGCCCACTTTGTTACTGCATTTGAAATAGCTTCAATGTACATTGTTAACACTGCCCAGATAGTCAGGATGCTCCAATAACTTTCTATTGCATCTATGGCATTTCTCAAAGCGGGGCTTTTTGAAGGACAGCATTTTCTGGAAGCTATGGTTCAGTTATCAACTTTGTTTTTTTCATTCTGCCTTTATTGAACATTAAAAGTAGTGCAGTATGCATGGATGTATACTAAAGAAAAACAAGAAATAAAACAGCAGTAGATCCGATTTGACAATCTATAACATAGTAGAAAAACATTTCCAAAAGTAAACAATGTCCCAAAGAGCCGGGCAAACAAGCAAGGAACCATGGCCCAATGACATGGACCTGATTTAACAATGTTCAACAGTGGGGTGGGTGGGACAATTTGTAGCAGGACTGCCCAGCCCGCAGAGCACTGTGAGTCAGTGCAAGAAGACCAATAGGGGAAAGAGAAGGCAAAGAGGATTAAACTGAGACTGAACAGGAGAGAAAAAAGGAGAGACTTAGAGGAGTGTTAGGTAGTGAAGTGCATGTAATAGTGCAGGGAAAGGAAGGAAAAGGGGATGGGAATGTGGACAGGGTACATGGAGACAAGCTCATGCAAGGCACAATCGTCCCATACATGAAAGGAATAGGATCTCTAACCTAGATGGCCTGCAGCACCACTCCCTGCAAGGCAATGTTTCAGTTGTCGAGCCCTCACCCTTTTCCATACTGTCCTTTCCCCTGTTGGGTACAGGTGAGCAAAAGCTATTTTGAGACCTGAGCAGGGATTTATCGAAGGGCAAAATAGTGAGTTTCTCTAAGCTTTTGTCCGTTCTCAGAGTTTTCATATTATTTGCTTTTCTTATACATATGTTGTAAATGGGAATCCTGCTCATCCTAAACTCTTCAAATAAGGAATTTATAGTATCTTTCTATTACTGAAGAAACAGTAAAATTTCATATTTTATATTTTGGAACAGGCACCATTATTAATGAGTTGACTAGAATTAAAGAGACCCTCCAGTGACAGGAAAACAATCTGTTTTCCTGGCACTGCAGTTCCCCTCTCCCTCCCACCCCCCATCCCAAGTTGCAGAAGGAGTGAAAACCCCTACAGTGACTTACCTTTATCCAGCGCCGATGTCCCCCAGGCGCTGGTTCAGGGTCCGCTCACGCTCTTCCCCCGCCGTCATCAGGTGGAGAAGACCTATTGCGCATGTGTGGCCGGCGGCGGGGGAGACCTAATGCGCATGCGCGGCAAGACCTCCCCATAGGAAAGCATTGAAAGATGCTTTCAATGCTTTCCTGTGGGGAATTTAGCGACGCTGGAGGTCCTCACATAGCGTGAGGATGTCCAGCGACGCTATAGCACAGAAAATCTGTGCTATTAACCAGGAAGTGCCCTCTAGTGGCTGTCTAGTAGACAGTCACTAGAGGAGGAGTTAACCCTGCAATGTAAATATTGCAGTTTATGAAAACTGCAATATTTACAGTTGCAGGGTTAAGGGTAGTGGGAGTTGGCACCCAGACCACTCCAAGAAGTGGTCTGGGTGCCTGGAGTGTCCATTTAAGGATGTATGGCAGACAATATGGAAGCAAACCATCTAAATGTTATACCAATGAAAAGGTGCTAAGTACTATCCTAAAACCTGGTATGTCTGCCCACTGAGGAACTGATTTACATTCATTAGGTCTTACTACATAGATAGTTGAAGTGAAACTGTTACTTCTCTGAAGTTAAAATTCCTTGTTCCCTCATTCCAGTAAAAAAGAATGAAGGACTTACTGGAATGAGCAGGGCAATGAAGATAAGTGAAAAATACTATTTTCTGGAACAGATCTCCCCGTCTTGATTCCTTGTCAATGACTGTTATAAACTCCATCCTCTGCACCTCTCTGTTACTATAGAGAGAGGGCAACGTGTGCCTTAGGTTTGTCAATTGTTAAATCTTTAATATACAAGTTATGAGTTTTAATGTCTTATTCAATAAAGTCATTTAAGTGACAATTCCCCTTTAAAGTCTAAGAATATGTTACATAAATTCTATTTTATGAGAGCCAAGCATCTTACAGGCATTTCTAACTTGTTGCAATATATAATTAGTCTGCGATCATAATGAATGTTTCCAGAAGGCTCTCAATGTGACCTAAAGGCATTTCTATAAATAAACTGAATATATACAAGGTCTTTTTTCTGTTTCTAAGACTTGAAGAAAGCTGCTTAATTTTTGGGCGAAAAATTACATCTTGAATAATAGAAATGCAGAAAGTTCCCTAAAGGCTATAGCAGTCTTGAAAATCACTTTGCAGGCCACAGAATAAAAGAATAAAAGGTCCTTTCTTCTTCGGACTACAAACATGCAGCCAGTACAACAGCTTTAATTCTTCTCGACTGCTTCTTTTATGGGCTGTAGAATTTCTTTTTTTTTTTTTTCATCCCTTTTGGTAACATGTTGTGCCTAATTGCAAATGATGTTATTTCAATGCAATTATTTTTGTTAGTTTTTAAGGATGGTGTTTGTAACAAGCTTTGAAGTAAAAAAAAAATAAGATATTTCCAAGCAATTATAACCTGCCAATATAATTTATTTTACTACTCTTCATATGATCTTGCTTTGTGCAAAGGGAATTAAGTATGGGATCTTACGAGAGATGTAGGGTAACAAAACTAGCATGGACTGGCTGACTATAAAATAGTTAAAGGGACACAATAGTCACCAAAAAAATTTAGGTTAATAAAGCAGTTTTGGTATTTAACTCCTAAATGGCAGAGGATTGAGCAGTGAAACTGCAGGGGCGTGATCTTTACACCAAAGTGGCTTCATTAAACTAAAAATTTTTTTTGTGACTATAGTGTCCCTTTAAGGTAAAGCTGACTTTGCGAGAGGAGTAGACAAGTGAGTGTTGGGGGACATCAGGAAACTATTCTCAGAAAGCGTAGAGCAAGAACATATGTTGCAAAGCTCAAGGCGCTTAAACTAATCTGTCTGCATACATAGTCTGCCCTTAGTTGGCTTGTCTGCATGACTGTCAGGCAGCCTGGGCTGATGCTCTTAGCCTATCACTGGACGCCCATTAGAAGTAACAGTACTTTACTCGCAACGATGGCCAGTGATAGGCTCATGCTTTCAGCCAATCATTGGATTTTCAATGATTCCTCTTTCTGCTCAGTACAGAGGCTGAGCCAAGAAGGACCAGATACTGTGAGAGCAGCCCACTCCTTAAAGGATGCTCTAAGCACAAAAACAATATTGGTTTAATTAACTGGTTTTGGTATATGGTTCCTGCCTCTGCAGTCTCACTGCTGAATTCACAGCCAAGGGAAGTGTGACTAGGGCTGTATAAACAATGTGATTTAGCTTATACATGGCAGATAATTGAGCAGTGAAACTGCAGCTTAATGTTGTTGTTCCAGTGAGTATATTCTCTTTTCAGAGAAAAGGCAGTTTTTACATTGCTACCTATGGATACCTTCAGTGGCAGTCACTCAGACAGCCACCAGAGGGCACTGACATTCATCATCTTCACACTCTGCATGGAGACACTGAACATTCCTCATAAAGATGCATTGGTTCAATGCATCTCTAAGAGATGCTGATTGGCCAGTGCAGCATTTGGCTCCGCCTCGCCCCTTTCCTTTACTGAGGTCACCAATTCTGTGATCATAATCCTATAGGAAAGCATTGTGATTGGTTGAGACCATTAATTCTAATGAACTCAGCCAAGGAGGCAGATCGGAGACAAAGCCAATCCTGGCGGACCCGTGCAGCACTGGAAATAAGGTGAGTTTCTACTAGCTAAATAGTTAGGGGGGGGGCTAAATAGTTAGTTCAACACATTTGTGTTCCTTTATGCTAAAATGGCATTGATGCTCAGATTATCCCTTTAAGGTAAGAGCCATGGAAACCCACCCCTCAAAACAACTTAATTGAAATAAAATAGTTTAGAAGGAAGAATATACCTTCAATTACTTCTCACGTGGTATTATCTAAATTGTAACCACTATATACAAAACTCAAACATGTATATGTAATGATCAACCATAAAACAGTGTGCCTTGTCTTACCTCTCGGATCTCTTTAATTTTAGAACCCCCTTTGCCTATAAGTGAACCACACTGGCTTGCAGGGACTACTAGCCTCAGCGTGACTGGTGGTTTGCTTGTCACTGTGCTGTTTGTCATGGAAGCATTAATATCCTGTAACGACAGAAGGAAAAATTGCTATTAGGTCAGACTTAATTAAACATTCTAGTGGTACAGACAGAGTATCTATTCATCAATCCCTCCCTTATTCAACCATTCCTCTGTCTGTCCATTTATCCACCAATCCATATGTATTTTCCATCCATCTCTCTGTCCATCAATCTATTCAACCATCCATTCAATCTGAATCTAGAACAAGTTTCAGCACCAGTAGGTGGCGGATTCTAGTACACAATAAAACAAAATGCAAAGGAATGCACATAATTATATTTAGAGAAATTAACAACTTTTCAGATTTGCTATATAGATCATCTTTAAATGAAGACTCCGATCACATTGTAGTGTTTAGTATGCTAAGTAGTCAAACCATTTGATAATACTTTGAAAATTGATCTGAGGTCCTTCGGATGCTTCTGCTGCTGGAAGCTCCTGCCACTGACCTAAAACCAGCTGTGCAAGGCCACGCTCATTGCCCGAGAGCGCTTAGAAGACATTCACAGCCAATAAGTGCAGCCTTGCACAACAGAACTAGGTGGAAGGTGGCAGATCGAAGCCCGGTGGCAGCCTAGTATGTTGTTGAAGCTGCTCTAGTGGTTACGGAGCTTGGAGTATTCCTTATATTAGTATAAGCTAATTTCACAGAATGTTCTTGAGTTAGGTCAAGGTATTCCAAATATTTATTATTTTATACCCTAATGTAACGAAACAACTATTTTGAATAATAGAACAGATATTGTCCGTTCTATTTTGCTCTGTTTACTGTTGTGAATGACAGAATAGTACCCAACACATAAGAATATTAAAATCTTCATGATAAAGAGTTAAATAAATCCCTTTAAACCATGACAGTCCTGTAAAAACACTGTTTTTGGATGACGTAAGCCTTGTTGGCATGGCCTCCCACCACAGTAAAAAATAAAAAATAAAAAATAAAATAAATTAAGGGTTAACTTACCAGCAATCACACGCTAGGGCCAAGATTTCCCTGTAGTCAGATCCTCCTTCAGGGATGTCACTCTTCCTTATTGCAGGGGAAGGGACTTCTGGAGGAAGGGCTTATGGGCAGACTTGGGCAGCATGAATGGGTGCAAGGCATACTGACAAAGGTTGTCTGTTGCCAGCAAGCTGTGTTGACACATTTCATGCACAGAACTAACATTCGCCCACCTGAAACTCTCCTTCCAAGCTGGCTAATGACACTGCGGGAGATGGAATTACATCTCTAGCAGCAAAGTTCTGTATTTCTGTGTGTACAGTACAGTTCACTCTGAAACACTGCACATACAGACTCCAAGCACCATACTGACGTGGTCATGGGGGTTGGTGTAACCTTTCAATAACTCCATCATCCTCAGTTTCGTGAACAAATCTAATACCCGATTGGGTTGTAAGACATAAGAGAAATTGGTGTAGTGTGAACTAATACTAGTCAAGTAATTACTTGAATGTAGAAACTCTTAGAAGCACAGTAGTTGTATAAACAATTTAATTGGAGACTTTAAATATACATTACGAGAGGAGGTCAACGCCCCATTTAGTTTAAAATGTGTTTAAACAATGAAATGTCCATTTAATTTATACCTTCAGAGTATAAATATTGCTTAACCCCTTAAGGACACATGACATGTATGACATGTCATGATTCCCTTTTATTCCAGAAGTTTGGTCCTTAAGGGGTTAAAGGTGCAGTTTAAGGTGTTTGAATAGTTTGACACATACCTGGGCCCCCTGTGTGCCAACGCTCCAATACCTCTTCACCGACATCTGCATTAGCAATATTTCAGCCAATGAATTCTATCTAAAATTGCACAAAACTGATATTTCTACGAAAAAGGAAAACTTAAAATTTAGTGACATATGAAATAAGGGGCCAGACTGCAGCTTTCCAGGTACCTAGGTAATTGCCAAACTGTTTGACGCTTAACAGTGGGAAATCACCAGGGTAATTGTGAAACCATAACCACTACAACATGCTGTAGTGCTTTTGGTATTTTGTGTGCCCCTTTAGTAACGATAATATGTACTACAGAATGCTTAGTGAGAATTACACCTGACCATGATAACAATGTAACCCGTTTACGTTGCTTTAATAGGTATACCTATTACTTTTTAAGTAGAATAGAATCTAACAGGCCACAAGCCACTGTTCACAACAGTATTGTGGGGGGAGGAGAGGGTCAAAACAGCTGATGATATGACCTTGCATATATATCTAGTAGAGGTTACTTAATATGAACATAAAACAAACATGTAATTTGAAAGCATGTCTAAACTATTCCACCACACGCTGTTTTAGTGTTACATTATGGTGGAATGTGCAAATACACAAGGCTGCTGATGTATGGATTGAAGTGGGGAATGTCACAGTTCTACAAACAAGTGCTAAGGGGTCATAGCAACCTAAGTCTGGCATTGTTCTCGCAGCTCCGGGAGCACAGTATTTGCCCTGGGTACTAAATATAGTATAAAAGATAATGGCAAACTAGAAGTGTGATAGGAATGAATAAGACAGGCATCTCGGTTTGCAGTGTAAGTGATGAGATGCAGCTGTAAAAACACGTCCAATAACTCAGACATAAAGGCACTTGGACAGTATGAAATTACCACCGTGGTCAATGAACAATTTAGCTACTGTTGTTGACAGAATGGCCTCTCTAACAGATTTCCTTTGCAGGATTTACAGGATGTCCAATGTTAACTTGAATTCACAACAAGAATATTGATTTTTAATTTCACAGGATTATGTCCCTCTATAAACTGTGCGGAGAGATTAAAGTTTATACAACCTATTTGTGGGACTTTAGTTTGACACAGAGGATGTAAAACTTAGTCTAGCTGCAGTATTTTGCCATTAAGTGCAGTTTTATTACAGTTCTTAATCATTGTGTTGCAAACAATTTATAAGAGCATAATAAATAAGAAGGGGATGTAGCCATGGGGAGGTTTCTGTGCACATATTTCCATTCATTGGGAATCTGAGTGTTTAATCCAGGGGTTTTAGTTGTGTATTGTGATGGAGCAGGAAAATGCCTTTTAAAGTCCAAAATATGTTACCATATCAGGTAGTAGGACTGACTGCTATAGTGTAGATAGAAAGGGAGCTGGTGAATTGGCACCATAGATGATCCTCATAGATATAAAGACATAATTAATATCCACAAAGAGTTTTAGAAGCTCACCTGCTTTCTCTACAGAAATATAGAGAAATATTTGTAACATTATAATTACGTTTAAAAACGCCATCCATCCACATTAAAAAGAACCAGTGTGTATTAATCACTTTTTGCAATTAATGCAGGTTTTTGGTGCATAGCACCTGGAGAAATAGACATTTTCCTGCAATATCAGATGCTGTGTACGCACAAACACATTTATGTTCGACTTCTGTTCAAGATTAGGATTTGTCTGTTGGGTGAGTGCTGTGTGAATTGGTGTGATGTGTGTCAGTGGGTTGGCTCAGAGGTGTTGTGTATGTGAGAATGCACGGAGGGCAGAGATTCCACACATTATTCCTTAAAATAATATATATATATATATTTTTACTGCCCTCCTGCATAACTTTGGTAATAGGGGGTTACAATCTTTGCTGGCCTGATGGGTATAACAGGATCCCTGGTGGTCTTATGGGTTGATGGTGTGACACACCTCGGATGGGGGCACTCCTAGTCAGACAATCAGTCTATAATGGCAGCTGGCATTTAGAATTGAGAGAGCTCTCAGGGAGCACTCATTGTGACCAGCAACCACCTAATATGAAGACAGTATGTGTCCTTGCAGTACTGAGGAAGTGCAGGGTTGGTGACTTATAAAAGCGCCTCCTTAATGACGGTGAGGTTGCCCCGGCTACTCGGCTCCCACCCGACAGGCAGAATTTAAGGCTCATATATTTCCTAGTTTGACCCAAATTGGAGTTTATAGTATAGAGTATACTATAGTACACGATACACAGTTTAGGGTTATGTTTCTCTCTCACACTCCCTTTATAGAAAAATAACTACGTGTCAAATAATTTGTGATGTGACTAAACATAAAATTCCCCATAATTCAATGAAGATAGAAAAAATATTGTTGTGCGTCACCTACATATCTCAAATTGGACTTTGGGAAATCGACCTTGGGCACAGAAATTCCACAACTGGCCCAGAATTCCCAGCTCAACATTCACAGCAGTACAGGAATGCATTGTGTTGCGGACTTGACCCAGGTGCCATGGGTGAAGTTTGCAACGTGCAGACTTGACCAGTGCAGACTTGACCCGTTTCTGCAGGTGCCCTTAACAATGGGGCATTTTCTAACATAGCTTTTCTTAACTGAGCCATGGATTATAATGCACAAGGACCAGAAAGTAGATAAATTGACAGACAGACATACAGACAAACAGATAGTAGGACAGGATGGAAACTATATGTATTTTTTTTTTTTAAACTGACATTTAGCAGTTGTAACATTAAATAAATCAGGATGAAACGATCACTGAGATAATTTTTGTTCTTGCAATAATAGTGCAAAACATTCAGTTTTTGAATCAATTTTTTTCACTTTTATAAGCAATTTCCATTGTTCAGTGTTCAGCTGGGTAATAGGTATTTCCTCAAGACAGCAACATTTTTGCCTCAAATGGTCTAAAGAACATCATATGATGTCACAAATGCACACTCAATGTGGGAGATTTACCAACATGTTGAAAAAAATCTGTTCCAATTTATTTAAGTGTTTTCAATGTAGTCTAAAAAATTGTCACCTTTCTTCCTTGTATATTCTGACAGATTTATGCACCTTCACAATGACCCAGTAACTAAGAATAATGTGTGAGTATCTGTGAGCATCCTGCCTTGCCTTGCTTTGTACGCCACGATCATACTAGTGTACGACAATACTTTTCTGGTGCAAACCATTGGAAATGTTAAAACAAATAGAATATAAATATAACAAAATTAAAAAAAAATGGCAGAGAAATTCCAATAAGTAGTGCAAAATAAAATCGAAATTGATAACCTCTGCCAGAACAAAAATCATACAAAAGAAGCAGATTATTCACTGACTCCTTCTCTGATTTCACCTTCTCATCTTATGTTCATTCTTCTCCCATCTTCTACTGCGTGCCCGCCACAACAAGCCTGTCATTATCGGCCATCCTTTAACCTACTACTGGGAGCCTCTCTGCCCGACTTACACAGGTTAAGGTACCAGGTGTGGTGGTGTCAATAACTTGGAGATGCAGTGCAGGAGATTAATGATTTGTATCCACTGTGTGTACCTCGAGCAGTTATAACCGTGCTGAGGGAAAGATGATTTGTCACCCACAGATATATCAGAGTTTTTCTTTCAATATTTCATAAATGAATAGAATATAATATAATGACAGTAATCTACAAACAGAGGGCATTTATTAAATCTTTAAATTCTGTGAAATAGGATGAATGAGGAGATAAAATCGGGTACAGATATGGCTTAAGGGCTATTTTATTTTTTACAAATGACACACTGTGCTTTTAACGTGTCCAGTTCGTGCCAAGACAATCCTGTTGCCTTTTTTATGGATCAGAGAGAGACGACAATAATGTCTGAAATTCCTGTCTGTAAAGTCTATGTAATCTGACCTTCACAGGTTCAAACTGTAGCAATGAATAATTTTACATAGCTTAAATTGCGTAGGGCAACAGCAAGCCATAGCTCACACTTTAAAGAACTGAAGTGTAGAGTGTTCATTAGTTTTTGATGAAAGTAAATCCTCAATGACTTTTATCTGGAGAGCTGTAGTACTGTTAAATTGAGACCAAACATAAAAGAAAGCGACTGTCTAAGGCTATTTTTTTCTGGTGAATGTGAAAATATGCACCATGAAATAGAGCAAATGGAATACATAAAGAATAAATAGCAAGTAAATGAAGAACAAGTATATTGAATTAGAAAATGGGTTATTTTTTCAAATCTAAAATACATTTTATGGCTATGCTCATGTCTTATATAGGAATAACATTTGGATGCACACCATTATAATTCAGATACTAATACCTTCTCATGAATAAATGTAACCTAAATTTTTACAATCTTTTCTAAATAAACTAGTGTTGGGTGAAAAAAACTAAATCATTTTTTTCCTTGCTTTTCAAAGTCATTGATTTAAAACTCTTTAAAGGAACACTATTATTTTAATATAATTTAATCATTTTTTACTCTGCCAGACAAAATAGGAATCATCTGTGTACCAGAACCATATCATGATGTAGTGGTTTAGAGTGTCCCATTAAGGACAACATGTTAAACAATGGCCTCATTCCAAACTAGTCCTAAAATACCTTATAAACAAACAAGGAGGAATTGGTGTAAACTTCAATTCAAAAATATGTTAAGATGACATGCATTTAGCATTGCACTATACCAGGGGTAGGCAACCTTTTAGCAGCACTGTGCCGATATAGGATTGTGATGCTAATCCTATTTTTTTAAATTGAGGTGTGTATGCTGCCATATTCTGCTTGTGTTATTTTTACTGTAATTGCCTTGTATCATTGTATTTGTGCGTATATGAGCTATTATATTGTATATGTTCATTAGTAGTTTATGGTATCGTGTATGATACATATGAATTTGGGCTGTGTATGAGGGCTGCTTGTGGAATTGTGTGTGGATGGATATGTCACATTGTGTGTTTGGTAGTGTATGGGGGCTGTTTGGGGTATTGCATGTGAGAGGCTGCATGCGGGGTTGTGTGCATGTATGTGGATTGTTAGTGGTGTTGCGTTTGTGGGGATTGTGTGCATATTTGTGTGTGGGCTGTCCGTATTATTTGTATGAGGGGAGGGTTATTCTGCATTTAAGTGTATATCTAGCAGTGTGGGTGGCTTCCCTGGGTTCCAGTGGGGACTAGGCCGGCCAGGTATAGCTCAAGTATAGGAGCTGCAACAGCAGCTGCAGGCTGCTCTGCTACAGTGTGGATTCCCATTCACAAGTGCTGGGAGGAAGTGATCTGAGATCACTTCCTCTATGTGCTGCAATGCATAAATTGAGGATTGTCTTTCACCACCTCTTCATATTAGCAGATATCTGAAGTTTTACTGGGACTCCTGATAGGACAGTGCCTGTTTGGCTCTAGCAGCCTTGAGTGCCGTGCAAAGGCACCTCGAGTGCCGTGCATGGCACTAGTGCCGTAGGTTGCCTACCCCTGCACTTTACATTTCATAACTGAAATATACTTAAGCATGGAAACATAAGAAATCAAATTAAAATCACCAGAGCTGACATGCTACCTTCTGGCTCCCCTCACCTGACCCTAATAGATTATATTTTTTTAATAAATTAAAATTTTGATTGTTTTCCAAAAAGTGAGTAGGTTGTTTGCCTGGTTTTGGAAGCGTGATTACTCTTGCAGCTAGGAATTCCAAGGGGAAAGACCCCGTATGGGTCGCGTGGTTGAATGTCATAATAATGTGCGGGGCTAAAAGGTGTTTAAATTTTGCGTAATATGTGTTAGTGTAACCGTCTGGTCCGCAGGCCTTTCCTTTGGGCAGTGATTTGATGCAGTCTAAGATTTTTTCTTCGGTAATGGGAGCTGCTAAGGTATGTTTCTGAGTAGCTGTCAGTATCGGTAGGGGAATCTCAGATAAGTAGTTTTGCATGCTTGAGGCTGTGGGGAATGGAACGTTGGGATCATCTTTGAGGTTGTAAAGCTGACTATATTAGTTTGCAAATTCTGTACATATCTGCGTGGGAAGTAATAGTTTTTGGCCCTGTTTATTGATTATGTATGCAATGCATGTTTGTAGTTGTCTGTCCTTCAGACTTTGGGCTAGAGGTTTGCTTGCTTTATTAGCTTGTACGTACATGTGTGATTTCAGTCTTTTCAGCATAAGTCCAAATTTAGTGCGATGTACCTCGTTTATTTTAGTTTGTAAGGCTGTTATTTTAGATTTATTTGCTGTAGAGGGGTGTGTTTGGTTCTCTCTGTGTAATTTATCTGGTTGAAGCTTCCATTGGGTTATGTCATATTCTGTTTGTCTTTTGAGGTTGGAAGCTCTACCTATCAATGTACCTCTCACTACCGCTTTGTGTGCCAACCAAAGCATGTGTGGGTTTTTGACTGACTGTTTGTTTCTTTCGAAATAGTGTTTCAATTCTGTCTCTATTTGTGTGCATAATTTCGGGTCATTTAATAGGCTCTCATTGAGGCGCCAGGGGTTTCTGTGTTTGTATTCGTAGAAGTTTGTTAATGTTACCAGTGCGTGTTAAGGCCACCCAGTGGGCTTAATGTCACAGTCCTGCACTCTCATCAAAGTGGATTCATGCATAAGGTAGCCTTCAATCCTTGAGTAAGTATTATGCACCCTTGAGTGATGGGTGTATTCCCTGTCTCCCGGGTGTAGTGCCCTCCATATGTCATGTAGTCCAAAGGATGTCACCATTGTCATAAGGGCTTTGCATTTTTTTTTAATGTGCCATAATCTGGGGTGGAGGTTGGCCTGGTAAAGTCCGATAGTGGATTGAAAGTGTCGGGGAATAGGGGGAGGAGGTAAAATAACTTCTTGTTTTCACTGGGCGTTACGTGATGGGAAGATTGGCCTCCTTGGTAACCTTGTTGGGACCCTAAACTGTCCATGAGAGCATAAGAGGTAGTGTCGGAACGCCCCTTTAGACTGAGTGCTCCCTAAAGTTCCTACCCCTTACTCCATATTGCACAAATAAAAACATTGCAGGATATTTCCCTTGCAGAGTAATAGTAAATATCTGAGCAGTGAGGGATTGTATATTACCCATTCCCGACTGCTGTCATGTCTGTGCCGTACCGCACAGCCTTAGATAGACTTGGTGTGAAGCAATGTTCTTTACGCTCCCTTATAAAGTAAAGTCCTGGTGTGTAGGAAAAATGGGAATGTCTGCCTCAATCAGCTTTCACTGGACCTCTACGACCCTGGGTGCTTTCGGATGTCGAACAGCCCTCCATTCTTGTCGGATCTCTGTGTGCCTTTTGGCACCCTTTCCTGCTGTTCCCTTGGTGATACCCCAGCTGTGTAGTAGTCGGGTGCAACATCAGATACAACTTGCATCTTGGCATCTCTGGAGATCAGGAGGTTTGCAGGGAAGCCCCATCGATAAGGGATCCTCTTGTTTCTCAGCTTAGAGGTGACTTCCCGGAATGATCTTCTACGCCAAAGCGTCTCCGGTGAAAGGTCAGCAAATACCTGGATGTTTCTGTAGGGCTCCGGTAAATCTTGCTGGGGTCTGTTGTAGCGAAGGAGAGCCTCTTTTATGTGGTAGAATTGAAGTTTAGTCAGCACGTCCCTGGAGGTGGAGGCGGGTAAGTGTTTTGGTTTTGCCACTCTATGTGCCCTGTGTATTAGTAATATGGAGGGTTGGATATCAGGGGCCAGGGCTTGGAATAGTCCTGTCAGAAAAGCGGTGAGGTCTGCCAGTTGTACTTCCTCTGGAATTCCCCTTATCCTCAGGTTCTGGCATCGGGACCTGTCTTCCAGATCCATAGATTTCAATTCTTGTTTATCCAGTCTGGTTTCCAGTTCCTCCACTTTATCCACGAAGCTGTTGTGCGCTTCAGTGTATTCCACCATTTTGTTTTCTATGTGGGCCGTGCGGTTACCCAATTCCATAAGGTCTCGCCTTAGATCCAAGATTGCTGACTGTGATGTAGCTTGAATTTTAGCTGCCATGCCATCTAGCATGTTTTGGAACAGATCACTCTGGATTTGCATAGTATTCTGCGGGGATTGGGGCCTAGACAGATCACTGTCTTCGTCAATGCCGTCGCCATCTTGGGATTGCAGCATGGCCGTCCACGTGCTTGCTGGTTTTGCCGCAAAAATTTGTCTTTCTTTTTGGCATCCGCCATTTTTCGTGCCCCCCGCTGTGACATCTTGGGTACACCGGATTATTGAAGTAGTTTTAGCTGATTAGCCACTGTAAGTAATGCTGTAGTAGCCGTCGGCCGGGGAGCTCATACTCTACGCGACCATTCAGCCTGAGCGTAGGCTCCGCCCAATAGATTTTTTTTAAAAAGTTCTAATATTTAATTATTCATCAATTATCTGATGGGACAAGCGCCTATATAGTTAAACCACTATTGTTTATAAATCAGGTCATGCCTATTTTATGACATTACTGATCACATAATAGAAAGGGCATCAGAAATGTTAAGCTTGGTTGAGCAGGGCCTTCTTTGTCTCTTGTCTCTGTTATTGTTTTTGTATGTAGGACATGTTGTCAGTTATCCACATTCTATGATCATGAAGCACTTCAGAATTTGCTGGCACTATATAAATATATATAATAAAGAGGAGATATGAGAAGAACCTTGTGTTGGTGCAAAGTGCATTTAGCTTGTAACCTCATTGCTGTGCTATCAGTTTGCTCAATCACTGTGCTGTGCATTCTGTATTTTAAATGGATTAATACTTCTTTTAGCCTCCTGTAATTGTTAGTTGCTTGATGCAGCTGGTAGACAAGTTTTTCCTATGACGCACACCCTTGCCAGCAAGTCAACTGGTTTTCAACATGTGTTGAATTCTGTGGCCAGAATTTCTAGACAATGGTTTAATAATGTATTCATGCAATGTTTTCTGGTGATCCCAGAAGTGGATACCATAGAAAATCAGACATGTCACTAGCTGAGAATCAAACAAGGACTGCCCTGATGGGTCCAGAAATGATGATGAGTTATGTGATTTTTGCTTATTTAGTGTGTAAGTTTAAAAATATGAGACTCACAAACCTTTTGTTCTTTACAGGTACCACCCATGGTAAATTGTAAAGCTATGAGTATGGTCGAGAAGTCTGACTTGACCTGTGTGATAAAATGTAGTTTTGTTTTGCAATCTTGAACTACCCTGTTCTTGAGGTGAGCACTGCTGTGGATAACTGGCTCTTAAAATAATAATAATGATGACATACAACTTACTAGAAATGTTTGTTTGTATAATCCAGTTAAATATTTCAAGAATGCTTGGGATATGCATTACATAGGCAAATTAATTGAAAAATGTGACCACAATGTTTTGTTCTATGTTTACAGTGGCTTTCTTTATTAACTAATCATGTATTTCTTGTGTTAGTCTGCTAAGAAAATATATTTAGATTTTATTCCAATGCTCTGCAGTTAGCTAATAAGAAGCATACATTTCAACATAGTTGAGTTCATGGCAACACTATCACAGTGACCACACTACTACATTTGCCCAAATATGACATCCCCATTCAGATACAAATACATTTGGCATCAGCCATTAGGATAATACTACATGCCAGACTCGGCTTTCATCTATTCAAATCTTTGTTTCGTATTGTGGTCATCATAGCGGTGCTCTCCTCCTATCTGTGCCCTCCTCCTTCTTTTCTACCCTTTTACATTTTAAAACTGTATTTTTTTGTGTGCGTTGTTCCTTAATCTGTGTTTTGAATAAAGTTTCTTCTTTACAGTAGCACAACTGCTGAGAAATGCATGTTCTAGGTGTACCCCCAATTCACATTTTCTGTGTATATTAGGAATCCAGACTAGATGATGTTGCCCGAATAGCAACTCAATGGAAATTCCTAACATTCCTTCATAAAGAATACTAGGCATGTGCAAAACCTGTCTAAACAGGGCAGATTTCAAACCTGTCCCTTTTTTTGACATGTCTGGATGGTCTCAAGTAAGCTTTTCCAAATAGCTACCAATGAGGGGGGGGGGGGAGAGGCCCTGCAGAACTGAAACATATTACAGAATTAAAGAGACACCAATGTTTTCCCATATGTTTTGGCTTATCACCCATCCCTCAAGAAAAAGAATCTAAGCTGTTTCTAAGCTACTGCAAATAGTATTTTCCCCCACCTAAAAACTGTGGCACTGCCCCAAGTGCCCATATGGATGAGCCTCCACTGATTCTTACAATCCTTACACATGATGGCTCCAGAATTATCCTCGGAATAAAAACTATTTGGCATGCAGTCAATACAATCTACTTCTCAGCCTAAATTGCAAAATATCCTCCCTATTCATTATTGCCAGAAAAACAACTCTCACATGGACAAGCACTTACCATCCTTCTCAGCAACTATTTTACAACATATTGGTTTTTCTACATTGCATTGAATGGTTACGCAACCTTGCCAATTGAAGGTTTTTGGTTTTTTTTGCAGGGGAGGGGGGAATTTAAAATAAAAATAATATAATATTTTGATGCATGATACAGTACAGAATGTTCTCTACATGTATATGATTATTTGTACATTTCTACAAATGTTTGATTTTCTCTATAAAAAATTGTAATAAAGGAAACATATTTTGAGTTATATGCTAAACTGTGAATTGTGGAGAATTCACAAGAAACATTTACATTTTTAATAAATTGGTAATTTTTCACTAAATCACTCCACAATGAAACAAAGTACAAACTAATGCAATAAAGAAAAAACAGGTTATACTAATTAATTTTGGTTAAGCAAATAAACTCAGCTGTAAATGTCAAGCCACACTAGCTAGTGAATATACTCTGCTGCTTTTTACATGCTTGAAATCTTTCCTAATAAAAAACAGGTACTCGGCATTCAATACTTGGCTGAGGATCAGCAAAAGTGAAAAAGTTCTAAAGAAAACAAATAAGCAGGGGAGTTGGCATGCACAAGCCAAAATAAACCCTTATAGTTCTACTCTGCTTTTGTTTTGAATTTTGCTATCGGAATCTGCATGCAGCTTGAGATATTGCTTTTCTTTGTTGTTAAGCAGAATGTGAGCCCGATGTTCAGGCATCATGTTCTAAAATGTAGACAGTCAGCCACATGACCAGAATGGAGCGTCAACACAAAGCCAGTCTTGAAATACAAAAATATCAAATATCTAAATAAAGTCAATTTAAACAGCGACTGTCACATCGCTTGAATTGTCACCATTTAAAAAAAACTCTGAAAATCATCTATCAGCTTGTCTCCACCTTTTCTTTATGTGACGCTGTTTTCTCTTAACTTTGTAATATAGCTTTAGCAAACTGTTTCATTTCTCCTCCTATTTTGTAGGCATTCTCTGTGCTGACTAACAGGTTCACAGGACATAGCTTATAACAATGACTGACAAGGGATACGATGGAGGCACCCATTTCCGGGAGAAAGAGATGTGGATTTAGATATTTAAAGCAATACCCTCACATAAGGAATACAAACATGTATTGCTAAGTGTAGAGAGATTTACAGTTTACTTATATGCAGGCTACTCCCCCCCTTTTCATCTCCAGCTGCAGTGCTCTGCCTACAAAGATCTCCCTCACTGGTCTGTAGTCCCCACGCAAGGAAGGAGAATCCCAGAAAAGCTCTGATCTATCCCTGTGGTGGGTGTAGAGCTGTTATATGGCGAAAGCGAGCTCCTGTCAGTTCAGAGAATTGCCGTGGGTTACCATGCCAATGCTCTGATACTTTGAGCCCAGAGCTTTGAGAGCTTTTACTCAAAGTCTGAACCCAGCAAAGGTAGAACAGCAGCTCTACACACAATGGACCACCAGGGATCTAGAACAGCAGCTCTACACACAATGGACCACCAGGGATCTGCACAATGTGTCCATCCCTAACCCAAAGGTTAAGGTTAAACCAGAGGGAGAGGGGATTAAATAGTATTTTTTTAAAAATTTAATCATAAAAGTTTCACATATACACTGTATAAATATACAAATATAAAAGAACACTATAGGTTCAGGAATACAAACGTGTATTCCTGATCTTACAGTGTTAAAAACACATTCAGTGCCCCTGGTGCCCTCTTGCTCCACTTAAATAAGTAGAAAACTTACCTTTATTCCAGTGCCCGCTAGTCTGCCGCTGCTGGCCCCAACCCTGACCATCCTCCTTGGCTGAGATTATCAGAATTGACAATCTCAGCAAATCCAATGCATTCCTATAGGAAATTCAAACCTAAAATACCATGTGTGCACCAAAAATATAAATACAAATAAATACAAACTATACCTAATTAAATTAAAATAAACTTAAAATATCAACAAGCTCAGGATTCAACTTCCAACAATGAACATCTATTAAGAATTGATATAGCACTAAGGCTCATACCAAATGTATCACAATTGAAATAATACAACATATCAAACCTCATATAATTCTGAACCCAGAGTAAATCACATAAACAAACAAATATAATGAAGCAGCATGTAGCAGCCTAAAATTAGATGTTTACAAAAAAGGGCTGTTTCACTTCTAAATGGTGTTATGATAGTGAGAGCCCCATACAAATAAAAACTCTGACAGGTATGGGTAGAAGTATGCATATATTAATAGCACATCACTAGCGATGTCGCGAACGGTTTGCCGCGGACTCATCATTGAGTAAACTTTGACCCTGTACCTCACAGTCAGCAGTCACATTCCAGCCAATCAGCAGCAGACCCTCCCTCCCAGACCTTCCGACCGCCTGGACAGCTCATTAAGAATGCAGCTTCAAAATGGATGCTGTCCAGGAGGTGGGAGGGTCTGGGAGGGAGGGTCTGCTGCTGATTGGCTGGAATGTGTCTGCTGACTGTGAGGTACAGGGTCAAAGTTTACTCAATGATGAGTCCGTGGCGAACCGTTCGCGAACCGTTCGGGACATCATTACACATCACTAATAATGACCTATAAGGTCATAGCATGACAAGTACGAGAATAATCAGTAGATAAGTGAGATATAACGTGCTCGCAAAAAATTCAAATAGTTCAAAATGACTCAAACCTGACTGCGAGGGACCCCTCTGTGGTTTTAGTCTCAGTAAGCCAAATCCAGATGGAGTTAGCGGTGAGCCATGTATTCCCATAGGAAAGCATTGGATTGTCTGATATTGTCAATTTTGATGATCTCAGCCAAGGAGGTGGGGTGTGGAGCCATATGCTCCGGTGGCCAATCAGCATCTCCCATCCCCCTCCGCGCACACAACAGCCCCTATCCCATAACACATCCCCTACACATCCCCAGCACAGACACACACCAAATTATTTTTGGGCTCAAGCTATGGGTGTTTTTTGACCACAGCCCCATCCCTGCACTATACAGACTGCAGGGACAGTCTCTTTAAGTATATGCTTTAACTCTATTTTTTATACCACACAAATACATATTTGTTAAACATAAAGATAAATAAACACAATATTAAAAATTTGAGGCAGTTACAGTTTCCCTTTAAAGTAATACAATTTATAAAAGATACTTACAAATGAAGTTGATGTATTTGCATTAAATTCACATGTATTACAAGCTGTTAGCATTTCCCAGACAAGGCAGTGATCCGCCAATTAGTATGCTTCAGTAACATTGTAAGGCACTTCTCAAAGTGCTGAATTTATGCAATAGATCCCTGTAGAGCCCAGCTATATAAACCAATCACGTTTTTTAAGAGCTATAGTTCTGTAACCAGCTTTTTACTTATGGAAATTGTTACCTGAACTATACTTCACAGTAGCTTCCTAATGAAGTGTAGAAGAGGAAGGGTTAAGAACTAGAGTGCTCCAAAACACACATACACACCAGAAATTATACCATATATAAAAAGTTATTTTGATGCCAATAGTGTTCCTTCATGAGCATCTGAAACAACTTTACATTCTCTCGTGACAAAAAACAAATAATCTCCCTTTTTTATGTTCTCTTTTTTTTTCACCCTTGTATTATTTAACTCCTGGTTTTATACTCATTAATGGTATCTTATATAGTTTTAGATTTGCAAATTTGTTTGTAACTAATGGTAAAATGGGTGATTTATTGTATGCCTTCCTGCACAGGAAGAAAGCAGGAGGGGGCAAATATATATTAAAAAGAAGGCATTACTGTATCTCCCTCCCTTATCAGACTCACCATTCTGCCACAGTCACTAAACCACCCCTCAACTCTCCATCTTCAGCACTTCTCTCATGCTGCACCTCCGGAATTCCTCATCTTGCACTGTCGTAATTAGTTTTTGGATGACTTTTAAAGCTCGTAATTGGAAGTCAGGAAGGCGAACAATAAATCACCCATTTCACCATTAGTTACAAACAAATTCGCAAATCTCAAACTATATTTAAGATACCATTGAGTATCTCAACTTAAACCCCCCTCCTTATTATATGTATGTATTGCATAGCCCACTGTCCGTCTGTGCTACTACGTGGCTTTGTGCACGTTCTATATTGTCTTTTGAACTTGAAATAGATTTTTACTCTGTTCTATTGTACATCCCTGTGAAATCTGGTCAATCTCAATAAAAATCACAAACACACTAACCAGTTCTTCTTTACTCCATCTGTGCATCAAGACCTGTGATTATCATGCACCACTACATCATTTTAGACTAATGACTTGTAAACAGATGGCCCGTGCCATCGTAAATTATTAGAAGCATACTGTAAATGTACAGAATGAAATACTACAGGCTTTTTGTCCTTTGTTTTCTCTGAAAATATTTATTGTTCTGTAACATGCATAATACATACACAATCTCCTAAATTAAGCAGGAATATGGCATGGACCTGGGGAGAGTGAAATGTATACGTTGTGAAATGTAAAACATTAACATCCATACATAATTGAATCATACAGTTATGGAGTTGAAAGTGAGCAATTATTCTTTCAATTTCAATCTGCTTTGGGAGCAGACTGTAAAGGAGTTTCTTTTTTTCTTTGCCATTAATGTGCATTACTGGAAGCAATTGCTTCTCCCTAAAGTCTACAGAAAGGCAAAAGAAAGGATCAAATAGCTTGCAAATTGACCCATTATTCCTTTTCCAGCACTGTTACAGCTAAAAGCGTTTTAAGTGAATGAAGACGCCTTTTGTCATTAAACAGAGCATTAAGTAATTTGTATGGAGCTTTAAAACAAACATGAGTGAGCTTATCAAAAATAATGCACGCCTCTCCAGACATAATGTAGATTGTAGAAATACCAAGATCAATACACACAACTAAACCATAAAGGTCAAAGTGCCAAAATAGGTCTACTCGTGCATCATTGCTGCATCAAACATGGCTGTCTTTGTTAATTAGTCAGTGTTCTCAGAGCTTAACCCCTTAAGAACTGATGGCGGTCTTTTTTGTCAGAAGATTAAGTTCTGCAATGTTCCGCAATAACATTCCCCACTCAAGTAATGACAACAGGGGTGTACGGAGCTGCCATAGCTAAAATGACAGGATATTCCATGTTTGCATAAAGAGTTTCAAGGCCAGATTCAGATAGTTGCAAAGTAATCATGGGGTCCTTGAGGTTAAAGAGGTTTACAAATAACTAATACTAAGGTCAGTCACTCTTGTGTCCTAAGACCTAAACCCCCTCTCACAGCTCAGATTATCATTTTTCTCTCCCTAGACTCCAGCTGTCCCTTTTTTTCTGTAGCTCTCCAAGAAAGGAGGGGGAGCTAATACAGTGAGATTGTCTGAGTGAGAAGGGGTGTGCCAACTACTGTTAATCTAATGAAGGAAACTAAAGAAGAGAGCTTGCATCTCCCTATGGTCTCCAAGCTCCATAACATAATTGAATGGGGGACCTTACCATGAGCTAAACAAGCTGACTGAGCATGTGTAAGGTCTATATTCAGAATAAATGTTTTCATTAAGTGACTCTGACATGCCTAGCAGCTCATAAACTGAGCCAGTTACCAATCATTGTTAATAGGTAGCAGTCTGTACTCTGCAGAGAAAAAAAAGAGGATGTATATTGCAACTACTATAGAGACAGACACTGTGATGGAAAATAACAGGGATCACTGAGGTTGTGAGTGTGAATAGGAATTCTGTCAGAGGGTCCATGAGCTGGCCGGCTGGCCAACTTAGGGCCACTCCAGAAGGTGGCTGGCTTTGTGCAAAGTATAATGTGTGAGGAGGGGCTGAGCATGGGCAGTGAGGGAGCTGTAATCTTCATGCGCTTCCATCTCTGCTCCTTCACTTGTGTTCTTCACTAAATGGCCTACAAGGGAGCAGTGCTGGAAGAGCATGGAGGTCAGAGCAGCCCCACACTAGACCAATAGTAGAAGTACAGAGTGTCCAACCCAGCTCTCTTAAAGGTAGGGAGGCTGGGTGGGCTTAATAAAACTATAACTACAATTACTTTGTGAGTGAGAGAATGTGTGTCAGAATCACTGAGTGTGTCTGTTCATGAGTATGTGTCTGTTTGTGTATGTGAGTGTGTGTGTCTGTCAATGAGTGTGTGTCTCTCAGTGAGATTGTGTGTCTGTCAGTGTTTGTGTATGTGAGTGTGTGCGTCTGTCTGTCAGTGAGTGTGTCAGTGTATGTGTATCAGTGAAAGCTTTTGTCTGTCAGTGAGAATGTGTTTGTCCAGTATTTGCCAATGGGTCAGTGAGAATGTGTTAATAATATTTTCACTCAATTCATGTTATTTGTAGTAATATGCAGATAAGTGTGTGTGTAAATATATAATATATATATATATATATATATTTTTTTTATATATATATATATATATATATATATATATATATACACATACATACATATACATGTATTATTAATAAATATGTATTATATTAAAGTGTACATAAAAAGGGTAAATTAAGGAGCATTAAATTCCACTGTACATTGTGATATCGTCCTTTCCCTAACTGTCAATTAAACCATCAACATTAGACCTGTGTGTCACTGCCGCTGCTTGTTGGGGGAGTTTGGGATCCACCGATGCCAGTGAGCTGGCAGTGAAGCCAGCATGTTAGCATTAGTACTGGAGATTGCTACGATTAGGGAAGTGACCCCAAGCCGGGCCAATCACTTCACACTCACACGCAGCCAAACCCCATATCCAATCACACTCTGCCAACTCCATACACATATATCATACTCAGCCAACTAACACAATCACACTCAGCAAAGCCCCACACGGAATTACACCCAGCCAACCCCTGCATAATCCCACTTAACCACCACACACACCGCACTCAAGTGTAATACTTAGAGGGAGCAAGGAGTGGGGCCCTTCTTTTATTGTTGCACCGTGGCCCTGGGATTCCTAGTTGCGCCCCGGGACAGGTATAGTATTTTCCCAAAACTATTAGTTCTCTCTTAAAGCCATGTTGTCAACAAAACTTTCATTTTATAATAATATATTTTTACAAGAAATGATCTGGTCCCTGGTAATAGACAATGTCTAAAAGCCCTTTAAAGCAATTATCAAGTGTAACTATAATGCCAAAACTAGAGACATGACACCCTAGACTTAACATCTGTCACATTGACAGGAATCTACATGAGTTTAAATACCAGAATCATTTGTTTTTTTATATCCTTTGAATATAGAATATAGCAAATTATGCTGGATTATTATTATAACTATCACAGTTCAAAGATTATTCGAATAATTTGAGTATAAAATGCTAACCCCTTAGAATTATTGTATTATCATATTCTATTAGTATACTGTGTGTGGCATTATATAAAACAATTACTCTGCTTGCCTGTTTGAATTATATAGTTATATGTCTGTATTTTGTTACCTCTTCGAATTTGAGTGCAATCATTGAAAATGCCTTAAAAATTGCATCTGTTGGTCCCGTTATTGTTACAATTCGTTCCGGGCAGGAGCCTTCTGAAATGTTGATTCGAGCACCACTCTGTCAAACACAATAACCATGGTTAGACATCACTTTCCAATTAGGAAAAACTAATCATGCTCTGACAATTTGATCAGTAACACCATTTAAGAGCCTGATTTCAGCAAATGATTAGAATATGCATTTTAATAAGAAGGGCTTCTAAGAGGAAAGATTATAAATGTGAGCTAAATAAATAATTCATACAACAACAAATAGTGGGTATAAGATATAGGAAATGATGGCACTATCCTGCACTTGACATATGCTCACAAAATCTATAATTGCAAACATATAGGGATGCACTAATTTAAAAAAAAATATTTGTTAAATTGATTGTACATAATATTTTTTGTTTAAAACAATATAATCATAAAATGACCAAAGATAAAAAAAAAGAGATTACTAAAAGCAAATACATAAAATAAAGCACAATTAAATGTTCGGAGGGGGCCACATCCATGCATAGGTATCTGACTCTTAGCTTTTCACTAAGGCCTGGATTACGTATCAGTTGATCACTTGTATCTGCAAATTAATGGCTGCTGTTTATACTTTTATTGATTCATATTGATTTGATACCTGCCCTTAAAGGTTTATCAGGAGATGAAAAATATTGGATTGAATTACTGAGGTTTGAAAATTATCAAAATTTGATTATTTACTTTATATTATCATATTCTACCACTCATAGAGAATATAAGACTTGAAAATAACCACAACCAAAAGCTGTTGAAAAATGCCTTTTTTTGACAAATTGCAGTCAGTACCAGCCAGCAGGAAAATATTTTTCTTAAAAAGTCTGTGGGAGTCAATATGATATTACTATGATGTCTGTTCACTAAACTGAAAGTTGTATAAAGTAAAGAACTGAGGTGCAAAATTTAAGGAATAACAGAACAGCAGTAACAAACATCTCCACATCTGATCAATTCAAAGAAAGTTTTTACAGTTCAGCAATTTTAGCCAAATTACTGCAACTATTGTTCTTAAGGGGACACCCCAGACCTCTAGAGTGCGTTAGCTTGCTGAAGTACTGTAAGTGTGAAGAATGTATTCTCTTTTGTCATTTTACAAACAGTGCAGATTTCAATAGACATAAATTAATTAGTTTATAAATTAACTTTGTTACACCCCCTGTCCATATACATTTCCATCAGACAACTTCCTGTTTTGCTCAGAGCTAAACTCAAGGACTCCTTGCCTGACTTGCATAGACTCCTTATTGAGCTGCATTGGGAAGTCTGTGATTGGACAGTCACAGAAATTCTGGATCGGGTTAGAAGGGGAGGGCTTGCAAAGGCTTTAGACATGAGAACTGGAGATTTTGCAAACTGTTTTTACATATATCCAGTCAAAAAAATGCATAATTAGATCCATGCTCGTTTTCATTGGAGTCATATATTTTAAATAGTGATTTTTATTTAAATATTGTTGTATATGGGCAGTGGAGTGTCCCTTTAACTTACTCTAACAACAGCATGCCTTTGGCTAAAGACCATATTAATAGTGGAGAGAAACTGAGCCGATTATTGTCATGTTGGAGTTCTAGCTAGTTCAGGCATTCTTCTTATCATAGCGATGTATACATTCCATATGTCCTGCTAGGTAGGTGGATAGTGCAGCAGGTGTATCTTGCATTCTTTAGATTGGAAAGTTCCATATTCCCAATTTGTCCCAAATCACTGTTGAGCTAAGAGATGATTATTTCCTTTTACAATACTGCATCACCAAAAGGTCTCATGGCTCCCATGTTGATTTCCAACCCATTACACTTGATGCACTAATTTGGGTTTTATAATTGAAACCATGATCATTTTCCTTGTGGCCACATTAATGTTTCTACTTAGATTGCTAAGAATTTGATTAAATATAAAGGAACCTGATCACACTGCAGTTTACATTTCCAAGACGTGTTTGATCATTCCATCTTTAGACACAGACCATAATTGGCTCCATGGGAAATAGACATTATAACAAAGAGCAATAAAAGCCATCTTTTGTCTCTTTAACATGGTTGATTTAACAGAACTGAAGAACCAATAACAAGTACTTTAAGATACAAATGTGACATTTACATTTTTTTTTCATTCTTTTTCCATTGGAAAACAATAGAAAGGAAATATTTCCAAATATTTCATAATAACATTATAAGTCGATTAACCCTTTAAGTGAATGAAAGCTATTTAGAAAAAATATTTTTTTTAAAGTTACAATAATGTAATAATATCAATGGCCACTAAGTGTCACTCTTCTCCTTTTTTTCCAGCAAAACACAATGTAATAGAATAGAAGAAACATCCTTTGGAAACAGAAGTTAAGGATGAATCACAGAAATCTATTTTCTTACCTCTTCTCTCATCTTCTTAACCGTTTCACCTTTCTATTATGGAAACAAAATTACAAAAATTAGTGCTTTTGTATGGCAAGCTTAGAAATCTGAAAGCAGGTAGATGAAATGGTAACTCACTGACCTTTCCAATGATGCTCCCCACCTCCTGCAATAGAACAAAAATATATTTAAAATAATAGCAATTAATACAAACAAAATGTGACCAAAAAGCAGTCTAACTGTGAACTACACAGTTTTTTAACGCATCATGGAACGTTTAGTTTTCCCAGATATAAAGGTTTACCTTTTGGTCACACCTGATATAAACATTACTAGATTTGAGCATTTGTTTTCGGGCAAATGAGAATTCAGCTGAATCTCCCGTAATTAGTTCAGTTGTATGAAACATGAATCAGCTAACAGCAATTTGACAGAACTGACTGAAAACCAAAGTGAACATGGATGAAAATTTGCCCAGTCACTCCGTTTATTTGTCTAATTACAATAGCTCCCTCGCTGTATATAGATCATGTAAAAATAGAAGCGGCAAGGAGCTCTTCTCTGCTCCCCGTAGCTTATTTCCCCCAATGGGTTACATTAAATATACACTGGGGGGATTTCTAGGGGTGTCTGTATTGTTAAAGGAGGCTCTCTAAAACTATTATACACTTGTTCTTCTCTGGCATTGTAATTTGACGTATTAGAATTATACCACCATTTGACATAGCCATAATAAAAACCATCACATCTGAAAAAAACAACAACAAAATTAAATTCGCACACTTACCTGTCAGATTGCTCTTACAAACCAACCAATCAAAGAACTGTAATTGAAATTGCATAGTGTATGAAAGCCCTTACAAGGTCTTTCCTTGCTGTGCAGGCACAGAGGGCACGGAGCCCTCAGTGGGGAACATGGATCTTGTTTTACGCATTATGGGGTTTTTCGGTGCGTTTTTTTTTTTTGTGTCCATTTAAATCTGAGCTTTTTAATTTAATAGGTGTGACCAGTTGCTAGTCTTTTATGACAGTGAGCATCCACTGGACAAGCCCCAACCCGCAGCATGACAGATGGAGGCATGAGTGAGGTTTTAAACCTCCTGTATATTGAACCCATTGGCTTTTTATTTGTTAACTTAACCCATTCAGGGGTGGGAGAAGGAAGCAGGTCTGTTCCCTGCCGCTTCCATTTTTAACCTCTCACTCAAATAAATTTTTTTGGCTGAACTGAGCTAAACCATGGATGCAATTCAGTTTGGTCAAATCATTGTTTTGTTTTCCGATGCAACTAGTTGGCCAATCAGGATTTTCCATCCATGCACAAGTCTAAACATTACTATGGGTAATAACATTCGTATTAGTAGCTGCCAGACATGGCTAAATAATGACACCATTATTCCAATGAGCATTACAGAGGGGTGTAAACCAGCTGTCTCATCCCTCTGGCACCAGTAAGTTTAATTATTTTATCATTTCCTTTTACAGGACAAAAGATTCTAATGTGTTTCATAATATTTACCACTACTCTTAGACATTAGTAAAACCTCTAATCAATAAATAGTTAGCAGGCAGTTAAAGAAATAATATGGTTACCAAAAAAACTTTATCTTATTGACGCAGTTTTGGTGCATAGATTATGCCCCTGCAGTCTCACTGCTCAATTCTCTACTATTTAGGATTGAAATCACTTTTGTTTCTGTCTTTCCAGCTCTAGCCACACCTCCCCTAACTATGACGGACACAACCTGCATGAAAATAAATGGTTTCATTTCAATTAGATGTTGACTTGATTTAGAAGTTTTTATCTCTTGTTTCTGTAAACTGAACTTTAATCACACACTGGAGGCTACTGGAAGGTCTAGCAATCTATTAACAATGCAGGATAAGAAATTCTGAATTAAACAGACTGTGCAATAAAGGAAGTTTAAACATTAGGTCTCACTTTACAGGAAGTGTTTAGACGCCTTTGCCAATTACATGCACGGATGTGTGACTAGAGCTGCATAAACAAAGTGATTTAATACTAAATGGCAGATAATTGAGCAGTGAGACTGCATTGACATGATCCATATACCAAAACTACTTCATTAAGCTAAAATTGTTTTGGTGACTATAGTGTCTGAAAGTTTCTCTCCTGCATCTGTAAATGTAACTTTCATCACAAAAAGGAGGGGTCTAGAATGCTATGAACAGAGCAGGAAATAAGAAATTCTAGGTTAGACAGACCGTGCAATACAGGAACCTTAAAAGTCACATGCAGGGACTTGTAACTACAGTTGTATAAATATATTGATTTACTTCCTAAATGGCCGATAATTGAGCAGTGAGACTGCAGGGTCAGGTCCAAAACTGTTTCATTTAGCTAAAGTTCTCTTGGTGCCTACAGAGTACCTTTAAACAAACTATCATTTTTTTTTTAATTATTAAAAATACAAAATTACATTTATTATAACATCTCTGTGTATTATTTTGCAATACATTTTATTAAATAGCATTTTCAATGCACCCTCATTAGGTTGGCCATGAGGTCACTGTGGTCCCAAGCACTGATTATTAGGCAACAAAAACTGTGCATGTAATCTGGCGTTAGTGTGCATTGCTATATCTTAACATTGAGCGTATGATCAGCATATCAACAATGCACCCAGCTGAACACGGAATTAGCATATACGTTTTGCTTTGGGACTAAAGATGGCCGCCCCCATGAAGAAAGTGTAAGCAAGAATATTCCATCCTCCATAGTAATAAAAATATGAATAGAAGTTTTCTTTCAAAGTAGATAGGACATTTTTGTTTTTTGTTTTTTTGTAAAAGCATTCCTCCAGCAATTATAATCAGGTAATGTCAACTATTTCTTGTATTTATGTAAGGCTGCAAAATTTACAGGATAATATATGCTATTAAAACTCAGTATGCAATACATCCATAGGTTACTGTATATATGTATCTATAGCTCTGTATGTCTAGGGGGATATTCACTAAGCATTGCATAGGTAAAATAATTCATTCTCCATCAATGTATGTAAGGATCTTTTTATTTTGGGTTTTTAGCTGGGACCATTTATTGGAATCCACCGTATAATCCCAGCAGTCCTATCTCAAAAAATAAATGACTCAAACAAACGAGATAAGTACACATTGATGTAATTAAGGACTTGCTTACGAACACAAGGAGTCAAAAGGCTGAAAAATCAGATGAGGATTATTTAAAATCACAGCACTCGTGACCCTGTCCAGTCAACATCAAGTCAATTTTATAAACACATCTAGCTTGTAGACAAGTCATATACATCAGCAGTGATTTATGCCTGTCTGTTTCTGTCCATCCATCTGCCTGCCTATCATCTATCTTTCTATCAAACAGGAATTTTATCAACTCTATGCACAGCTGATTAAGATCCTGGTAACTATTATTATCACTTTAAAAAAAAACCCCCCAAAAAAACCTTAGTATAGGAACTCTGGATGGAGGAATATGGAGAAAACCGAGTCAACATATATTTTTTTTTTTGTTCTTGATATTTCACTGAATGCCTATAAAAAATACTGAGCTCTGGGCAGAACTGGTATGAAGTCATTTATGCTAGCGAGACAAGCTAAGCAATGTATTACACCTGCCCTGCTAGTCAAAGCACTAAAGAAAGCCTTTTGAATTACTGTATTTTGCCTTGGAGAGAGCTAATGGGCTTGTATCAAAATTGCCTTCTATAGTAGTACTTATCTCTCAGGATAGAATTCACAGTTCATCTAACGCCCAGTCGTTAAAACTCTGTTGAATGTTTCTAGAATGTCATCAAATCCCTGAATAAAAGCAAAATATCCAGGTCCCTTACGAATGACTACCAGATGTAAAATAGCAATATCTTTATAAAAACTAGTATTTGCTAATCTTCTATCAACTACAGAATGCCAATAATTACATGTCATTGGGTGTATATCATTTAATTTTACTAGGGTGTTGTGAGAAACCACTAAATTGAATTGGAGCATTGTGAGAGGCAAGTGGGTCACACTTCTTCTAATAGCCCCCTTCCATTTTGCCTCATAGTCCTAAATATTAAGCGTTTATTCAATAACCAGTGAGCAGACGGTACATAACATTTAACTTGCAAACCTTAGGCTACAATAGAAAAGTAGGAAAACGTCTCCAGGTCAGATGATTTTAATCTCCTCCTGCTCCTCAGACTTTCTTATTATTGAGAGATGACCTGTGATAATAATATAATTTTTTTTCTGAGAGGATTTATAGTTTACATGCCATTTTATATGCAACAATCCAACAATAAATGTATCCATTCATATACCTTGTTCAATAGACACCTGAGTCTCTGTTCTCACAGCCTCATTTATCAATCACATGAAACACTTCTTTCCAAGCTGCAACTAGACTCCCAGTCTCAAATATTCACAAAACATTTTTTATTTCCAATTTTACTCTTCCTGATGGGAGCATCAAAAATCGGGACCATAACCCAGAGAAACACTTAGGATTCAAAACAACCCGATGCATCTGACAGAGGAGAGAGCACCATGAAGTAGTTCCTGCATCTGGTATCTCACTTCTAGAAAATATGATGCTTTCATGGGAATGAGGTTAGCCGTCCAATCATATAACATAAAGTCAAACTTCCATTTACTTGCACACTTGTTTTTTATTGGTATGCTTCAGTTTATGCAACGGTGGTCAAGTAAACTGCACAGACATACAGTAGGCTCACTGATACAACCCAATATACTGACTTTTCAACTACACATGATCACAAACATAAAAAGACACATAGTGACACACAATAACATACAGTTAGGTCTGGAAATATTTGAACACTGACACCATTTTCATTATTTTGGCTCTGTGTGCCACTACAAATGAAACAACAACAAAAAAACAAATTAAACAACCAAGAAGCAATTTAAGTGAGACTTTCAGCTTTAATCTGAGGTGTTGAACAAAAGTATTGTATGAAATGTTTAGGAATTGCAACACCTTCATACAAATTCCCCTTATTTCAGGGGCCTAAAATGTAATTGGACAAATTAACACAATCATAAATAAAGTGTTACTTTTTTAACACTTTGTCAGGAATCCTTTTCAGACAATGACTGCTTGAAGTCTAGGATGCATGGACATCCCCAAACGCTGGGTTTCCTCCTTTGTGATGATTTTTCCAGGCCTTCACTGTAGCTGTCTTCAATTGTTTGTTCGTGAGTCTTTCTGCTTTACGTTTTGTCTTCAGCAAGTGAAATGCTTGATCATGTTGAGACTTGGCCATTGCAGAATATTCCACTACCATACCTTAAAAAAAAACTCCTGGGTTGCTTTAACATTATGTTAAGCACAATGTAATCAAATTAGCTGAATTTGGCTCAATCTGAGCAGACATTATATCCCCATGTACTTGGAATTCATCCAGCTGCTTCTGTCTTCTGACACGTCATCAATAAACACTAGTGACCCAGTGCCATTGGAAGCCATGCATGCCCGTGCCATCACACTGCCTCCAACATGTTTTACAGATGATGTGGTATGCTTCAGATCATGAGCCATTCCAAGCCTTCTCCATACTTTTTTCTTCACATCATTCTGATACAAGTTGATCTTAGTTTCATCTATCCAAAGAATTCTGTTTCAGAACTGCGCTGGCTTTTTAAAGCTGTTTTTTGTTAAAGTCTAATCTGGCATTTCTATTTTTGAGGTTTATGAATGGTTTGCGCCTTGAACCCTCTGTATTTGCTTTTGTGAAGTCTTCTCTATATGGTAGACTTGGATAATGTAATGTCTACCTTCTGTGGAGTGTTCTTCTCTTGGCTATATGTTGTTAAGTGGTGTATTTTTTTACTGTAGAAGTCACACAATCATCCACCACTGTTGTTTTCCATGGACATGCAGGCCTTTTTGTGTTGCAGAGTTTACCAACGCGTTTGTGGTCTGTTTCACAAGCATTGAGAGCCCATTTGACCGCATTTTATGGGTTCACAGCAAGAGGTTCAAAATGTGAATACCACACCTGGAATTAACTCCAGACCTTTTACCTGCCTAATTGATGAAGAAATGATGAAGCTGTAGCCCACACCTGTCCATGAAACAGCTTTCGAGTCAATTGTTAAATTACTTTTGGTCACTTTAAAAAGAGGGGCTACATATTAAGAGCTATAATTCCTAAAACCTTCCTTCAATTTGGATGTCAAATTAAAGCTGAGAGACTGCACTTTAAACCCATATTTATTAGTTAAGTGTAATTTTAATTCATTTTGATAAACATCAAAAAAATAACATCTCTGTATGCATCCAAAAATTGGGGGACCTAACTGTTCATTTTTGTACACAATCACACACATAGTCACTGCATAAAGAGATATGCAATCACAGAGCCACATACATACATAGATACACAATCACAAAATAACAATCATTTATAGATACACAATTCCACACAGTCCCATACAAAGACAGTTACATGCAGTTTGCCCTGCACATAGGACCATCCAATGGGGTATGCTGTAGTACCCCACCCCTGTAGTATCGACTTGCTGGGAGGAAGTAAAAGAAGGTAATTTCCTCCCAACTGAGAGCCCAGTGTGAGAGGGCCTTGGCAGAAGAGTTAGTATGGGAAAGAGGAGAGAAAAGGACAAGTAAGGCACCCGCCTGCAAACAAAATGCATACTAATAGGAGGATGGCTGCAAATATAAAAATTCGGACATATATGTGTCTATGTGTGTCAGATTGTGTGTGTTTGTGTGTGTGTGTGTGTGTATATATAGATATATTTGTCAATGTGTATGTGTCAAGGTGTATGTATCTGTGTCAAGATGTGTGTGTGTCTGTGCATGTTATGGGTGTGCATCTGTGTGTCAGTGTGTGTATGCATCTGTGTGTCGGGGTCTGTATGCAACTGTGTGTCAGGGTGTGTATATGCTGTGTGCACATGTGTTAAGGTGTGTGCATATGTAAAGGAGTGTGCATGTTTCAAGGTGTATGCATGTGTTAGTGTGTATATCTATGTGTGTATGTATCAGTGTGTATATGGATATGTGTGTATATGCCACTGTGTATCTGTGTGTTAATGTGTAAGTATGTATGTATGTGGCAGTATATATTTGTGTGTGCATACATTCAAGCAATCAAACACCAACACAACTTGCAAACACACCCCTGTAATCAAACGCAAATAATATTTACAAACACCCTGCATTAAAATAGTAAAGTTATATACAAACAACCATTCATTGAAATACTACAAACACCTGCATTCCAATGACAAGAGTACAAACGTATACAACCCTCCATGCACACATATTGTCTATACAAAAACACGTTTACATTCAAATGCACAAACACTGCTCACATATACAGCCTGCAAGAATGGGTAAATGGCAGATCCCCAGCTGATATAGCATTGGTGGAGTTTTATGAAAGATGGGGATTTGCCTTTTTGCCACTCTCTTACATTAGAGTGGAGGACCAAAAAAGTTTCTTGCACCAGAGCTCTCTCTACATTAGGTCCGCCACTGCACAGAGAAACACAATCACACCAGGGCTGGCGGGTCCATAAGGCGGCACACCTAGCCACCTTAGGGCGCACCGGCTCTGAGGGGGGAGCTATATTTCATTAACCGGCAGGAGGGAAGTGCTCCCTCCTTCCAGGCCACCTTCTAGACCCCCCGGCACGGCTGTGGTGTATTCAGAGGTGGCGAGGAAGCTCTAATCTCTCTGCTCTGGTCCCTCGCACACTGTTTGCTGATCCTGCGGGAGCCGGAATATGACGTCATATTTAGTTTCCCGGCATCACTAGACAGCCCGTGAGGGAGCAGAGCAGAGAGATTAGAGCTCCCTTGCCGCCTATGATTATACCACAGCCACACGCCTCTCCAGGTAGGGAGGCTGGGTGGAAAATGTTTAATTATAAAAATAATAATTAGTGAGTGTATGTCTGTGTGTGAGTGTATGTATGTGTCTGGGAGTGAGTGTGTCAGTGAGTGAGTGAGTGTATGTTTGTCTGTGAGTGAGTGTTTCAGTGAGTGAGTGTGTGTGTGTGAGTGTATATGTGTCTGTGAGTGACTGAGTGTATGTGTCTGTAAGTGTGTCTATGAGTCAGTGAGTGTGTGTCTGTCTGTGAGGGATTGTATGAGTGTGTGTGCATGTGAGTGTATAAGTGTGCATGTGAGTGTATGAGTGTGTCTGTCAGTGTATGAGTGTGTTTGTTACTGTATGAGTGTGTTTGTCAGTGTATGAGTGTGTCTGTCAGTGTTTGTTTGTGTCTGTCATATCAGTGAGAGTATGTTTGTCATTGAGTCTGTGTATGACTATCAGTGTGTCTGTCAATGAGTGTCAATCAGTGTGTGTCTGTCAGTGTGTGTGTTTGTGTGTCTGTCAATGAATGAGTGTGTGTCAGATCAGTGAGTCTGTGTCTGTCAGTGACGTCTGTGTGTTTGTGTCAGGATCGTGACAGGGATCCAACACGCAGAATACAAACAGGAGATAGGTACGTATACCGGACCTTAGAATGGCCGGACTAACGTAAGGAGAAAGCAAAGAATGGTCAGAGACAAGCCGAGGTCGAGGGAACGAGAGAGTAGGTAAGCGAGAGACAAGCCGAGTCAAAAGGACAAGAGAGGAAAGCAGGGTCAAAAAATACAAGCCGAGTCAGGAACCAAAAGACAATAGAGATAAGAGCACTGAGTGAACAGACTAGCTAGAACCACGACAGGGCAATGAATCATTCCACAAAATCCTCTTTTATACCTTGGCTCTTTAACTGTAGACCCCGCCCCCAACGAGTCCTGATTCGTTGTTCGGCACTTGGTTGCCGTGATTGACGGGTCGGAACGTGATTGCCGTCATGACGTCGGCTACTGAGCGCCGCGTCATAAAAGGAGGCGGAGCTATTGCGGCCGGCGTGTAAACGGCCGGGAGGACTGCGAGGATCGGGTGAGTCAGCCCCCCTAGGAGGATGGACGTCTAGGTGTCTAACCTCCTCCGAGGTAGACACCAGAGGTAACCTGACAGTTTGTCATTGAGTGTGTGTGACTGTCAGTTTGTATACACCACTGAGTGAAGCGTGGCGGAGCGCGGTACAGGAGCTTCTGTTTCCTGTACCTGGCCAGACTGCCAGAAGGTGCTCACTGAGAGAGCACTTCCTGTCAGTCCAGATGGGTACAGAAAACTGAAGCTCCTGTAGGGGATCTGCTCCGCTTGGCAACGCTACAAGAGAGGTAGGAGGCACACCAGGAGGGGGAGTGTGACCACTAAGGGGGTCTGGGGTGCACCAAGGGACAGGGAGGGGAGGGGACAGAAACACCAAGGGACAGGAAAAAGAGGGGGGAGGGGAGAGGAACACTAATGGACAGGGAAAGGAGGGGACCACTAATGGATGGGGAGGGGAGAGGTGCTGATTGAGAGGCACATAGTGCCTCAAACTAGCTGCAATATACCAGACTTTCACTACACTGAAAGTAGCATTTAAACCAAGTTCTGGGTAGCAAGCTGTAAATGTGTTGCAGAAACTGTTTAAGTGCTTAGGAACTGCTGGGTAAGCCTGGGGGAGCGAAGGGCAGCAATAGGGTTAGTAGTAGCAGCACAAAATGTAATTTTATTAAAAAAACATTTTTTTATATTTTAAAACTCGGCTGCCCCTCTATTGTACTGCTCCAGGCTTAGATTTATTCATGTGTACACACAAAAGAAATGAATGGTAAATCCTCCCTGGAGTGTCCCTTTGAATCCAAGCAGAGAAGTGTAACGTTAAAGTATTACATATACAGTCTTTTTTTCCCACACAACATACAAAAAGTATCCTTGTTCCAGTTTAAAAAATGCTTTCCAACTACAGACGTTAACATAAATTGGCTCAGGATTGTGATGCACCATGGAAAATGAATTTGAATAAACTATGAATAATGAGAAGGTGTAAGGAATCCTCAACAGACTTAAGACAGACAGTTCAATCAATGAACTATATGCAAAATAAAAATATATTTATAACTATGTATCAAGTAAGATTTTCCTTGCAAACTGACAGAGCAATAGATACAAAATGTGTTTTCTATTTAAAGGAACAGTTACCAAGACCACTTCCTCTCAATGCAGTGATCATGTCATAAACCGTGCAGTATTGTAGCAACATTGCTGGGTTAAACACACATCTAATCGCTATCTTCCAGACAGCCACTAAAGACTCTTTTGCTGCATTGACAGAGTAAATGTAATCTGGCTTCTCATAGGTAAACATTGAATTGACTGATTGCTTATGAGAAACATTGAATGTGCTCTTGTCATGCATGTGCCTCGGGTCCTCAATGTTCCTATGCTTCCGCAATGACGTTGCAGGAAGCAGAGAGGAAAATAAATGCTGAGGGAGCCTCAGTGCTGGAAAAAGTTAAGTGAAACCTATATTTTCTTAAAGGGGCATTATAGTGCCAGGAACACATACATGTAGTCCTGATAATATAGTTCTAAAACCACCGTTTAGATTATCAGCCCCCCTTTTCTCCCCTTAAATAAGGCGATTTACTCACATTTTTCCAGCACCGCGCTCTGTGTACCGATGCACCTCCTTGATTATCTCAGCCAATCACAATGCTTTCCCTTAGAATCAATGCATCTTTATGGGAAAAGTTCAGCATCTCCATGCTGAATGTCAGTGCTGCACACTGTGCTGCATTGACATAAAGCACCTCTAGTGGCTGTCTCTGGGAGTGGCCACTGGAGGTGTCCCTAAGCTGTAATGTAAACACTGCCTTTTCTCTGAAAAGCAGTGTTTACATTAAAAAGCTTGCAGGGATTGACTATACTCACCAGAACAACTACATTAAGCTGTAGTTGTTCTAGTGACTATAGTGTCTCTTTAATTTTTATTATACATGGGGGAACATTACACAATCTAACAACGTTAGGAATACAGGTTTGTGTAATAAATGGTCCTGTAAATCAGGCGGTTCCCAAACGGGCACACAGGGGAGCCGCAAGTTATTTTCCCGGTGCTATGGTGATAGCACCAGGAACTGTGCTCTCCCCTGCCGGTTCTGCAGGACCGGAGAGGAGATCAGAGATCTCCCTCTCCGGCCCGCTAGCACTTTGCTGACAGCTGGCAGGGGAGGGAGGGAGAGAGGACCCGGGGGGAGCTCTAACCTGCAGCTCTGCCGGGTTGTCCTCTCACAAGTTCAGAGCATTGCCGCAGTTACAACAGCAATGCTCTGAATCTTGCAAGAGTGAACTCTAGCAGCTCATGAGGCTGCTAGAGTTCACTCTTCCGACTGGGACCACCAGGGCTTCCTCACCGGGCCACCAGGGATTACAGGAAATGCCCTCCCTTCCAGGCAAAGGTAAGCAGAGGGGGGGGGGGGACATCATTTTTATTTTTAATAACAACAAAAAAAGTATACCCCACATAAACCACTAAACTGCACCCCTCACACACACACATATTGCACCACACACACACACACACTACAGCCCCTATCCTGGCAGACCCTAGGTAAATTACTTACTTACCTTGGGAGGTCACTACTGGCACCACAAACACTACAACGTAATGTATTGGTTATTGTGCCTGGGTTGTTTATTTAAATTATCTTCCAGTGCCACTCCGAAGATTTGGGGCCCAGTATATGCCACAGCACTGTACAAAATATTGAAATAGGGCACCTTGAACCTAAAAAGTTTGGGAACCACTGCTGTAAATTATTCCATGCGAAGTCAGAGTTATGAACAAGGTTTGTTACCCTCTCTTATGATCCTCAAGATTTAACCTTTACATACTGCCTCACTGCAATCCATCTTTTTAGAGACTGAACTAACAGCTATGAGGCTAGCACAATCCTATTTTTGACCTGCCAATCTGGAAATGATATCAATAAAATATACAGCTATTTCATGATCTAACTGTTGAATGCTGGCCTCTCTAACAGGCAAGGTATGTGAGTTTGCCCCTGTTGTGTTATTTCTGAGGCTGTTACTATCATCCTACACTTTATAGATTTTACAGCATTGTGAATCCTCAAGAGTGGTAAATATTAAGATTTATACCTCTCTTTCTGGAGTTGTGGAACAGATCTAGAGCCATAACAAGGACCCTTGTAAAACTGTGTAATAATATGGAATGATTTGAATATAACAAATCAATATTCCCCTATGTTATGTTTAGGTAGTAATCTTGTACAGCTGAGATTTTGCAATTATCGTGACATCTGCTTCAATCCATATCAAATGTAAGCCTCGATTTAATATCTTTGGGTAAGCTTTTAAAGCTATTTATTATTTTTGGATACATCTTGAATAATTTAATCTTTTTTTCTATTATTATTTTTTTATATACAATATATTTTTGATATTTCAAAAAATAATTTTAAATATTTACCCAAAAATCATTTGAAATGCTCATGCAACAATATTAAATGTAGGCCTTAAAGGACCACTATAGTGCCAGGAAAACATACTCGGTTTCCTGGCACTATGGTGCCTTGAGGGTGCCCCCAACCTCAGGGTCCCCCTCCCGCCGGGCTCTGGGGAGAGGAAGGGGTTAAACTTACCTCTTTCTCCAGCACCGGACGGGGAGCTCTCCTCCTCTCTGCCTCCTCTCCTCCTCTTCGGCTGAATGCGCATGTGCGGCAGGAGCTGCACGCGCACTCAGCCAGTCCATAGGAAAGCATTCAGAATGCTTTCCTATGGACGCTGGCATCTTCTCACTGTGAAAATCACAGTGAGAAGCACGCAAGCGCCTCTAGTGGCTGTCAAGAGACAGCCACTGGAGGCTGGATTAACCCATTTATAAACATAGCAGTTTCTCTGAAACTGCTATGTTTATAGAAAAAAGGGTTAACCCTAGCTGGACCTGGCACCGAGACCACTTCATTAAGCTGAAGTGGTCTGGGTGCCTAGAGTGGTCCTTTAACTGTAGGCACTTTAACAATGTCATCTTATTGAAGTTGTTATAGTGCCTTCAGTGCTGACCACCCTGTCCTACCCCTAAAACCCAATATTAAAGGAACACTACAGTCACTTAAATTACTTTAGCTAAATAAAGCAGTTTTAGTGTATAGATCATTCCCCTGCAATTTCACTGCTCAATTCATTGTCATTTAGGAGTTAAATCACTTTGTTTCTGTTTATGCAGCCCTAGCCACACCTCCCCTGGCTATGATTGACAGAGCCTGCATGAAAAAAAACTGGTTTCACTTTCAAACAGATGTAATTTACCTTAAATAATTGTATCTCAATCTCTAAATTGAACTTTAATCACATACAGGAGGCTCTTGCAGGGTCTAGCAAGCTATTAACATAGCAGGGGATAAGAAAATCTTAATTAAACAGAACTTGCAATAAAGAAAGCCTAAATAGGGCTCTCTTTACAGGAAGTGTTTATGGAAGGCTGTGCAAGTCACATGCAGGGAGGTGTGACTAGATTTCATAAACAAAGGGATTTAACTCCTAAATGGCAGAGGATTGAGCAGTGAGGCTGCAGGTGCATGTTCTATACACCAAAACTGCTTCAGTAAGCTAAAGTTGTTCAGGTGACTATAGTGTCCCTTTAAACAAATTAGAAGGATTGAAAGTGCAGCTTAAAGCCACGCCTCCAAACCCTCTGGGTGTAAGAGCCAGGAATCTTACTTCCCAACTCTTATACTGTAACATACAGTGAAGTCATGTGCGCATGCAATTTACAAGGACTGTAGTGTTAGGATTACAGATATGTATTCCTAACTCTACAGTGTTCCCTTAATGCCACAAGAATCAAACTGGAAAAATTAATCAAATCAGCTGTGTTCTGCACAGTGTAATGCTAAGAGCTAATCAGCTAAACATAAATCAATCAATCAATAAATAAAATAATTAAATAAATATGACCATTAGTTTTTAAATACAGCGATGAAATTCATATGGCCACCTCCAAAATGATATACTTTCATAGCAGAAATGTTATTATTATTTTATTATTTATATAGCGCCATCAGATTCTGTTCGCTGTACAATGGGTGGACTAACAAACATGTAATTGTAACCAGACAACAGGACGTACAGGAACAGAGAGGTGGAGGGCCCTGCTCAATGAGTTTACATTCTCACTGTATACTTACTAAAATGTGTTATTGCATGTTTAGATAAAATTGCTATTAATAAAGTTGATGTGTTGGGAACATTATTTTAAACTAATTCCCATTTGCTTCATAAATTTCATATCTGGTGGTCTTTTTTAGTTTAATGAGGACACATTATTATGAAGCAGCGTATAATTAAATATTATAAGATAATTATAAATGTAACCACTTCTCAATCGAATTCTTCTTATTTGGAAAAAATTGTTTAACATGTATTTGAAATATTGCATATATAACCAGGTATTTTATTGCATATATACACAACAGCAACTTTTAATGTATATAAAGTAGTTTAGGTAGATCTCCTAGCATAAAATTATATAAATGTACATTTTAAATTATGTGTACACCCTTTACAGAAATATAAGGGGATAATAAATTTTACAGATTACATAGTAGTCTATCTTTCTATGTTTGAGAGACAGTCTGAATACCATTTTGTCACATGCAGTAAATATGACAAAATAGATACCCCAATGTAAAGAAGTCTGTATGTTAGAATAACACTCACATACAGTAAGTACAGTTACACAAAAAAATAGTAATTTACATGACATTACAAACAGCAGCTAGGGCCTACAAAGAATCCCTTTAGTGAGCTCACACACTCAGAGCTCTCCCCCCTACCCCATCCCGGCTGTTAGATTGCAGCCATATAGTTTGGACTACAAATGTAACTGTAAAGTGTGGAAAATAGAGGGGGCTGCTACTTACCATTTATTTGAAGATGAGAGATGTGGTGAAATGAAACATTGGTAGAAAATGTAATGTCTTTGCACAGTGAAAGAAGCAATGGGTATGGTGGCTTTATGGGTTAAATGTTGTTTTGCCTTGCAATGCATAAATATGCACGTTAGGAGTAAAGGATCTCATTTAATATTGTTAATATGTTCCATTTTCACAATTTGTTCTGTGCATTTGCTTAAATAAGAAAAGTTGTTCTATGTTAATATTTATGCATACTTTTATTAAGTCAAACAGACTTGCATTATAGTTACGTATGCTGTATAATCTAGGATAATGCAAGTAACAAATTAAAAACAATACAAATTCTGATTTGACACCCCTGCATGAAAAAATGTTCTGTTTGAATACTTCCACATCTCTCAAATGTTGCTTAACAAATTGATAAAAAAAATCTGATAAATCTGATAAAAAAAATAACAAGTAATTTGTTCTAAAAAGGTAAACTTTTGACCAAAATAGAAAAATATCAGTACACTGACCTACATTTCCCATAAACCCTTGCCTTGCTAATTGACTACATCTTACTGATTAGCTAAGAGACCTCTAGTAGATGGCGCTATTCCTGTGCAGTGTTGAATTATAGTTGTCTCCTGGAATGGCATCTTAATTTACTAATGTCCATGATAAAGAAATGAAAGCTGTAAGTCATTGTCAATTAACGCTCACTAGCAGGTGCTCATTATATTTTAACTTACATTGTCTGATAGACTGGAATGGAAAAAATTCTCAAGCCAAATGAGAACTCAGTATTAACAAGTAGATGTAATTATCAATAGTTTTCCTGTTAAGTCATAACAGCAACATTTTTATAACATCAGAGCATTGAGAAGTTAGATTCACAAAACATTAGTCAAAGCAAAATCAGCATACTCATAAACATGGCACATTAACTATTTTGTTCATATATTTGCTATTATGTAAAGGGTATGATAGTTATAAATAGTACAATATGCCACTCTCAGGCATGAATGCATGCTAAGCAGCTTGCCAATCACTCTCAGAGCAGACCATGCAAGGAGCACTGTTTCAGTACTCTCTGCATGGTCCTAGCGCCCTTAGTGTAGTGCAGACCCTTCTAATGAAGCACTTTTTTCTCAATGCTTTCCTAAGGATGCTCTGTGCGATGGAGGCGAGATTCGCCTCCAGCGTCGCAGATGCACCTCTAGTGGCTGTCCAGAAGACTAGGCTGGATTAACCCCAAATGTAAACATACAATTGAAACTGCTATGTTTACACCTGGAGGGTTAAAACCTCAGGGACATTGCACCCAGACCACTTCATTGATCTGAAGTGGTCTGGGTGATAATAGTGTCCCTTTAATATAAAAATAATGTATGAATATTGTCACAATGTTATTGATACAGTCACATACAACAATAATCCCCGTACTGCTCTCAATGTGATCAGAGCCCTCAATCCATTTTTCTATTTCCCAGGCTGACAAAATGCTGCCATTAAATTTACCTACAGAAGCTGCCATAGATTGTGTTAGAAGTGGGTTGGCTATATACAGGTAATGGTTTTTGTTCTTTTTTTCGGGGGGAGGTGGGATTGCAGTGTGTAACATAACTGGACTTAAGGAGAAACTACACTACACCATATGCAAATACTAGTTTAGTAGATATACCCCAAAGAAAAAATGCATGGATTTACTTTACTTTATTTATTCACTGATGGCATATCTAAAAACAGCTTATAAAATCTGCAGATCTTTTGTTGGAAGCCTTTGCAAGCTCTCCCCTTTAACCCCTTAAGGACACATGACATGTGTGACATGTCATGATTCCCTTTTATTCCAGAAGTTTGGTCCTTAAGGGATTAAACTCAGCCTAGACTTTCTGACTGTTCAATTAAGCAGGTGCTCTGAGCAATTGTCTGCCTCTGAGATAAACATTCAGGAAGTAACAGGACAGGTTGCCTGACAGCCAGTGGGGTGTAACAATGCTATTTTACAAAAAGTGCCAATTTGTATTGCAATCTGCACTTTTTGTAAAATAAAAAAAATAAAAAAAAAAGACGACATACTGTTTACACATAAAGCACTTCAGCATGTTGATTTACTTTAGGGGTCTGGAGTGTCCCTTTAATGCCTAAATTTAGTTTTTTTCAGAAGTAAACACAAGCATACACATTTTTGTGCGGTAGGAGGTTGAAATAAATGTTAATGTTTCTCACTATCATCCCAATCTGGTCCATTTACCATCGCCATCTCTACACATTCCTGCTGTTGCTAAATGAGTGGACATTCCGTTTTGATGAAAGATTATAAAAGACTAGATTGCAATGATTAAATTATTCTGTAATTGGGTCTTAGTTCGTAAGGGCTAATCTACAATCATGTTGACTGAAAGGAGGATTAATATAGGCATATGCTGTGTCCTTAAGGACAGTACATCTGCTCATGTCCTTTGGTAAATATATTTGTTTAATGTGTGGAAAAGTGTATGATTTGCCCCTTAGCAAGCTCTGTCACTATTAAATGACTAAATCCCTAAGTATAATTTAAATTATAGAATACGTTATCTGCATGGTTTCTTGTGCTAATATCCAAATGCTATCCTTCATTTGGTAATATATGTGGCGTTCTGTAGATCTTGCAAGAAATGGAATCTGATGCAACAGCAACTTTTATATAAATTCTTTGAATACAGTATAGCTTGGATAGATAATCAGTGCCCAAGATACTCTGTTGGATAGATATTGTGGACATAACAAATAAAAAATATAAAATTGTAATATAAACGATGCTCATCATTTAAAGTTCCCTGTTTGCCACATATCACCATTATCTGCTGCCCAATTAGTGTTTGTAAATTAGGAAATAGATGGGATTTCTCACTGAATCATGGCTGTGTCTAGTTTCCTTCCACTTTTATGAGTGGATATAAAAAAATCCTCTCTAGAGTTTCATTTAACAGTACAATGTTTTGTTCATTTTTTATTAGTGACTCCTGAGATCAGATCTTTTGCACATGGTATAATCATGGCAAGGATGCTAGATTAAAGGACCACTCTAGGCACCCAGACCACTTCAGCTTAATGAAGTGGTCTGGGTGCCAGGTCCAGCTAGGCTTAACCCATTCTTTCATAAACATAGCAGTTTTTAAAGAAACTGCTATGTTTATGAATGGGTTAAGCCTTCCCCCAAAGCCTCTAGTGGCTGTCTCATTGACAGCCGCTAGAGGCGCTTGCGTGATTCTCACTGTGAAAATCACAGTGAGAGTACGCAAGCGTCCATAGGAAAGCATTGATAATGATTTCCTATGCGACCGGCTGAATGCGCGCGCAGCTCTTGCCGCGCGTGCGCATTCAGCCGACGGGGAGGAACGGAGGAGGATCGGAGGAGGAGAGCTCCCTCAGGGCACTATAGTGCCAGGAAAACGAGTATGTTTTCCTGGCACTATAGTGGTCCTTTAAGCATGTCACCCTCCAGTTGACCTTTTGATCTAGAATATCTCTAGAATATATTTTCTTCCTGCACTTTAATAACTTTTTTTTAACCAGATATTATATATAATAAATATAATGTGTTGACCATATATTTCCTTAAGTCATTTCCTTATTTATCAAGGTTATTTTTTTTCTTTCCAACTATTTCATTATTAAAACAACATTATTTTATGAGTCTGTTTCCATTGTGCCCTATTGGAGTTAACTGTGCAGAATACTCTAGATGTTATTACCACTGTTCTAGAATTCCTGTCATGTCTCCTTATAATACCTAGCACCTTGATGATTTGTGTTTAAACATTGGTACTTTGCCAGCTTACCCTATAAGAATTTGGCTATTTTGACACAAGTTTTTGCAATTAATTTGCCAAGTCTCATTTCATTAATAAGCATATCCACCATTTCATCTTATACTTGTAGTTTTACTTCTGATGCATATCCATCTACAGAGATATTGTCACATATGTTTAAAAAAAACACATAAAAGGATTGCCACAGCATGTTACTTCAAGAAAATGCCCTTACTGCTTTATAAAACCCATAAAACCAAAACAGAAACTTTTAAGAACCTTTTTTTTTTCTGTTTCTGTGGAAACAAATGTATTCAGCCTATTAGTGCCCTATCCATTTGTCACATGACTGCAGGGTAACATTTCTGGAACCTTGAGAATGTAAGAATGGGTCAATATATGACTCAATTGATAGCCTGGGAGAAGTGTATTGGTCCATTAAAAAACAACGAGTATAATGTACACATTGTAATATGTATTTTGGAAAAGTGATATTTTGCATGTTAACTAAACATGCATTATGACATAAAACACATAAATGACTTACCTTTCCATGCATTAATAACCGTATTGTCAATGTGACATTAAGACCCCCCTCTGGTGCGTTTGTGTCGTTCATATTCATCTTGGAACTTTTTCTCCAACCCTCGGCAACAGATTGATACCTCCTTTCTTATTTACTCTGCAAACACAAAATATCACAGAGTCAATGAGGCAGGGTGACAAGAACGAGATATAATCTAATGTTGTGAATAAATAAATGTGACTAAAAAAAAACATGGTGTGGAAGAGCACCTTTGTCTTCTGTCTCTCCACTGCTAAATCAAATAAAACACAGTGAAATTGAAAAACCTTCCTTTAAGATGTATAATTAAAAATGATAAGTCGGGGCATTTCTTTTGCTCCAATGAATTGGCTTATGTCTCTTCTCCGTGTGCTTCTGTGTACTCATTCTGGAAATATTGCAGTCACCCTGGATAAATCTATGTCAGCAAGTTTCATCTCTCTCATATACCTATCAACCACCCAGACAATTCATGGCAAATCTGAAGAGCACAGTTCAGAATACCAACAAGATCAAATTTTCACTTTTATGCTTGTAAATCAAAAAGAGACTGTGATTTGTTGATAAAGGTTCAAAGGAAATTGAGCAGGGTTTTTCAAACCACATGCCCTACAAATAAGAGCATTAAAATACAATTACAAAACTAATGGAACTTGCAAGAGCCGTGCAACTCCCATACACTGTGCAAAAAAAATGTTTATTTTTCTTTTACTGAAAGTCAGACCTTGTGACTTAACCATGCCATCTTTTTTTTTTCAATCAGATGATCCTTTTCTTAAAGATGACAGGATTTCTGTTACATTCCTCACATTTTATTTTCAGGGCTTAGATCCACATCATTCATACATTCAATGGTAAATTGTTTTGCTGCTCGTTCACGGATATTATTCTTCAAAGAGCTCTGGTTCAAAAATAGGACTGATTTCCAGAATGTCTTGTTTGACAAAGTCACAGGAAAGCAGACTTCAAAAATTGAGAATATTACAAATAATTAAAAAAAACAAACAAAACAATATTTCAAAGTTCGAGTGATATGGTAAGAAAAAAATAAAAATCAATTTTTAGATAGTTCTTTTTCTCCCTACGAAAAAAAATCAACAGTTTTCGATAGATGGTAAGAGTTGATCCAAATGAAAAGGCTGATTGATAGATGTAATTATTTCCCAATTTAATGTAACTTATTTTATTGACATTAGGGAGTAAAAGTGAAATGCTGTAGAAATTAAACCTGCAACTGAGAGGTTTGTTCAGTTTTATTGTTGACACATTAACCAAATCAACTGTCTTATCAACTACAGAAATAATTTTTTTGTTGTTTTTTGATATTATAAGCTGAGTTTATTTCTAACACATACACACAATAAAAATAAGGCACACTGCAATGCAGAATGAGTAAATAGTAATGATAAAAGTGTCTGACTGCAGCAAAAGTAAGGTTTACAGCATATGAAAACATATTGGAGGTTAAGACAAATGGCACATTTGTTATAGTTTTTGAGTGCCACCATATCTAAAACACTTTCATAAGGAGACACTGTCTTGTCTGAGTATTTCATAAACATATAATCTGTATGTAAAACTCATATAGACTGCATTAGAGTCTCATTAATATTCTAATATAAAAAGAACAAATAGGGACTACATTGTCTTGAATTTTGGAAAAATGTGTCCATGGCTGGAGCTTTGGCTTCCAGTTGACACTAATGACTACCAAATCAAACAGGCATCTTTGCATATGATATCAGTAATAAGTATGTATGAATTATGGCGGATTGCACAGTCTTCCTGCATCTTCCATAGACCCTGAATTTATGAGATAAAACGAGTAGTTGAGTGATGTGGTGCCTTACAGATGATAGTTTCAGGATCTGAAGAGACAGATGAAAAGGAATATGGCATCTGTGAGGAGTGAGAGCTTCAGGTAAATTGTATTACTCTCCGGCAATGCTAGCACACATAACACCTTGGCGATGTCTTTCAAAAATGCACAGGCCCCACAAATAACAGTGACACCTTTAAGGATATTTTTCTGTCACAGTACAGATACTCATTTGCTGGTGAGATGTTGATGGAAAAATGTTAAACAAGTGGATACACGTATAAAAAATAAAAAGTAAAATCTTCAACCAAAATAATACCAACAAATAGAATACTAGAAATAACAAAAAATAATTAGGAAGAGACAGCAAAACTGTTCCTATTGTGGAGCTAACTATTTTGCCTCTTGGACAGAATGGAACGAGTATTTTGTAAGATCTGCAATGACAGTGGTAGTTGGTACTACTTCTGTAATTGACAGTGATTTGAGTCTTTATGGTTTATTAAATAGGTTGATGATCAGTAACCACAAGACCCCTGTTAAATGATTAGATGGTATTCGATCTGTGTTAATATTCTATAAGATACCTGTGCATTTTGGACAGTTAGAATTCCTTCATGAGTAGATTATCATGGTATATTATGCAGTAGGTGACTTGGTAGAATTAATGTTTGCTATCCATATAACTTTTTTTTTAAATAGATCTTTGCCATAGTTATTGTGTAATAGATGGTAATGTATAATCCCCCCCCCATGTTATTTATATTGTTTTTATTTTTGGATTTCATTTAATCCTTCCTTTTTAAATTCGTACCTGTATCTTGAGTGAAATTATTTCTAAGGAGCTTTTTGCCAAATCTAGCTCTCAGATCACATTAGAAAGTATCTACGTTACTGCGTGTTTCATCCCAGCCTCTCACTGCCCGTTGCCACATAAATATTAGATTTGCATTCGGTCTACTTCATAAAGACTGGAGCACACTGGTCTGTGGCTCAAAAGATATTTCAGTCTTAGTGCAAAGCCCTAATTTGCAACAAATGGACCAAGAACCACTTGCTGGATTGGAGCAATGTCAGAGTACATTTGTGTCCGTGGCTGTCATTCCCTCTAAGGACAAGGCCCTGCCAGACTGAGCTATTGTCAGACAGAGATTTTATAATCCCTTATGGCGGATTAAGGTTTTTGTAAATCTTTTATCCCTTCATTGTTGAGGGGTGGACAAACTAATGCTCTGCACGGCGGGAGTTAATCAGATCTTCCTGTGTGTGTCTGACCTTGACTTAATGTATAGATTTAAACATACAGTAGCTTGCAGTGATGATTGCTCTGCCAGGTACTATATCAGCAATTTGTTTGCTATATGTTCCACAGAAATGTATCTATGTATTATCCTGATGGGAGAAAAGCATTTTTAATTAAACAGGGATTGCCATTAAATTGCGACTCCCATGGCATAAAGCATTACTCTTCTGAGTGATTAAAACATTACACCAATTATCCCTGCCATTATCTGTGAGCCACTCTAATCACAAAGCACACTAAATGTTGTTCTAAAGGACATTAATATAGAGCAGATGCCTGTCCTTCCGATTTCAGCAGTTCTGGTTGTGCAGAGAAAGTTAAATTAAAAATCAAAATCCCAGTTTGTAATCCATGTTGTAAGGAAACAAGGGTCAGTGTTATTATGAGAATTTTAAAATCAAGTAGATACAGACAATTTCATAGAATGTAAGCAAATGGTGCCATTATGCTTAGATTCCTTGCTAACTAACTGTTAACTGAATATATTACAATCAATTTGGATTTTTCTCAAAATTAACTCAGTTGCATTTTTTTGGGTTTTGCAGCAGTTAACCAAGTTCAATGTGCAGCCTATACAAACATGTCTCTGTAGGAAGTGATTCTATGGAGTCAGCAAGGGCTATTATTAGTACAGAATAGTGTAGTCCTTGAAGTGTTTAAAAGAGGGGCCCTATCCAGCACTAGACAGGTTTTAGACAATTTAACACCTTCCTGATGTTATGAAGTGTGATCATGTCCTAACAATACTGGGTTTTAACGCCATTAGGGCGTACTGACACATCCTAACGTTTTGGTGTGAGCAAGATTAAATCACTGCTCACACCAGAGAGTCCCAGGTAACAATAGAAACTGTGGCTATCCTCAGTCAGCTGAGACCATTTTTAGTGGCCCCTGACTGACACATGAGCTGCATGCAATGCTCAAAGTAAGCGCTGCATACAGCTATTTAAATGGACAGTGGCTGTAGAATGCAAGCGCTGTCTTTACCCGTGTGTCTCATTTCCTCAATTCCAACTCTCTCCTTGACCCTCTTCAATCTGGCTTCCGCCCTCTCCACTCTACTGAGACTGCACTTATCTAGTGCTAACTAACGACCTAATCGCAGCTAAATCCAAAGGCCACTACTTCATACTAATTCTTTTTGACCTCTCTGCGGCCTTTGACACCGTTGATCATGCTCTCCTTCTTCAAATTCTTCAATCGTTTGGTCTCTGTGACTCTGTCCTCTCGTGGTTTTCCTCTTATCTCTCCCAACGCTCATTCAGTGTCTTCTTTTCTAATTATACCTCCTCCTCTCGTCCTGTCTCGGTTGGAGTCCCCCAAGGCTCTATCCTTGGTCCCCTTCTATTTTCTCTTTATACTGCCTCTCTTGGCAAACTTATTACCTCTTTTGGATTCCACTACCACCTGTACACTGATGACACCCAGTTATCACCCAGTTATCACACCCATCTCTCCTCCCCGGATCTCTTCCCTGCCGTCCTGCAATGTGTCACTGCTTGCCTTTCCTCCATCTCTGACTGGATGTCCTCCCGCTTTCTGAAACTCAATCTCTCTAAAACTGAGCTCCTTGTCTTTCCTCCTTCTAATACTGATCCTCCTCTTTCACTCTCCCTTCAAGTTTGTGGTACCCACATCAGTCCATCTTTGCAAGCACGCTGTCTTGGCGTCATACTTGATTCTGGCCTCACCTTTGAGCCTCACATCCAGCATGTTGTCAAATCCTGTAGATTCCAGAAAGGGGTAGCATCTGCCCCTTTCTTACGCAAGATGCTACCAAGGAGCTTGTCCATGCTCTAGTAATTTCCTGCATGGATTATTGTAACCCTCTCCTGATTGGTCTTCCCAAAAGCAGTACTGCACCGCTACAGTCCGTAATGAACGCTGCTGCCAGACTGATTTTCCTCTCTAGTCGTTTCTCTCACACCTCACCTCTCT